CTTAAGTGTTTATTTTATTGACTTTTTCTGTTAAAAAACTATAAAATATGGTTCGCCAGTGCCAAATTTGCAAGAAATTTGACTTAAATAATCCATTTAAGTCTTGAAACGACTTTTGACCGGTAGGCAACTCTCAATTTACCCATTGGAAGTCAGTGGCGTTGTTGTAGAAAGGCGCTTATTTAGATAATATTTTAGTAAAATGTAAAATCTGAATTTTTTCTTTTACATTACATTATTTACTTACTTACATTGTAACAAAATCATAATTATAACCCTATTAATAATTAATAATGTTTTTATTAAAAATATATTCCGGTTTATTCTAAAATTATCTTCAGAATCTAAAATAACGTACAAGAATTTTAAAATGATATTACATTATGAAACAATATTTTTAATATACCGGGTCGTCTCAAAAAGTGGCTCAACCCTATAACTTTTTTTTTTTTTCAGATAAAAAACAGAGTTGTATGTTAGTAGGTATATGACATAAATTAGGATTTATTGACGTATTCAATTGTTTTTGGTCTCTTCCTGTTTCACCGAAATGATTACATCTTTTGATTTTTAAAGGCACCCTCGGTATATTGCTACTTTATTCGATAAAAATGACACTCTGAATAGAATGACATATCATATGTCAACTTTTGACATTGTCGCTTAAAAACATATCCTATTTTAAATTTCAATCCAGTTTTTTCAATCCACTAAGTTTTAATCAAGGAGCCTTGGAAAAATAGTTTTGATCGTCTAATAGGTTTCGTGTCTTGTCTAGGCCGGTTAAAAGATGTACAAATCGTATTTTTAATCATACATATGTCAATTTTTTCAAATGGAACAAGGGTGACTCATTAGCATATTTGGAAAAAGCATATTTTTATGAATATATTGATACCACACACTTGGTATTTCGAGTCAAATTGTCGTTATGAACCGCGTGTTACAATTACAATTAAACCATATGCGAAAATGTCAAAAGTTGACATATGATATGTCATTCTATTCAGAGTGTCATTTTCTATCGAATAAAGTAGAAATATACCGAGGGTGCCGTTTAAAAATTAAAAGTTATAGTCATTTCCGGTGAAACAGGAAGTGACCAAAAACAATTGAATGCGTCAATCAATCCTAATTTATTTCATATACTAACATACTAAATCTTATTTTTTTATTTGAAAATATAAAAAAATAGGGGGATGAGCCACTTTTGAGACGCACCCGGTATAATAAAGACAGTACCGAGTTAAATAAATGTAGTTTTTATTTTATCCACTTCCTATCACCTTCCTTGCTTTAATGGAACAGATTTATGTTTTCTCTAATTTACATAATAAGATATCACTTAACCAGAAAAAAAATTACAACAATCATATTTTTTTTTCTCTCCCTGTCGCCGATTCTATTATATCTGTGGAATAGATCCTGTTTTGAATTTCAAAAATTACCTAATTTCGATTATAAAATTTCTTCTATAACGTGTATTTTATTATTTTTATCTTTTTGGACTCTAAATTGTTTTTTCTAAACTTTTATTTAAAAAAACCTGTCCTAAATCTTAATAAAATATAAAAAAGTTTAAATACGATATATTTTTAATTTAATTATAGCTTCATTAAAATAAAAAAATTACCCGGCTATGATACGGAGAGTTCAGGTGTACTTGAGAAACGAAAGACAGTGTTGTGTTTCTCGGCAGAGTCGTCAGGGAACGACCGTTACGACAGAGACAACCTATCTATCGCTCGTGTCGCACTCGTTATAACCTAAAACAATAACACAACAATAACAAGACAGTGTCTGACCGCATGTTCCAGCTATTTATGAATGAGATGCTCAGTCTATATTTTATTTTAAGTCTATGGTCTGACCGCATGTTCCAGCTATTTATGAATGAGATGCTCAGTCTATATTTTATTTTAAGTCTATGTTTCACACAGTTTTTTTACATTAAGTGATTTCGTTCGTCCAGTCCATATTAAACCCACCAAAAGCAACAAGAGTAGCAAAAACAATGATTATGTCTGTCTACGTCAACAGGTCTGCACAGGCATGAACGCGCCGCGCTGGATCGGGCCTTTGAACTTACCGACTCGAAGCGGATTCGTCGCGCCTCCTCGCGCCACCTCAGGCGACCGTCTGACTACGGCGTGTTGGCGCGAACTGGCGCGGCCTGGCCTGTAAAATTACGGGCCGTGGGAAGCCACCTTAACTGCTCATATACCAGGCCCGTGGCCCGAAAATCGGCGCGCCGACCCAATCACACGGAGCGTGGAGCGGCAGTCGACGGTCCAGGCGCGGCGCTCAACGCGCCGTGTAATGGCACCTTTGAGAGCTCAAGTGAAGATTTGCAAGTCGAATATTAAAACAGATCAATAAAAAATAAACAAATCTAATCAATATTTATATTTTTATAGCTTACAAACCATTCACGATTACTTGTTGTCTTGTTTTTCATGTTTTTTTTTTAAAACAATGTGCAGTCATTTACGAAATGCCGTAATGAAGTCACCAAACTCTTTTATCTGGTTGGCAAGTGACTGAGAGCACAGAATATCTAGCTACGCAACAGAAAAATACTCGAAATGAAAGAGCTAAAATTGCACAAATAAAATACTAGATGGCGCGACAATATCATAATCAGAATATAATTGGAAATTTTCAACTTCCGGTTTTGGATCGACGTAGATCGACGGCACTTCGACGGCCTTGAAGCTCGGCTAAAAATGCACAGTTGCCAGATTCAAACAGACTTTAATTGGCCTCCCATTCTTTTTCTGGTGTATAATAATTCCTTTCTATTCTTCGTTTCTTGTCAGATACACTTATATTAATTATTCGTTTGGCTTTTAAAATAGTTTTAATTTTAAGTATATTATTAGAAAACATATGCTCTCAAAATACATTTTTAATATACACTACTTTATTATGTTAACTAAGAAAATAACTTTAACTACCTTTAAAATTAATAATATACAGAGCGATTGATAGTGATATTTATTAATGCTGAAACCGTTAGTAATGAAATATACGTTTAATAATAATGGAAATTATTTATTAAAATGCACTACAAAAAATGATAATTGTCTAAAAAAATACTATAATAACAATTTTTTTCTGTTTGCCACGTTATTTATATAGACCTAGGTAGATTTTTAAAAGTGACACAGGTACAATTAATATTATATTAGTTCGGCATAAAAGTTGCTGTTACGACATCGTACAATAAATTAAAATTATTAATTAAACAAATCTTTATAAAGAAACACAAGTATATCAAATTTGGGCCAAATCGAACGCCAGGAAATGGTATCATTATATGGTACTACATTATGGTACCCCTTGATATGCTTCATGGTACCATAATATTGCAATGTCATCAAAAATATGCAAGTATAATCAAATATGAGCCCAATCGAACGTCAGGAAGTGGTATCGTAATATGGTACTATATTAAGGTACCACTTTATATATGCATCATAGTAGATGCATCATAGTACCATCATATTATAATGTCACCGAAGATACTTACTATACCAAGTTAAGCCCAATCGAACGCCAGGAAATGTATCGTATATGGTACTATTATGGTACCTCTTGATATGCTTCATGGTACCATAATATTGCAATGTCATCAAAAATATGCAAGTATATATCAAATATGAGCTCAAATGAACGTCAGGAAGTGGTATCATAATATGGTACTATAGAAGGTACCAATTTATATGCTCCATGGTGCCATCATATTACGATGTTACCGAAAATACGTAGTATACAAAGTTTAAGATTAATCGAACGCCAGGAAATGGTATCGTAATATGGTACTACATTATGGTACCCCTTGATATGCTTCATGGTACCATAATATTGTAATGTCATCAAAAATACGCAAGTATAATCAAATATGAGCCCAATCGAACGTCAGGAAGTGGTATCGTAATATGGTACTATATTAAGGTACCACTTTATATGCATCATAGTACCATCATATTACAATGTCACCGAAGATACTTACTATACCAAGTATAAGTCCAATCGCACGCCAGGAAATGGTATCGTATATGGTACCTCTATCGTATATGGTACCTCTATCGTATATGGTGCCTCTATGTACTATTATGGTACCTCTTGATATGCTTCATGGTACCATAATATTACAATGTCACTGAAGATACGTAATATACCAAGTTTAAGCCCAATCGAACGCCATGTATCGTAATATGGTACTATATTACGGTATCACTTGATATGCTTCATGCTACCATAATATTGCAATGTCATGAAAAATACGCAAGTATATATCAAATATCGTACGATACCGAAAAAAACGGCGTCCAGTTGGCTGGGAAAAGACGATCGATGACATTTCCCATATAAATTTACACATAAAATGACAGCGATTTTCATTTCATAGTCATCGCTAACGTCGTTTTTTCCCGATCATACGGTATGAACACAATCGAACGTCAGGAAGTGGTGTCGTAATAGTAGAACAATACTTATTATATTGTCGCCGAATTACAATCAAAATTCAGGATTCAGTTAGAATCAAACGCCAGAGAGTGATTTTAATTCAGCTCGTAATATTTAACTCCAACTAACATGGCGAGTTAAATACTTAAACGTTTGAAAAAAGAGCTCTAATCTATTTTAATATGTTTAAGTGATGTAGGAAATTTGAAGCTAAGCTTTATCAGGAAATATTACAATATAAATTACACAATGGCAACACTGCATAAAATTCTTTTAAATTTCGACTGTAGAAAACTGTTTTCTTTTAAATTTATCGCCCTCTGTTATGTAGTAGTGAAACTACGGCATCAAAATATCTGATTTGGAGACAGGCTTTTAAAGCCTGTCTCCTTTTGCGACCTACGATTTTATACATGTAACGAGGCTTCTGTTGCGTAGCTAGATATTCTGTGCTGAGAGGGTTCGACAATATATGACGTTACGGTTAATGATGGCGTTACGGTTAATATTTATTATTTTATTTACAGGGGCTATTCGCTGGTGTTTTGAGAGAGATATAGTACAAATCTTAGGTCGGATTACGTTTAGCTGTTATTTGATTCACATAATATTTATCAGAATGGAAATGGGATATCGACGATGGCCCTCATCATTAAACGACACAATGAGCGTAAGTACTATTTTTGTACGGGATGTTTCAATATTCCTATATCTGTTATCTACAGTGTGTCCACGGATTGACTCCCAAAGAGGGAAAACTTTTTTATTCGTGGGTTTATGAAAAAAAGTTATTCTTCATAAAAACTCCTGCTTGAGCTTAAATGACCAACAGGCATGTTATTTTTACAGATGTATATACCGACTGTTGAAAATTTAAAAAATATGGAAAACGCTAAGAACAATTAAAGTACTTGTATATGTAAAAATACGATGAAAAGTTATTAATAAAAGTTCTAGGGATTGAAAAACTACACCACGTAACGAAATTTTATCTCACTAGCTAAATGTACAGGGATTGGTAAAAGATTCCTCTCCATATAAAATACCATTTACTCAACTTAATTTTTTTGAATAATTTTTAAATCCTTGTTTACCTTTACGCAATTTCATTATACTTCTCTTTTTAAATTAACCAATGGAGGCCATAAAATAAAACTCGTACACGACTTAGTATTAAACATTTTCTTTAGAAAACGAATGAAAAATAAAAAAATATTGTTACAACCTGCCTTTATTATCTATTATTTGTTTGCAACAATATTTTTTTATTTTTCATAATTCAAAAAATAATATGCCTGTTGGTCGTTTAAGCTCAAGCAGGAGTTTTTATGAAGAATAACTTTTTTTCATAAATCCACGAATAAAAAAGTTTTTCCTCTTTGGGAGTCAATCCGTGGACACACTGTATATGTAGATTTGTCGAGATTTACACAATGTTAATTAGTATAGCTCGTTATCAAGTTTATTCTTATTTTTTTCATTAAATCGGTTTTATTTTCAGTTTATAGCAGTACTGGGTGATTTAACCTGCGCGTATCTAGCTGGTTTAGTTCTATGCCTATTAGTGGAAATGCCAGTCTCAGCCTTGCAAAAGTTATTCTTCAAGGGCATTAAGGAGTCTAACGAATCGTCGATCACTGACAAACCACCTGCGTCTGTTAATTTCACGAATCACAGTTATGTTGAAACGGAAAATACAAAAGTTTAGAAAAATTACATGTATTATAAGACTAATGGAATATTTTAATTTATGTGTTATTTTAAGTTTTTTTTATAAAATTGTTAATTATTGATATTGAAGCAGAAATAAATTATGTGATTAATAGTAAAAAATAATTATTGTAGTATAAAAATTACTACAATTTTTTATATTAACAACATTTTTCAACATCATTTTCGACATCAGAGGTTACCATTTTCCTCGTGTTTGAAAAAATGTTTAAATATGAACAGTTATCAATATAGCAAGTGGTTTTACACATAAATTTAACATTTTTTACAAGTGGAGTTAATCGAATTGTGTAGTGAATGGGGTTTATACAGGGTGGCTCATCGAAAACGTTCCGCAAGGCATAACGGCCAGGGTAATTTTTTTTTCAGAAAATCCAAAAACACGTCAATTTTGTTTGTGAGGCCCCAACTTTTGCCCCAAAAATGATTGCAAAATCTTCAACCCTCTAAGCGGGGGTGTCATCCCCCAACTTTTTTCAAATGGGAAGGGGGGTCAAGTGGCACCGCAATGAAAAGAGCTTTCTATTCTCTATATTTCCCTGCTTCGTTTTTGAAAATCGGTCGAGTCATTGAGAAAATATGAAGGATTGAAATTTGAAAAGTTTATTTAAACATTTATCAGACTAAATGATAAGGATAAATTCCTTCGACCAATTTGCTGTTTTTTCTTATTATTTTTAGATGTTTACGCATTTTTTCACTTGCCACAAGGTTGAACGGTCAGGTGCGGTAGTTGCTAGATAGCTGTTCTGTGACTTGTGCGTTGAAGTTCTTCTCAATATCGTTAAACTTTTTAACAATTATGGTGTACTCACTTGCAGAAAAACTGGATATAATTGAACTTTATTTTAAAGATAATGAATGTGGCAATCGGTTTGCGCAGATATTCAATGAACGCCATCCTGACAAACAGCTTTATGGCAAAATTGTTCGCGATTTAGTAGCAAAATTTCACGAAACTGGTTCCGTTATGAATAAAAAGAGGCAGAGGGAAAATCCTGTAGTAAATGAAGCTATGGAGGTATTCGTATTGGGCCAAGTTGCCATGGGTAGTACGCTGAGTACAAGAAAATTAGCCAATAAGACCGCAACCGGCGCACAGAAGGGTATCTGAAAAAATTAGGTGACCAAAATTTGATTTGACAAATGTGACCTTTTTTTAAGAAACAGCAATATTTTTGTTAAGATAACATATGAATACACTATATATTATGTTTTTTTTCCACCTTAAGGAATCTTTGTTTTTGTTTCCATGCCACAATACAAAACTAGCATATTTATTTGAGTTATTAAGACAAAGTTTGAAATTCGATACCGTTTGTAGTAGCTACTTTTCTTGAAAACGTTAATATGGATATTGATGAAGCAGGTAAATACTACAAATTATTAATATGTTGTTCTATATATTCGATGTAACTGTTCCTAACAGTAAATTTAAAAGATTTGACGTTTTAAATTTTAAGTAAAGCTAAGTTTTTGTTATAGTTCCGTGTATTTCCCGCCTAATTTTTTTTTAAATTGTCTAGATGGTACTGTCTAGTACACGAATTTAAAAAGTTTAGACCCCATAATATCCGATTTTCCAAGATTTTTCTTTTTAAAAAAATCATGTAATTTTACATAATTATAAAACTTGTTAATTTTTATTTCGTTATTTAATTTTAGGACCATCTGGAGTGAAGGTATTTACCAAAAAGCAATTATTTGATATATAATGAACGAATAAGAATTGCCAAATATAACAGAAAAACTGTATTTTTTAGAAACTGTACTGTAAAAAAAAAAATAAAAAAAAATGCTACGTGGCTTGAAACATCTTTTTGTTTGCCAAAAGCAGTGCCAAACATGGGAAGACCTAAAAAGTCGTTTTTTGAATTGAGTGAGAGAAGTACAAGAAGAGAGGCCAAGGAAGTTCTTACTAAAACAGATGCCATGTTACTTACCTACGCGACTCAAATGCAATTGCATTCAGGAGGACATCGAACTGCATCAAAGTTAGTAACTTTAATGCAGTTCTTTAATAACAACAGAAGATCCCTCTGACAATGACGATCTATCTAATACGTTTTCTTCTGACGGGGAATCATCATCTAACTAAAAATGGACAAGGTTTTTGGGAATTTATAATTATTTTGTATTTTTATAGAGTTAATAATTAAATTTCCATATTTTCCTCTTTCTGTTATTCTTATATTGTATTTTTTACCCATAAAAATCGTGTAAATTGCAAAATTTCACATTAGTTTGCTATTATTCCAAATTAAAATCAATAAAATAGATTTGACCGCCTAATTTTTACAAATATCCCTCTGTGCGGCGTGAATCGTACAAGTGTCCAAACGATATTAAAAAAACACAAGTTCCACCCGTACAAAATTCAGTTGGTACAAGAACTCAACGAAGACGATTTTGATCGTCGCGGGCTTGTATTTTTGGAAATTCTATTGTGGGTCAGTTTAACGATATTGAGACCGCACCTGATCGTTCAACCTTGTGGCAAGTGAAAAAATGCGTAAACATCTAGAAATAATAAGAAAAAACAGCAAATTGGTCGAAGGAATTTATCCTTATCATTTCCTCTGATAAATGTTTAAATAAACTTTTCAAATTTCAATCCTTCATATTTTCTCAATGACTCGACCGATTTTCAAAAACGAAGCGGGGAAACAGAATAGAAAGCTCTTTTAATTGCGGCGCCACTTGACCCCCCTTCCCATTTGAAAAAAGTTGGGGGATGACACCCCCGCTTAGAGGGTTGAAGATTTTGCAATCATTTTTGGGGCAAAAGTTCCTTTTTTCCCTCACAAATAAAATTGACGTGTTTTTGGATTTTTCGAAAAAAAAAATATCCTGGCCGTTATGTCTTGCGGAACGTTTTCGATGGGCCACCCTGTATAAATGCTAACTTGAAAACTAATGTCAAATATTATTAAGATCAAGTATCACAGTTTTTGCAGAATGGCATCGTTAAATAAAACTGGAACACATCGAAATGAATTAAATCGAATTGTTTAAGTGATATTTTCAAAAGTCAATAACTCGGAAATGATTGGTTTGAGGTACATTGTGTGTATTTCAATTTTTGCTTAGAATTGAAGGAAGAATTGAAATATGCAATAAATATGCAGGGGGTTCAATTTAAAAAAAAAATAAAACTTTAATGTTCCACGACTTTATGACCGACCCTGTATACTTAGATTTATTACAAGATGTTAAGCATTTAAAAACCCTATAACTTTGGTTTTTAACTTTTTGCGATACCTCGTGTATTTTATCTAGTAGTGGGAACTATCGAATGAATACTATCGAAACATTCGATAGTTGCAATTCATTCGAATAATTCGATAGCTAGTAAGAAAACATTCGTTAAAAACTATTCGAATAAAAATTATCGAATAGATACGTCATCTGCCTTGAAATTTTGTATTCTAGTAATTCGGCAGCAAAAACCATTCATTTATAAAATTCATTCATTTATAAAATTCATTTATTCGTCAGGATCGATTATAATAAAATATTAACTGGATTTTAGTTGTCGCCCGGCGACGTAGGTTTCTTTCCTAGAAACCCGACAACGGTCGGTGGCAATGCTATGAAAGAAGCCGGCATCTTTGATTTTTTCCGGAGTTAGTTAAAGATAAGGACACATTATTTTTTTTATTGAGGTGCTAGTATTTACACAGAAAATACATTATGAAGGGCGCTGTTGCCATGATATTAGCAAAGAATATTATTGTTTGGCTTTAGTTAGTTAGGGATAGTATGTCTATATATTTTGCATTTTTTGTAATAATATTCTGTTGTTACACTGCAATAATACTTGTTATTTTGGATGTAGGAAAATTATTTTTAATGTTTTTAAGCAAAGACTGGTTTAATAAATAATAATAACAGTATTAATTTGTTATACCTATTAAAAACAAAATTTAAAATCATTTAATATAAACATTTTTTTAAGTAGTAGCAAAATATAAACAACAAATTAGATGTCAAAATTATTTATATTAGATCCTATTTAGAAATAATATAGTCTCTAAATGGCAACGTTGGTTTATTAAATAATAATAATTACAGAACTAATCTGTTATATTAACAACAAATTTTAAAATCATGAAATATAAACATTTATTAATTTTCTAAACATGCAGTGTAGTGGAAGGAAAATATAAATAAAAAATTAGAAGTCAAAATTATTTATATTATGTTCTTTATATCACTATTTAAAAATAATATGTACTTTTACTGGCATTTACTTTAAAAAACAAATGAAATATTTCTTCGCAAAAAACTACATGTTAGAGAATTAGCATAAACAAATTACAAACATCGTTAACTTTTTTTTTAAATTGGCACGTGTAAAACTTTCAATTTAATTTTCTCACCCCATAGTTTGAGTTTGATAACCATTTACTTAACCACATTACTTAAATATCGTCCTATTGCTGCCAAAAGTCACTAACATTTCTCCGAACAACCAAATTCAATCACTAACTATGTTTTGAAGCGGAGAATCGATTGCAAAAGTCATTAACTACGATTTCTGGCTATTTATGTTTTATTTTAATACCGAATAGTTACTAACTATAACATCTTTATGCAATGCAATTCATCTTTAGACGCATTTTTCTCGGAAGTAATAAAAAGTAAGTTAGTGACTTTTGGCACAATGGGACGATATGATTATTAAGTTCAACTAATTCATATTATTAAAACATATAAAATACAAATATGTATGTGTTTTTAAAATTAATTGTAAGGTAAGTTCAAATCATCTCTCTTAAAAATTGCTACTTCTCAAAATTTCCCATTAAAAAATAGACCTTATACCATATGAAATTAAATAATTGAAAGATCGGGCTACGGAAAATCACACAAATTTTCGGAAAAATTTTGATCATCTGCACACGCACACAATCGTCAATTAAAAAAAAACTACTATTTTAGTGTTTTAAATATTTTAATAAACGCAAAAATAGCACAGTATTTATAAGGCGAAGTTATAAAAATTTGGAAGAACTAATAATGCACTGACGCACACAAAATTCAAACGAATACTAAATTTCATTTATCAAAAGCATTCGATAGTCGTGGCTCAACGATAACCATTTAGTCGCACGGCGAGGTTGTCACATATGGTTTAGTATACAAATGAATGAATGATTTTATTCGAATAAAACCATTCGATAGTTGAAATCATTCATTCAGTAACCATTCGATAGTTTAATTCATTCGATAGTTCCCATCGCTAATTTTATCCAATAATCGACCGTTTCCATACATATCAGCGACCCTATACCTACACCTATCATTTTTGCATACAATGATATTTTTATTTTATTTTTGACCTAATATGATTCTTTTTATATTTTTTGACATATTGGCTTACTACACGACTAACTAATATAAAATTAAAAATCTAAGTGCAACTATTTAGGCTGTTATTATAATTTTATTTCATAATGAGTGAAAATCAACAAAAACAAATTTCATTTTAAACAGAAAATATTGAAAACAATTTTAATTATTTCTCACAACTAATAGTCTGTATTGCCTCCTCGAGCCATTGTTTGTAAGCTATGAGACGACGTGGCACGCTCTCAATTAAGTTGTCCAGAAGATGTTGAGGAATGGCTTCCCATGTTTCGCGCGCAGCAATTTTCAATTCATTTAAGGTACGGGGAGGATCATTCCTTTTTGGCAATATGTTTGTTTTAGCATGTCCCAAGCATGCTCGATCACATTCATATCTGGAGAAATCGGTGGCCACCACAGTTTTCTGATACCCTTTCCCTCACAAAATTCGCAAACCGCTAAAGTGCGATGGGGAGGAGCATTATCGTTCATGTAAAAAAATTCATCCCCCACTGCCCCTCGAAATGGACGCACAATAGGCTCTAAAACGTCTCTAAGATATGAGACACCTGTCATTGTGCCCGTATATGCAATCTACAATATGTGTAAAAATAACCACAAACAACAATATCTGTAAGAATTATAGAACTTTTATTTGTAAAGTCATAATCTTACTTAAGGAACTCTGAACATTTCCTTAACGTTAACAAGAGCCAAAAATTAATATTCTGTTTATGATTTAGCCCTGATGCCAAGCACAACCGAAAAAAAACTTTCTTTTCAAACAGACCCGCTACTAAAACCGTATTTGTTATTCAAGACTCACTCGAGTCGTTTATTTTTATTTAGTGCACTTGCTACATGTTTATAACGAAGAAAAACCGCTTTAAATAAAACCGTGCCTATGTCGAAAGATTGTCCAAGATCGTCGGGTACGCGATGGCGAGTCTTTTTGCGAATATATGTTCTAGTCGGTAATTCTTGTAATAAATCACTCTGAAATTGTGTAAAAGGTTCACAAACGACTGTTTTGATGGTTAATGTTGACAAGTTCGCCAGTAAAAATAGAACGTCTTCTTAGTAGCGATAAAAATGCGGCACGGTGTTTTGGTTTTAGTGATTCTAACTTATTTTCATGAAGGGAAAAGCCAAGTAACCGGTAAATATACATTTTAATCAAGAATTCTTTTACTCAATAATTATTGTAAAATACACTCAGATGCAAAAAAACGCAACGGAGAAATTTTTGGTCAAATTTAAGGTGTTATATTTTTGTTATTTTTAGCCCTATTTTCATGAATTTTTTGCAAACTGATAATTATATCAACTTTAATTCGTAAAGTCAGTTTTTTGTAACCTTTACTATTTGGCATATTATGCAGGGTTAATCGGGGGTTGTTTTTTACCTTAACTTTAAAACACCCTGTGCAATAATTTCGTATGTATATTTTTCTAAAATATAATTTTACGGTCAGAACCATGACTCCTGAACATTTTGTTTATGATCTTGTCAATACATGCTTTGGTTAATTTTTAAGAGCGAAATGAGCTTATCGTGATCAATTTACAATTTTTTCAATTATCATTACTTTTCGATGTAATTTCTTAAAATGACGAGATGGTTTTGATGACTATTGTCATAACATCATATTACACTGCGTTGGATGCTCTATATTAAATAAAAAAAAAACGTTAAAGACTAACGATACAGTCCTGGTTTCAATAAACATTAATAGCGATAACAGAACTAACGATATTAAAGAAAACATCTGATCTGTAAAACTGAAGGATACAAATAGAAGAAAAAAATTGTAAAGAATACCTTAATAACAGGGGCGGATGGGGAAGTGGAAACCGGCCCGGGAAAAACAGACAACCGGCCCATATAAGAAGAAACATATTTTATTTATCTATACAAGGCGTTCCAGAAATAAGAGCAAGTATTTTAACTGGTAGTATAGTTGAACCCCAGAAACACGCGTATGATGCTTTTTTTCGCAAAAAAAAACTTTTGAATATTCGGAATTTTTTGAAAAATGTTTTGGAAATTTTTTTAGTTTTTAGTTAAAAAACATTATTTCTTGATAATATGCCAACATAGGTAGTAGATTAAATTTACAAGAAATAAAATGCAGAAAAGATCCAGTGGTTCTCAAAATTTGAGCAAAAAATTATTTTTTTTTAATTTTAAAAGTAAAATAACTGCGTTGTTTTGTACTTTGAAAAGACTGATTTTGTTTGAAAAACGATGAAGAGCAAATATCTTTCTTTTATCTACTGTCTACTCCATAAAATACTTGCACTTATTTCTGGGACAACCTGTATATAAGTAAGGGTGTTTTTTGCTCGTTTTTCGCAGCCCTTTTGCCTCCGGTTTAAAATTTTTACTACAAAATGGCTCAGTTTTACAGGGTTCTATTGCTTTATTTCCATTATCGATAACGGTAATTTGATCTTGAATAGGCTACGATTTTGAGAAACTTCCTGATTCATTCAGTTCAGCTGACCCAATCCTCTGTGAAATACATTACTTTTAGCTTTTCGGGTATACTTTCTTACACATTATATAGAAAGAAATTCTCTCTTTTCTGCTACAGTAGCAGCCTCTTCGTGTTTTTAACTGAATGAACCGCGGTTGCCATTAAAACTGGAGAAACTTTTCTTATCACGAAAATTTTCCTCTATACTTTTGTACATTTGGCATCTTGTATGATAATGCCATGACTCAAACGAAAAAAACCTAGGCAATACCTAGGCAGCGGATGTAGATGTATTCTGATGTAATGTTATTTTACAGTCTAAAATAAGAATATTTGGATCTTCGAGACATATTAATATTTTATTATCTAATCTAGTTTAAACTTTATTTAACTCTTGTCTACTGTCTCTGGTCTCAGCAAATTCAGTTTAGCAACATTATAAAGAACAATTTAGACTTGGTTTTTGGTTCTCAGACTTGGCTTTTAGTCCGTCCCCAATTCAAGCCAAGCATAGATATGTTTTCTCCGTCAACCGAAGAATTCGCGTCAAATTCGTCTACCTTCTTACCGAGGTCCCCAGTTGTCAATCTACGCTACCGTATTCTTATTAGTATACATTTAGATCTAGACTATTTAAATTTACCTAATGCTATTCATTCTTTTTTTACTGTCAGTCAGTCATATTTATTAGTTATAAATAAAAGAATATTGGGTAAAACTATACAGGGTGAGTGTTAAATAAGTGCAAATATTTTCAGCGGTGGTATATTTCGACCCCAGGAACACGTCAATGAGTTTTTTTTTGCAAAAAAAGATAAAAAAATCGAGCATTTTCTTTTAAATTTTCCTGCATATTTTAGAAAACTAAATAAATAAATAAATACCTTTATTGTCAAAAAATTTTACAATTTGTAGACAAGTAGAACTTTTTAGAACTTTGTTCACAGCAAATTTTCCCACGGTATAATTTCTTAATCTCTGATATTACGGCACTAAAAGAGATGCAAATACCGAAAAATTGAGGTGGCTCAATTTAAAAGAAAAATATATTTTTTTTAAATTTCCAAACTTTAATAACTCGATTGGACTTATTTGAAACTCGATAAAGAAAATATATTATGTTTATTTTATTGAGATCTACCAGCCCTGAAAATATTTGCACTTATAGACTCACCTTGTATAATAAAATTTTCAAACCGAACAAACAACAGATGATTATTAAAATTAAGTGTCCCAGACATTTAGTGTTAGACATTTTACAATAGGTTATTTTACAAATAGGTGTTTATGTTTAAAAGCAACGACGATTATACTGATGAAAATTGATTAGTTAGTTATGGAGTCACTAAGGATCTTACGTTACTTTAGTTAGAAGATTAACCATTTAATGTTTGCTAATCCAATCTTTTTTTGAGCTCTGATCGGGATCGGCCCACCGGCCCATTTTTTCACCGGCCCACCGGGAATTTTCCCGTTTTCCCATATGGCCCATCCATCCCTGCTTAATAATTTGTATTGCCCTCCCTTGGTTGTTATAACTGCCTGTATACGTCCGTTTATACTGTCATTGAGGCTGCATATACCATATTGCGTTATGCTTTCTCATTCTTCTTTAAAAACCAAGCGAAGTTCATTTAATACGCTGGTACCGCTTCGCAACCTCTAACCCTCCTGCCATGCATTTCCCCAACGTCGAACATGATGGGCAGTTAATAGTAGTATAATAGTTCACAATAATCACCAAAGCCGCCTTGTTATATTGAAAAATAACTTCAAAAAGAAATGATAATTGAAAAAATTTCAAATTCTTGTTGGGAAGTTCATTTCGCTCTTAAAAATTAGCCAAGGCATGTATTGACATGATCCAAAAAAAACAAAATGCTCAGAAGACTTGGTTCTGACTAGTAGTGGGAACTATCGAATGAATACTATCGAAACATTCGATAGTTGCAATTCATTCGAATAATTCGATAGCTAGTAAGAAAACATTCGTCGAAAACTATTTGAATAAAAATATCGAATAGATGCGTCATCTGCCTTGAAATATATTAATTCGGCACCAAAAACCATTCATTTATAAAATTCATTCATTTGTAAAATTCATTTATTCGTCAGGATCGATTATAATAAAATATAAACTGGATTTTAGTTGTCGCCCGGCGACGTAGGTTTCTTTCCTAGAAACCCGACAGCGGTCGGTGGCAATGGTATGAAAAAAGCCGGCATCTTTGATTTTAAGTCAGATAAAGATAAGGACACATTATTTTTTTTATTGAGGTGCTAGTATTTACACAGAAAATACATTATGAACGGCGTTGTTGCCGTATATTCGTATTAGTTGGTATTAGCAAAGAATATTATTCTTTGGTATTATAGTTAGTTAGGGATAGTTTGACTATATATTTTGTATTTTTTTATTAATATTCTGTTGTTACACTGCAATAATACTTTTTATTTTGGATGTAGGAAAATGATTTTTAATGTTTTTAAGCAAAACTGGCTTAATAAATAATAATAACAGTAATAATTTGTTATATATATTAACACCAAAATTTAAAATCATTTAATATAAACATTTTTTTAAATAGTAGCAAAATATAAACAACAAATTAGAAGTCCAAATTATTTATATTAGATCCTATTTAAAAATAATATAGTCTCTAAATTTTTTGTGTGGCAACGTTGGTTTATTAATTAATAATAATTACAGAACTAATTAGTTATATTAACAACAAATTTTAAAATCATGAAATTATTAATTTAATTAGAAAATTTATTAATTTTCTAAGCATGCAGTGTAATAGAAGAAAAATATAAATAAAAAATTAGAAATCAAAATAATTATATATGTGTATTACTTTTTATTACTTTGTATTAGTATTTAAAAATAATATTTGCTTTTACTGGCATTTACTTTAAAAAATAAATAAAATATTTCTTCGCAAAAATCTACATGTAAGAGAATTAGCATAAACAAAATACAAATATCGTTAACTTTTTTTTAAATTGGCACGTGTAAAACTTTAATCAATCAATTTAATTTTCCCATCCAAAAATTTGAGTTCAATAACCATTTACTTAACCACATTACCACATTACTTAAATATGATTATTAAGTTCAACTAATTCATATTACTAAAACATCTAAAATACAAATACATATGTATTTTTAAAATTAATTGTAAGTTCACCTCATCTCTCTTAAAAATTGTTACTTCTCAAAATTTCACATTAAAAGAATAGACCATATACCGTATAAAATTAAATAATTGAAAGATCGGAAAATCACACAAATTTTCGGAAAAATTTTGACCACCTGCACAGGTACACAATCATCAATTTAAAAAAAAACACTACTACTTTAGTATTTTAAATATTTTAATAAACGCAAAAATAGCACAGTATTTAGAAGGCAAGTTATAAAAATGTGGAAGGACTAATAATGCACTGACGCAGACAAAAATCAAACGAATACTAAATTTCATTTATAAAAAGCATTCGATAGTCGTGGCTTAACGATAATCATTTAGTCGCACGGCGAGGTTGTCACATATGCTTTAGTATACAAATGAATGAATGATTTTATTCGAATGAAACCATTCGATAGTTGAAATCATTCATTCAGTAACCAATCGATAGTCTAATTCATTCGATAGTTCCCATCGCTAGTTCTGACCGTAAAATTATATTTTAGGAAAATTTACACACGAAACTATTGCACATGATGTTTTAAAGTTAAGGTAAAAAACAACTCCTCGATTAACCCTGTATAATATGCCAAACACTAAAGGTTATAAAAAACTGAGTTTACGAATTAATGTTGATATAATTATATACAGTTTGCTAAAAAATTCATGAAAATAGGGCTAAAAATAACAAAAATATAACACTTTAAATTTGACCAAAAATTTCTCCGTTGCATTTTTTTGCAACTGAGTGTAGTATAGCATAGAAAATGGAAGAAAGAACTATCTTTATAAAAAATCTCTATGCCTCGTGTGACGGGTTCATCTCTTCAAAAAGGTCCTATGGGTATTTCGCCACTGTAAGAATTATTTTTAATAGAAACCATTTTAGAGATTTGTTGGACACCCATTGTTTTATAGCCATTCTTGTGACTGCTTTTACAATACCGCAGAAGGTTTCTGGGCCTATTAATGGCATTGATGGGCCTAGTTTGGCCATTTCATCTGGCTTTTCGTTACCCTTGTAACCCTCGTGCCTTGCTATCCAGCCTAAGGGCACTGACGACCAGGTCGCACCGGCCAGGCCGTAGCTACCTCTAAAACCATTAAATCAAATGATGTAGCGCACACTAACGTCCTGGCCGTCCGTTGGTCGTTGCGACCTGTTGCGACCAGAAGACTGCACGGAAATATTATTATTTTCTGCCGCTTGTTGCCGGTTTTCTTCCAAATTAATAATTTTTCAGGAGGACAACTGTATTTTAAATATGATATTTAATTTAACGTTTTTCAAACAGGGTTCATTAGACTCATCATATAATCAGATAATATGGAGTTTTCATACAACGCACTTTTCGACACAGTTTTACTCTCTAAGGGGATGCATTTCTTAAAATCGCTTTATCCAGTTAATAAATAAATGCCATTTAAAAGATCCTTTGTGCTAATATTTATGTATCTACTGTATGATCGAAAAAAACGGAGTCCAGTTGGCTTGGAAATGAACTTTATTATTGAAACTTACTTTATTACTTTCAAATTCTCTACATATAATTTTTAATGTTTTGTTTTTCAAGGTGTGTTATATTATGCTAATCGAATTTTGTTGCAGATAAGCAATATGCGCTTATGCCAGAATTGTTTTACATGGACAACTTTGACCAGTGCATGTTGCATGGGGATGAAGCTCTATATTGTTTTTTTACTTACGAACTGAAACCAACAACAGATAATAATGTAATTTGGAATATAATTCAAGTAAGTTAAAGGAACTTAATTTGATAACATCTGTGAAAATGTTGAATTTATTTGACATTTGACTTAAAAAAGTAAACAACCTTTAAAGGCTTACCTACTTAATTAATAAATGTAAGATTGTAGTGTTGCGCACTGCTTGTCAAATTTTATGAATTTTGATGAGTTTTTGACGCATTTTTCATGATACTCAAGGAAATATTCAATTTTCCTAAATACTCTTTCAATACAATAGTGCACACTGTGTGCACACATGTAAAGTACACACTCTTGCACTCTTTATTATTCTAGAGACATCTTGGACATGTTTTGTGCCAGAAAATCGCCCATAAGGTTGCGCATCTCCTTAGTTCTTCAATCAACAATAACACTTTTTAATCACACATCTACATTTGCTTATTTCTCTGAGATATAAACTAATATCATAATTAAAATAATATGTTCGGTTTTAGAATGTTAGTTCAAAGCCCGAAAATTACAATCACACTAAACTCCGTCATGGATTGTGCGTTCCAACAAGTTGTTCAAGGGATTACGCGGCGTCGGGCTCTGAAGTGGAGGCCATCCAGAACTGTTACAGCCGTAAATTGGCTCTTTTGGGATTAACTGGAAACGTATCGGCTTTGGACTGCCAGACTAATACGTCTAGGTATCCGGTGGATATCTATGATTGGGCAGCGGGGTATTTAATGAATATAACCATGTTTCTCTGTTTTCACTGATATAATTATGATTGAACTTTTTTTCAGGGGCGTATTTGTGCTATACATATCTTTTTTGATATTCGCATCCCTTTATGAGAAAATAGTTCTGAGAAGGTCGATCCAAAAAAGCAAAACGACAGGTTATTGTATGATTTATATTTATGATATAACGGGTGTACAAAGCAAAGTTAAAAAATTTCAAAAGCTTCATTCGCGACCTCGCAATTAGTGGTTTCAATTACACTTTATACTTTTTAGTTTACGATGTCTAAAAACACAATTCAAATTAATAGAATATCCTAGCAACAGCTTGCGGTAGTCAGTTGTATCCATAGAGAAAATATTCAGCTTATAAAACAATCAACATTTGATTTCTAACCACAATTTCTCTTGACTGAAGATAATCAAAGGCCAAAATAACATTTCTCGCAAATTTTTAAGTATAATTAGTGGAAAAGCTAAAAGTTTGTTAATTTTTTCTACTAATTGAAAACGACTACCACTAATTTTGACGTTTTGAATGCTTACATTGAAATTAGAGGAAAAAACTTCTACGCTAATTAAAACCACTACTTTATTCGACTAATTGCGAGCCTTCCCAAGTAACATTTTTCGGAGCCTAAAGTTTTATTAAAAGGTAACGGATATTTATAAGAGGTCTATAAGAAACCTTAACATTTATACGAGTGTTTAAAGTCTTATAAGAACACTATTGGTGTTAAAAGTTTTGTAACACCTCGAAAACCTTTGGTATTGGTTACTTAAGGTTTTTTAAAAGGGTTTTATAGCGTTCTTAAAAACCTTATTATAAAACTTTTACTCTTGGAGTTTTATAGCTTACTTCCTAAAACCCTTATAAATTCTAAGGCACCTAATAAACATCTCAACAGCTACTACAAAACCTAAAGAATTTTATAAAACTTATAGGCTCAGTAGCAACTCCTTTCATGTGTAGAATAGGGGGCGCTATATTTTTAGGGTTAGGTTATGTTTTATGTTCCTGTTTTGCTTTTGTAAATCAAAGATGGAAGTAGAAAGAAAAAATTGGAAAAAATTAAATACATTAGCAGTTTTTATAGAAAGTGCGTTAAAACCCGCGAAAATATTTTGGGAAGCACACTACCCACAACTACTATAAATTACCAAAACTTAGACATTTCTCAAGAAGATATATTACCAAATACTTCGACTGAATAGACTGCCACCGATAAAGGAAGGGGCAGAGGACCTTTGGAAGAATGTATAGATTCAAAGACGGTGTTGATTTTCCATCTTCTGTGGTTTGGACAATTTTGAAGTGTATTGAAGGGTTTTGTTTTAATTATTTTGATTAAAAAATTGTTTTACAAAAGCCAAAGCGCCCGAAACAAAAAGTGGGGTTATAGTCAATGGTCAAGATTCTATAAAAATCTTTTTGTTAACTTATAAAACTATTAAGTATCACAAAAGCACCTCAGGTTTTATTGGAAGAGCAAAATTCCCATGACACCTAGGAAAGTGTTATAAGAGTTTTTAAAGTGTTGATGATTACTTAAAGGCCCATATAAAACTAGAGGTTTTTAAAAGGCGAAATGGCAAACATGACGTCCTTTTATAAGGCGGCCATTTTATATTTGTGTTGTTGTACTTACACAAAAAAGAAGAATATTGCATTTTAAGCAATATTACCGAAGCTTTAAGACGTATTTTTTCAAAAGCATGGGGTTAAGAAATGTTGCGCAGTTTATTTGCAAAAAAAAACAAATCATGGGACTTAAATTTAATTTTTTGGTTTTTACAAAATAAATTAAATTTGAGTTCTGAATGGGGGCGCTTTAGTTTTAAGAAGGGTAAAATGTTAATATTACTCGATAAATTTTCCGTGCCAATAAAATTTAGTCCTCATAGAATTCTTACAGAGTATTTAAGTTGTTAGGATAATTATTATAACACGCCATTTTCATCAAAGTGAAAATCCATTGCTGTCAACTTTAAACTACAAGCAGAATAATAATGACAAGGACTTGAAATAGAATATATTGCAAACAAACGTTGTAGAAAGAGATGAACTTAAAAGGGGCGTTTTTTATTTTGGTGTTTATAAACACTATAAAGGAATATAAAGGTTTTAAAGAGGTAAAGAAAATGTATTCCTTCCCGCTATAAAACTTATTTATGGTTTATAAAGGTAAAGACAACCTCTTAGTTACCAATAAATGGAGAGTAAAGGTCACGTTAAAGGTTTTAGAAGGTACTAAAATTCGGCCACCGTTACCTTTATAAGATTCTCCATTTAAGTGCTATAGGGGTATTATAAGGGTAACGAAAACGTTTCGGGAACAATTGATAGGCTCTTAGGTTTTATTAAGTAGGTTATCGAAACGTAACCATTACCATTATAAAACAAAAAATGTTAGTTGGGTTAGCGAGGTTCCGAATGAAGCTTTAAGATTTAAGCTTCATTCAGAACCTCTCAATTAGTGGAATAAATTAGTGGTTTCAATTACACTTTATACTTTTTAGTTATACGTTATTCAAAATGTCTAAAAAACACAATTAAAATTAATAAAATATCCTAGCAACAGCTTGCAGTAGTCTGTTGTATCCATAGAAAAAGCATAATATTTAGCTTATAAAACAATAAACTTTTGATTTCTAAAGCGGGGTATATACATGCAAGGATTACTGGCGCCAATCAACTGGCGCTAGTTTTATTGTATGTGGAAACCTGAAAAATCGACTGGCGCAAGTTTAGTGGCACTACTAATTCATGTGCCAGTAAAGTTCAACGCTTCTGTACTTTTTGGCGCCAGTTTTGTGTGTAAACAATACAGCACACATCTCCAGTCGTAAAAATGTCGTTTGTTTCAAAAAAGTGGTCTACTGAATTAATAATAAAGTTTTTGGAAGCCTACGAACAACATCCTTGCTTATGGAACAATAAAATAAGTGATTATAAGGACCGAAATAAAAGGGATGAAGCCTTAAGGAGAATTGTTGGAGTCATGTCTGATTCTCTCAGCAACTTTGATGTAAATTCCGCAAAGGCCAAAATTTGAAGTATTATGAACGCTTACACCCTAGAGCATAACAAGGTGTCAAAATCTCATAAAACTGACCGTAATGACATGCCAGTTTTAAATTTACTATAGACCTGTGGAAACGGGTAATGGCGCCATTTAATTGTGGCGCCAATAAACTGGCGAACACTGGCGCTAGTAATCCTTGCATGTGGAAACCCCGCTTAACCAAAATTTTTCCTGTCGAGTGATAATCAAAGGCCAAAATGACATTCTTCGCAAATTTTGAAGTATAATTAGTGGAAAAGTCAAAAGTTTGTTAACTTTTTCCACTAATTGAAAATTACTACCACTAATTATGATGTTCTGAATGCTTACATTAAAGTTAGGTGAACAAATTTCTATGGCTAATTGAAACTACTTATTTATTTCACTGATTTCAAGGTTTTGAATGAAGCTTTAAGCTTAATTCTATTAGCGTAGAAGTTTGTTTCTCTTATTTGAGTTTTGCGTCTTGCATCTTGTTTTGGCTGTTTGGCTGATTTATAGAGGTATAAAAGCTCACAGCATAAAAACAGTAAAACAGATAGCTAAAACAGCAAAATAAACATTACAAACAGTATAACAGATGGCCAAAAGTATGAGGCAGACAGTAAAAACTGTAAACAGTCAACAAAAACAAGAAAGCAGACAGTAAAATCAGTAAAAGTTTGCTGACTGGCTCAAATGTCCCCATACCTACTTTAGTTATAATAATATGTTATATGCAATCATTCATGATGTAAATAGCACTGAAGAAATAATTCTAAAATTTATTTATTTCCTAGTAAAGTATCTTGAGTTTTTAGGTGGTAGAATACTGGAGGCTTTTTCCATTTTCAAAAACTGGAAAAGATTGACGTCTATATCCGAAAACTCTGATCATAAAAAACTGAGAATAATTCAAGGACTTCGATTCTATACCATGTTCTGCGTTATTATGTCCCATACGTTGATGGCTACATTTGGTGGTCCAATAGCAAATACGCAATACACTGAAAATGTAGGTATTGTTAAACACCCTCTACACACTATGTCCGAAATGTTTCACGAAATATTTGTGGAAATACTTCGTGAAACATTTCGCGAAGCATTTCCCGAAATACTTTCAGAACTAAACCTCAATCTTTTTCTTTTGTTGCGGAATATCTTGGCTTTTCTCGGCCGCAAACATGGAAACAGATCGAAATCAACCGGAACAGATAGTGTTGCTTCAGAAATATGTTGCACGAAATATTTCTGAAAATATTTCGTGAAACATTTCGAGAAGCATTTCTCGAAATACTTTCAGAAATAAACCTCAATCCTATTCTTTTTTTGCGGACTATCTTGGCTTGTCTCGGCCGCAAACTCGGAAACAGATCGATATAAACCGAGACAGAATAGATGGTGGCTTCAGAAAAATAAGTAAACATGGAGCATGAATAAATATCATTAGTTTGTAACGGAGTATAATGTAATACCACTATACAGGGTGAGTTTTCTACGATGTTCTCTATGGGTATCTCGGAAACTACTGGAGATAGAGACTCGGTTAAATGGGGAAAGAATTGCAGTTTTGTAGGGTCATAAATATGCGCCTTTCAGATTTTTGAAAAAGTTCATGGCTTACTAGATATTTCGAAAAAAGCAAATTTCGGCTATTTTAAAAATGGTCTCTATTTCCATTATAATCTATTTTAGACAAAAAGTTTTCAGATAAAAGTTGTAGATAATCACATCCTTAATGAGACTGTGTTCCCCGTTTCTCTCTAAAGCCTGTCATTTTTGACATATGATACAAACTTGTGTTTTTTTAAATGGAAACCATAGTTGGCCATGACTTCATAAAAAGCGCCATTTTTTAAGCTTTTCACCGATATAAGCTATAATATGTTTTTTTGGAAAAATTTTTGAGTTATAGCCAATTCTTATCTTTCTTGGTTAATTTCACTTAGTTGGCATGGTATATTCTATTATGTTATTTATTTAATTATTATAATTTATGACTTATAAAAACACAGAATATTTTATTAAACAATTCTTTACAATTTACATTACACAAACTTAAACTTAAAAAATAATATCGTTACAAACAGTTTAAGTTATTTTAGAAAATATTGAAAAAATATAGACAAATCAGATCCATGCAATTGAGTCCGAGTCCAATTGAGAGGAGGCCCATGCAATTGGTCCACCTCTTCCTATCTTTGAGTTTAAATAAGTACGATATAAATAATTTTTAACATTTTTTTCATTATGAGGGGGGGGGAGGTCATAATGAAAGTTATCTTGGAACCACTCTATTGATGCGCGAGTCTCTAAATTTAACTTTTCTAACATGTCTTGAAAATCGTTTTCTAAAAAGTCTATGTAACTATCCTCGAAAATGTATGACCAAGAAAAGTTGAACTAATAATCCTACACGCTTTTCTTCATTTGAAAAATTCATATTTACAATTTTTGGTTATTTTAATTTACAAAGTTTTTATGTGACAGTTTGACATTTCTGATAGCCACGACGATTGAACTTGTTTCCATGGCTAACTAAGTGAAATTGTTTAAAAATTAAAAGAATTGGCTATAACTCAGTATTGCTTCGAAAAAAAAAAACATATTGTAGCTTATATCGCTGAAAAGTTTAAAAAATGGCGCTTTTTATTAAATCATAGCCAACTATGGTTTCCATTTAAATAAACATATGTTTGTGTCATATGTCAAAAATGACAGACTTTAGAAAAAATCGGAGAACACAAAGTCATTAGGGATGTAATTATCTACAACTTTTATCTGAAAACATTTTGTCTAAAATAGATTATAATGGAATTAGGGACAATTTTTAAAATAGCCAAAATTTATATTTTCGAAATATCTAGTAAGCCATGAACTTTTTCAATAATTTGAAAGGCGCATATTTATGACCCCACAAAACTGCAATTCTTTCCCCATTTAACCGACTCTCTATCTCCAGTAGTTTCCAAGATACCCATAGAGAACATCGTAGGAAACTCGCCCTGTATTAAACTGATACTAAAAATCAAAAACAGTGCTTTTAGAAAACAGTTACCGATGGTAGATTAAATTGGCTATTCCCCTAATATTTAGTTTTAATTATTGACTAATATTATTAATTACAATATAGTAAAAAAATGTATTTCAAAACTTAAATCGTAAAACTGCAGGGCAACAGTAACTAACAGAACTGTTCTATCGGCTTATAATCCATGGTGTTAAACTTTTTAAAAAATCGTCTATTTTTTTTATTTTTGAATGGATTTATATCGAACCATGCTGTGTATTAACAAAAAAATATCGTTTACAGTTTTCTCTTAAATACAATAAGGGAACATTGTTTTTTAAAAATGTCTGTGTGCCATACTTTTATTGGCATAGGCTCAATCAATAATTTTCCCAATCAGCTCGATATATTGATGATGTTGCCTGTATTACTCATCAAGCAATACTGCCGTTATATTAATCAATTAAGGCCGTAAACAAACCTAACATATACAATTTTATGTACTAATTCCATTAAAATTAAATTTTTTTAATAATAATAGCTCCCGTATATAGCGTTTAGCGCCTTGGGAGTGGCAAAGTACAGCTTGCCATGCTAGAGCCGTTAGGTATACAAGGAAGGTAATCTGGCTAGCATTACGCTTCAACCGCCTATTATTACCTCAGGATTGTGAATCCCCAGTACTCATTTGAGGCTGAGTCGACCTAGGTACCCAATTTTTAGAATTTACAATTTTTTCCCCTAGGAGATGCAAGACCTTGTCGTTGGTGGGGAAGCTCCTTGTCAGGTGCTGGCAGAATCTCCTCTAGCACTTTGGCTCGGTCCAAGAAGCATCTCACTCATTGTCTTGTCTCTGGCTGTAGTAGCCAGGGAATTGCACCAAGACATTTAAACCAGGCACCTTCTACTGTCTGTGGTCATGTCTCGCGGGTAGAGGGTGTGGGGGTGTCTTGAATTCTACGATGGCGGGGCCAGGTCAAAGGGATGCGTGGCTAGATAGGGGACTAGCCATTACTGGTCTCAACCTTGGGGCATCAGGGGGCACCCCATTGTATTTACCCCTTACTTCTACATGCGGGGCTCTGTAGAAGTGGACTGACTATCCCTAGCGACTCGTGGGAACACTATGAGCAGTAATAAAAATAAAAACACCAACACCACCGGAGAAGCTGTGGGGAAACCCCCTAGCGACACTGGGAACAGGAACAATGAAAGTTCCAGGGGGTCAAACCCCCCAAAGAAAACTACAGGAGAGGTGGCTGACACTTGCGCGGGACCGTCCTGCGCTAGTGATACTCAAGCTACCACCTCCTTTAGCAAGGGTCGGGAGCTTACCTCTAAACCCAACAGGCGACACAGACTACCGTTTAGTCTACCTGGCCTGGGTCAACCAGGCGGGTTGGACGATCCGCTGAGAGTGGGTCTTAGCGGAGCAGAAGCACGGAGATACCTCCGACTGCTCCACGCAGGACTTGCTCCAGAGGAAGCAAAAGAGAAAGTACTCCTCCATAGAGGGGAGGGCAAAGGAACCAAGAAACAGGCCGGCGCATCTTCACCAAAGGGCAAAAGAGGGAACGAAAACCTTTCACCTCTGCTCCGGCAAGAAGAGAAAAAAGCCAGGATGGAAAGACGTCCAACACCGAGAGGCAAGCAGGGACATATCACCAGCTTTGCCTCTATTGCTGGACAAGTGAAAATGGCAGTGCTACCAAAGGATTACCCAGAGGTTGTACTGACCACCGACCAGCAAACGGCTCTAGAAGAGGCGATACTGGACGAAGTAGTGGCGATTGGAGAGCAACACAACGACGGACAAAATGTGGGTCAAATGCGATTTGCGGGGATTCACTTTCGGGTGGGCATGCTCCTCATAGACTGTGTATCTCCAGAATCGGCGGATTGGTTGATAGAAACGGCACCTAAACTTAAGAATTGGCAGGGGCCGGGACTGGTTGCTCTGAAGGGAGAAAACATCCCTAAGGAGGCGACCATCACGGTCTATTTGCCAAGGAGCAAAGGGAAAGACACCACCTACCTGCTGAACCTTTATCCAGGGTCAGAACTCCGATGTAAGGACGTCGTGTTGGCGAATCATCAACTCGAGGGAGGAGGGCCACGGCCAAGTCCTCACAATAGGAATTGACCTCAAATCCAAGGAGGCAATAGAGAAAGAGGGATACCCTCTTTACTATAGATTCGGGACAACACCGGTATCAGGTCTAAGAAGAGACCAAGCTAAACAGGTAGAGAAAATGGAGACATATCCTCCAGCCTCTACCTCACAGGAACCTCAGCCGAAGACTAGCTCCTCGACTGTGAAGGGCACGGGGGGCCAAACCCCAACCGTGGAAGGGTGTATATCCTCGGAGAAGGTTGATGGCCACTTCTCGGAGGAGGAACTTCCGTTGTCAGAGGAAGATGAGGAATACCCTATCCCCTACAACGGGAGAATCCTCACACACCCCAGTAACCTAAACCAGGTCCAAAGTCCTACTCCAGCCCCTCTTCCCACCCCAAACTTATCCTTTCTTCCTTCCCCCCCATGCATGGGATATCCCAAATAAACCTGCACCATGCAAAAGGGTCTTCCGCTACAATAGCAAGACTCTTTGAGAAAAATCATTATGCAATGGTACTAGCCCAGGAACCCTGGGTGTATCAGGGACAAATTAGAGGTTTGTCTGGAAAAATTCAAAGGTAATATATGATAACAGGCAGGAATTTCCCCGAGCCTGTATTCTTATAAGAAAGGACATTAACTACACATGTGTTTCAGAATTTACAACCCGAGATCTTGTTCCTATCATGGTTTAGCTTAATATCGAGGATTGCAGTAAAAACATCGTGATTGCCTCTGCTTACTTTCCGGGTGACGGGGAGGCACCGCCTCCGGAGGTACGGGAGCTCGTGCGATTCTGCAGCCAACGGCGACTACCTCTGCTAATGGGATGCGACTCCAATACACACAATGAGGTATGGGGGAAGCACTAACACTAACACTAGAGGTGAGTGTTTACTTGAATTCCTCTTAGCATGCAATCTTGAAGTTCTCAATGAAGGGAACAGCCCCACGTTTGTGACAAAAACGCGGGCAGAAGTGTTAGATTTAACAATCGGGAGTGCTGGTGTAATCAGTTACGTGAAACAATGGAGGGTCTCAACGGAACCCTCCCTATCAGATCACAGAATCATCGAGTTCAAATTAGGAGGAATCACACCCCAAACAGAAACTCGAAGGAATCCAAGAAAAACAGACTGGGACATGTATAACACCAATCTCGTAGACAACCTAAACCGTATAGATGCAAGTAGGGCCAGAAACCATCTGCATCTAGAATTGTACGCAAGGGAAGTCAGCGGTGCAATATTGGATGCATATGAATCTAGTTGCCCCGCAAGTAAAGGCATACAAAAAAGTAACAAGAAGCCCTGGTGGAACAAGAAGTTGGCCAAACTTAGATCGGAGGTCCGACGACTCTTTAATAGAGCTAAATCCAGTGGCGAATGGCAGCTCTACAGCGAGAAATTAACTGAGTATAAGAAGGAGATAAGAAGGGCAAAGCGGTCTGACTTTAGATCCTTTTGCGAAAACATCACTTCTACCCTGATGCAGCTAGATTACACAAAGCTATGGCCAAGAGTGGATCTATCCCCATCATGGCACTTAAGAAATCTGACGGAAGCTACACGGAGGGAGAGGAAGAGAGAGCAAATCTCCTACTTTATACACACTTTCCAAGTAGCATACCTATTGATACTTATGTAGCTCCCACTGAACCTCACAATCCTTGCAGGGAAGATCGGGAAGTGGCCAAGCTAGTAATAACAGAACAAAAGCTGAAATGGGCGATCGACACCTTTCAGCCCTATAAAGCAGCAGGAATGGATGGGATCTTTCCTGCCCTTCTAAAGGAGGGTCAGCAAATAGCTACTCACCATCTACTAAGCATTACAAGAAGCAGTCTAGCGATGGGATATATACCAACCACATGGAGAAGAGCAAAAGTAATCTTCATACCCAAAATAGGCAAAACTGACTGGACAAATCCCAAGTCATTTAGGCCTATTTGTCTCACATCGTTCATACTAAAAACGCTGGAGAAAGTAGTTGACAACCATATTGGAGAAAATCATCTAAAGGTTAAACCACTGCATGATAGTCAGCATGCATATAGAACGGGCAGATCCACAGAAACTGCTCTGTACCAATTAACGGAGCTAATACAGACAAGTCTGGATAGCAAAGAAACAGCAATTTGTGCCTTCTTGGATATTGCGGGGGCGTTTGACAATATACCACATAAGGTGGTCAGGCGATCTCTAGAAACAAGAGGGGTGAACAGAACTATTATTCGCTGGTTTTGGGAAATGCTGTCAACACGAACAGCAGAGGCTCAGATGGGCACCAAAACTGTAGCTGTTAAAACAACGCAAGGAACTCCACAAGGTGGAGTAACCTCCCCTTTGCTGTGGAGCTTGGTGGTGGATGAACTACTAGATGAATTAACTCTAGCGGGAATACACTGCATTGGGTATGCAGATGACATAGTCATGATCGCTCGGGGGAAACATGAAGGCACCTTGTGTGATATTATCCAAAGAGGACTCCGTATCACTGAGAGATGGTGTAGGACTGTCGGGCTGAGTATCAACTCAGACAAAACCGCGATAGTGCCATTCACCAGAAGGCGAAGTCTGAAAAACTTGAAAAGAATCCAACTAGATGGAAAGGAAATACTGCCAACACAGGAAGTTAAATACCTGGGAATAACCCTGGACAGTAAACTCCTGTGGAACAGGCATATTAAGAACACTACCAGCAAAGCCATAAAGGCTCTCATGATATGCAGAAGACTGGCCGGAAATAGATGGGGCTGCTCCCCTAACATTTTGCGCTGGATGTATACCATGATAGTAAGACCCATGATTACTTATGGAGCAGTTGCCTGGTACACAAAACTAGTGCAACGGACGGCAAGGCTAAACCTATGCAAAGTCCAGAGACTAGCATGTGTTTGCATCACAGGAGCCATGAGAACCTGTCCAACAGCAGCAATGGAGGTCATTCTAGATCTAACACCACTGCACATTGTCATTGGTAGATATGCCAATGCGACAATGATTAGAATGGTCACTAACGGAATTAGTACTGGGAGAATTGTCAGATCAGGGGCTTGGAACACCCTCAAAAGGAAATACCACTTCTGCAACTCCCAGTGGACGATATGCCAAGAACGTAAAACTTTGACAAACATGTCAATGTAGTATTGAGCAATAAGAAGGATTGGAAGAGCGAAACGCTTGCCCAGCAGTTAAAAAGACCATACCATAACTTGGTATACTGATGCTTCCAAAACCAATACGGGAACAGGGATCGGAGTGTTGGGCCGAGAGCTAATTACTCCGAACCAATGGGCACTTACCCTAGTATCCTACAGGCAGAAATCTACGCTATCGAGAGATGCGTACAACTTATCTTAGATAGGAACTATCGGAAACAAGAAATAGCCATCTTATCTGATAGTCAAGCAGCGTTAAAGGCGATCAACTCAGTCTCAATCAATTCGAAATTGGTCAAAGAATACATAGAGAAGCTGAATAAATTAGGCAAAGAAAACAAAGTCCTCCTACACTGGGTGCCTGCTCACCAAGGGATAAAAGGCAATGAAAAAGCAAATAATCTAGGTAGAAAAGGAGCGAACACTCCACTAACTGGACCAGAACCGTTCTGCTTTCCAAGTGGTAACCAACTCAAGGAGGAACTCAAGAACTTGGAAGATTCCATCCGCAACCTGGAATGGAAATCTTGCAATGGTCTAGGACACTCGAAGAAGTTTCTGAGGGCTTATGATCAATAAAAATCACAGATCTTCCTAGGTCTGAGTAAGAACAATCTTCGGATTGTCACGGGGTTTTTAACAGGACACTGTCTCCTCAATGAACACCTCAGTAGATTGAAACTAAGAAGAAACGGCGAATGCAGATTCTGTGGGGAAGATGGTGAAACACCAGTACACCTCATCACTGAGTGCGCCGAGACGACAACCATTCGTGCCATGAATTTTGGTACGACTGATATTGGAGATGGAGAACTACCCTCTATAAAACCGTCCCAGATACTGGCTTTTGTCAAAGCCCTGGGACTGTATGATGAGTTATGATTCAAGAAAGGGGGACACAATGGATTCTTAAGGTCGAAGTGATTAACCCCCCTCCCACTCATTCTAAATTCTAGGTACCCAAACTATTTTTATCGAGGCAACAGGAAACGCCAAAAAATATATCCAGCCAAAAAAACAAACGAAAAATATAATATAGCTCGAGACAAAACGAAATTGAACGAGACAACAGGATCGAAACAAATTGAAAGTCGCCAAAAAAACACGTCCTTTCCGCAATTTTTCGAGTAGTTTCGAGACGTTTTTAGAAAATGAAAGTAGCTCAAGACAAAGAGAAATAGACCGAGACAACTGGAGATAAGCTTAGATGTGACAAAGTTAGGCGAGGAAACACGACCTTGGCCTGCTTCGCACTCTTTTGCATATAGTGTAGAGGATGTATTAGGAACTTAATAAGGAATTTATTTATTTAAGAGTCTATTATGCTGTACTTTCGGGTCGCTCTCAGGGACCGGGTAAAGCTGTGTGTAGCCGAAGAAAACATACATTATATTTTAGAAATCTGCCTAAGACCATGGGCTACAAATATAAAACCCTCCCCTCCCCGCGGGAATCTGTGTGTGGGATTTTTTTGTTTGGTTTGGTTTGTCATATAATTTAAGATTTTAGTTGTTTGCCTCATATCAATTCTTGGACTTCATAGTCCGGATTCCGGACTTCATTGTCCGGAAAAACCCGGAAAACCGCAGAAAAACGGTAAAAGTTTTCCCTTAGTTTTTGATGGTGTTCTTCGGGCTAGTGAAATGGACTCTTAAGAACTAAAAACTTCAATACACTATTGTTCCAGGTTACCAAAAAATCTCTAAATATGCTTGTGGCTCAAGGCTATTATATTGTCCAGACATTCTTCATTATCTCGGCGTTCTTGTTTTCTTATCAGTTTTTTAATGTCAAATCGCACCACAAAGAGATCAAAAGCTCGTTCTTTTTCTATGCAGCTTTCCTAAGATATATCAGGTAATAATACGTGTAATTTTCCAATCTGTTTAAATAAAAACGTTATTTTTAGAATAACCCCAACATTGTTTGTAGTATGGGCCATACACAGTACTTGGAATGTCCATTTCTCTACAGGTCCATTATGGGATGCCGCTGTAGGCAAAGAGTATCGAAACTGTCGGCAAAATGGATGGACTAATTTTCTGTTTATCAATAATTACGTTAACACTAAAGAAATGGTAAGCTTTATTACCATCCTATATGTATCAATATTTTTTTCATTATAGTGTTTTTATTCTTTTCTTTTGGTGTAGGAAGTTTGATTTGAATTTTTATTTTTTTTATTTACGTTATGGTGACAATCGCGCCTTAATCGACCAGGAAAATTCACGAAAAACATTGTATTATAAAATATATTTTTCCAACGCTACTTGATTAATAATCAGTAGTTTGGCACAGCCATATGGCACTCCAAACTTAAATTTAAAATACTATTTTTTAAGTGAAAATGTCAAAAGTTGACATAATATGATATGTCGTTCTATTCAGAATGTCATTTTCTATCAAATAAAGTAAAAAATGCCGAAGTTACTATAAAAATAAAAAGTTGTAGTCATTTCCGGTGAAACAGAAAGTGGCCGAAACTAACAGTGAATACGTTTTTTTTATTTGAGAAAATAAATAAATTACAGTAATGCACCACTTTTAAAAAACACCCGGTATGTTGGGTAAAAATAGATCAGTGTACATGATTTGTCTATTTTTTATACATGTCTATGTAAGCAGTGGCGGATCTAGGGTAAAATACGTCGTGGGTAAAGACAAAATTTGGTGCCACCAAAATTCGAAAAATGTGTAGTAAGAAAATAAATAAAAACAAAAAAGCCCAGAATAAAAATCCGCACTTTATTTTTAATACGTCACACCTGGCATGTTGAAAAGCGGCAACACGGCCGCGGCCGGGCCACCATGCTGACCCACCACCACCTCCACACGGGGCCATTCAACCTTTTCCAATATGGCGGAGATTAAAGTGCTTTATTTGGCCGTATTTTAAAACCTGTTTTATTTCCAAATAGACATTTTTCACACAAATGTCGGGTTAGGTTACGTAATATTTCACTAATTTTTTAATATACAGGGAGTCTAAAGTTCTCCACATAAGTAGTTACCTACTAGTTACCTACCATAGTTTAGAATTTACTGAATATTTAATAACTATATACTATTATGGACACTATAGGAAGTTACTTGTCTTAGTAAAAGCCTTGGTAAATGCTCTTGGAATTATAAACTACACTGGCTTGGGTCAAAAAATATGGAATAGTTTTTCTATGTTTTGCAGCAATGGGAATAAATTTAAACTATAATAGGTGAGGATAAATAAAAAATATAATATGTGTTTCAAGATTTTATATAGAAAAAAAAATAAATACCTTTTTGGGGGTTCGTAAGTGAAACTTACGCTTAGCTTAGTTTTCTTTACTCTTTCTCTTTACATAGGGCATTGTCTTTGTGGTAAAGACGTCATTCCTTTTTTTGCATAGTTCTTCAATAAAATATTGGATATTCTAAACAAGATGGATTTAATAATAAATTCTGACATATGTGAGGGGCAATTGTGACCTAAAAAAAGACTTACATCCAGGCCATTTATATTTTCAAATGTCAATGTTGTCAATATCTTTCTGTGATCTTTTTGATCTAAAAAGCTTGATTCTTCTTCCAATATTTTACTTATAGTGAGGTAAGTGTAAGCAGCAGCCATAACTACATCCTCATTAGGGTAACAGAGGATTTGGCCTTTGGCCTTTTTGAGGCATATTTAAAGCACTTCTTACCCGAGAACTACTAGTAGGAGTGAAATTATCTCTTTTAATAGCTGTCAACCATTTTTTACGAAGCTCGTCATTTTTGAAAAATATAAAAGCAGAAACCTTGGGACCCCCTCTATAATTCCCGTGACAATTTGGAACAGAGCATGTAAAAGGCATGCTACAATAAAATATTAATACCTACCCTTTAATACCTATCTTTGGATTATTGTAAGTAACCATTATAAAGTACTATGCAGACTGGCGGCGAAGGCTTTTTACTCATTTAGGTGTAATATCTTGATAGATACTTCTAGTTCTTACCTTAAAATAATTAATATTATGTACTTAAACAGCCGTTAAACGGTAGCCTACTAAAATGCCGTTAATAGATATTGTGACGTCGTTCATGTCGGCGGAAAGTAATGCCTAGCCATAAGCATATTGCAAGAGCACCTGTGGCTCCGTGGCTGAGGCTATCGGTTCGTGTGCGAATGGTTCGGGGTTCAAATCTCACGCTGACCAAAACTTTTTTATATTTTTTTTTGCTTATAGCGTGATCTTATTGCATTGGTTTCACTCTTTTTGGTTGGATTGGTTTAGTTATTTGGCGGGTTGGTTAGCGTGGTTATTTGGAGGGTGTTAATTCATTGGTTATTTGGTGGGGTTGGTTGATTTTTACTAATTTATATTCGTTTTTTAAATTTTTTTATCAGTGTCTAGGTTAGTTGCGTTGGTTAAGTTGGTTATTTGGTGGGGTGGATAGCTTTGGTTAGTCGTTATATAATTCCTATATTTCATAAAGCCGTCAAGTGCGTCACATCAACGACGTCATACCTATTAACGGCATTTTAGTAAGCTACCGTTTAACGGCAGTTTAAGTACAGCCTAATTAATAATAGAGGAGTACGACAAGCACAAAAGTTTGAAGTTCCCTATGTGGAATGTCTGGTTTGGATTTTTATTACACTGTTATTTTATCACAATTTTCTGATCACACCATGCACTGAACACTAAGAACTAAACAAACGTGTTGCGGAAGCACAACAAACTAGAGATAATTAATTATTTCTGGTATACAATCGGAACAAGAAACCACTACCGGCTTTTCAGGTTAAAGGTAAACAATTTAATAATGCGCTGCCTTCGCCGCCATATTTGCCTTGCCCATATCATGTTGATTAGCCTTGAGTTGACGGGGTGCTGGTCAAATCAAATCGCAATGTTGCCAGTTGTTGGCTGGCGCACGAGCACGGTTCTGCAATGTGATTGGGCGTATTTTTCATACGTCATCAATTGGCACTTTAAAATTATTTCAAATTAAAGCAATTTTGAGGGCCTATAAAAAATTATTCAATGTCATGGAACTATTTTTTTTTGGATAAATATACTGAAAATAGTCTTCTATTTCAGATTTTGTCCTTGAATTGGGTATTTTATTTTTTCTGAAAGAGCCCATTAAGCAATATTTTTCTAGCATATTAAAAATATCTAATCAGCTAGCTGCTTCCAAGTTTGGAAGCAACAAGCTTGCGTGATTCTTGAAATTTTCCAGTTCAAGATACAGCTCTGTTGCATCCAAGTCGTTAGCATATTTAATTGCTAAATTTGCAGCATGTTTTTTCATTTCTTCTAGTGGTAATGATGCCAGTGACTTTCCAGAAAGGAAATAAAAATCTTCGACAACACCTTCCATAGCATTAAATCTTCAGGAAAATTGCTCATTTATTTTATCCAATGATTCAAAAATTTGAATTTTGAGTTGTGGTTCTTGGGTTAATGTATCAATTTTCGTCATCAGCGTTTTCATCAAAAAATCTTTTTACTTTTCTTGTCCGTTTTTCTGTGAGAACAGGCTCAATATTGCTTGCCTCTGCAAGAATCTTTGCTTGGTTAAAGCAATCGTCGACTTTGTCTCTAAACTCAGCTAAGAAACTCTGTAATGAATTCAGCAATTTAGATGCCTCCGCGATCGAAAGCGTTGGCCTTTGCAAAGCAGTGTTTACATTTTCGATGTTCCTTAAAAATGCCTGCCGCACGCTCTAGGGAGCGTCTTCTATCTAAATTTTACTATTTTAATGTATGATGTTTGCATGGTGATTATAGTTTTTACAACTGGTTTCGGACATACTTATATTATTTATTTATTTATTTATTCTACAACACTCTACAGCTTACGCCAATTACAGAGTGGGTTACACACAAAAAAAATTCAATACAAAATAATTAAATTAAACAAAAAATAACATCAATGAGAAAAAATACATATCAATGAAAAAAAAAACAAAAACAATATAAACCAAGAAAAACCACTAAACTGAACTCACAACCGAAACCAAACTGCAGCTGAAAATATCAAAATTACACTGATATAAATTATATGCATCCTGCATACGTTTCAGTGGCGACTATTTACTTACATTTGTGCGCGAGGAGGCCACATAAAATGTAAAGCTATACCGAGAGCTACGTGGGACCAGAAAATTGATTTGACTGAGAACATCCGGACTATCAATTTCATTATGTAATAACTTGTATAAAAATTTCAGCTCTGAATTTGTCCGTCGAACCTCCAAGGAATCTAGAGAATGTTTCTGCAATAAAGAGCTGTGACAGCAGCCAATTTGCGGGTAAACCCCATCAGTTCTTCAGATATTTCAGAAGGTTCTTCTCAGATATTTCAGAAAACGACGCTGTACCTGCTCGAGAGCATTAATATGTGCCGCATAAAACGGCGACCATACAATTGATGCATACTCTAGCTTTGATCTTACAAAAGCATAATAGAGTAGTTTTAATGTGTTACTATTGCTAAAATCTCTAGTATTACGCACAATAAATCCCAAGGCCTTAAACGAAGATTGATTATGCCGCCCTTGTGCCGAAATTTTACTTGTAGGTATGATGTTTGCAGAAACTACTAACATACCTTATGTGTGCATGCGGTGCGTGATCAGAGATTTTACCTATTGATTTCGGACACATTTTGGCGCCTCTGCGGCACCCCTGGCGCCTGGCGTCGTGGGCAAGGTGAGCACCTGCCCATATAAATAGTCTAGATCCGCCACTGTATGTAAGTGATAGTATTTACAGCTATATCATTAAAATAAAATACATATTTTTATTATATCCTATTAAACTATTAAACTGTATTTTTCTGTTTCTAGTGTTTACGACAAACTTGGTTTCTAGCAGCTGATATGCAACTTTTCCTAGCTGGATTGGTAGTGTTATTCATAATAAATAAATATCCGAAATCGATTTACTATATTTTTGGTGTTATTCTAACAACTGGATTTGTATTGCCTGGGATTGTGGCGTATGTCAAAGATCACGATATTTTATATAGGCAATATCCAGAGTAAGTACCCCAGATTAAAGTCTTATTTACCTAAATATATAGGGTGTCTCAATATTCCGTGGACATAGAACTACTACCTATATTTGGAATAAGAATAAGTTCATTGGATAAAATTTACCTCTATACAAAAGTGCTTCGTTTGTCCCCTAGAAGGCATCAAACCTTAAAAAAATAAACACATTTTTTCAGATATTTTAAGAATCGTTATTCCGATTTGAATGATATTATCGGTATCTATGTTTTGCTAAATGCTTTAACATTTTACCCCACAAAAATCAAGAAAGAGTTTGGGAAGCATAAAAACTAACCCCACACCTAAATATATTAGCTAGAACGCAGAACTATAGGCGAAAATCTGAAAAAATTAATAACACACGTACATTTTTCCAAATATGCTAATGAGCCGCCCTTGTTCCATTTGAAAAAAAAATGAGATATGATTAAAGATACGATTTGGCATCTTTTAACCGACCAGGATAAGACACTAAAAGCATTAGACGATCAAATATATTTTTCCAAGGCTTCTTGATTAAAAAATAATCAAAAACACAATAATTCTGTTTTAAGCGAAGATGTCAAAAGTTGACATATGATATGTCATTCTATTCCGAGTGTCATTTTGTTTCTCATCTGTTGTTTGTTCGGTTTGAAAATTTTTACATGGTGAGTCTATAAGTGCAAATATTTTCAGGGCTGGTAGAACTCAATAAAATAAACATAATATATTCTCTTTACCGAGTTTCAAATAAGTCCAATCGAGTTATTAAAGTTTGAAAATTAAAAAAAAATAGATTTATTTAAAAAAAAAAGAGCCACCACAACTTTTCGGTATTTGCATCTCTTTTAGTGCCGTAATATCAGAGATTAAGAAACCATATCGTGAGAGAAAATTTGCGGTGAACAGGAAGTTCTAAAAAGTTTTCTAAAATATACAGGAAAATTTAAAAAAAATGCTCGATTTTTAACATCTTTTTTTGCAAAACTCATAGACGTGTTCCTGTGGTCAAAATATACCACCCCTGAAAATATTTGCACTTATTTAAGATTCACCCTGTATAGTTTTACCCACTATTCTTTTATTAATAACTAATAAATATGATTGACTGGCAGCAGAAAAAATAATGGATAGCATTAGGTAAATTTAAATAGTCTCGATCTAAATGTATACTAAGAATACGGTAGCGTAGATTGACAACTGGAGGGTCTTGATGCAATATTTTTCGAGCTCCCCTTTGTAAAAAAATATATGAATTTGACGCGAACTCTACGGTTGACGGAGAAAACACATCTATGCTTGGTTTGAATTGGGGACCGACTAAAAGCCAAGTCTGGGAACTAAAAGCCAAGTCTAATTTGTTGTTTAAAATGTTGCTAAAATGAATTTGCTAAAAATTACTAAGACAGCAGAGAAGAGTTTAATAAGGTTTAAACTACATTAGATAATAAAATATTAATATGTCTCGAAAATCCAAATATTCCGAGGGGTAAACCGCAGAGGAAAAAGTGTACACCGTAATTCCTTTTACTCAAATAATTCCTCAGAATTCCTCGTAATTCCTTCGGAATTCCTTGGAATTCCTGGTCTTCAAGGTCAAGGTCAATCATTCAAGGTCTTCCTTGGAATTCCTTGGTACGAACTCGGTAACTCTTTCAGTCTGAACCAGCGTTGCCACCTCGGTTTCGCAGTTCCGCTATGAATTTTCTGGTGATTTTTATAAATGTCTAATGTCTCTATAAGTACTAGATCTAACAATAAAAAGTACTATTACGAGATTTACGTTTTTTTAGTTAAATTTTAGTACCAATAGGGGATCATGAGGTAAAAATACTGGAAATATGTCGGCACTTACTTATTAAAATTAATTTTTCTCGGGATTTTTTGAAAATGAGAGGTACCTAGTTATACTCGTATCTATAGGAAAGGAAATTAATAAAACTTCAGTTGCACGTCATAATACGATCACCAGTAAATTCCATAAGATTACGCATGGTATCATTGATGAAGTGCACCTAAAGTTGTATTAATTTTCCTATAGTATATACCTAGGTATTATTCCGAGGAAATGAAAAAATCAACTTTACACTTTCTGGAGTACTGAATAAAAAAATCTTATGAGGATTTCTTTAAAATGGCGAAATCAGGGAACGTTATAACTAGATCTCTCGGGGGTGGTTCGGCCGTACTATTGGAAAATATTTTAGATATATAATCGAGGGTACAATATTAAATTAAAAGAATATCTAACCTGTAGATATTTGATATTGGGAATTTTGGAAGCGAAAAAGAAAAACGGATAGTAAAAAATCGCCTGCAAAACGTTTTTCTTTAAATTTAGTACTACCTATTATAGTATTCATGGTTTACTAATGTTCGTTAATTTTTTATAAAGTTGCTTGTAATTCCTCTTAATTCCTGTGGAATTCCTCTAAATTTCTAAGGAATTCCTTGGAATTCATTGGAATTCTTACGGAAATAATTGGAATTCCTAGTAATTCCTATGGAATTCCTGTAGAATTCCTTCATAGTGTACACCATAATTCCTCTGCGGTTTACCCCTCGAAATATTCTTATTATGGACTGTACCTAATATAGCATTACATCAGAATACATTTATATCCACTGCCTAGGTATTGCCTAGATTTTTTTTCATTTGAGTCATGGTATTATCATACAAGATGCCAAATGCGGAAAAGTATAGAGGAAAAGTTTCGTGATAAGAACTATATTAACCTAAAAAATGCTGTAGTTTTAATTAATGGCGACCGCGGTTCGTTCAGTTAAAAACACGTATACACGACGAGGCTGGTGATGTAGCAGAAAAGAGAGAATTTCTTTCTACAATGTATAAGAAAGTATATACCCGAAAAGCTAAAAGTAATGTATTTCACAGAGGACAGGCTCAGCTGAACTGAATGAATCAGGAAGTCTTAAAGTTTCTCAAAATCGTGACTCAAAATCGTAGCCTATTCAACATCAAATTACTGTTATCGATAATGGAAATAAAGCAGATGTCCGACCCAATATTGGTCTTTACGAAAATTTTGATCAAGATTTTTTTTTTAAACCGGAGGCAAAAGGGTTTTTCGCACGAGCGAAATACGCCCTTACTTATATATTAATAAATAAAATATGTTTCTTTGTTACGGTCATTTTGTTTTTGTGGATTTGGGCCGGTTGTCTGTTTTTCCCGGGCTGGTTTCCACTTCCCCATCCACCCCTGGATATAATGAATGTTTTGAAAATGGCTATACTTATCAAGCTACAATTCGTAAAAAAATATCAAGATGGAGCTGAGTGTTCGTAAGGATAAAATAAAAAATATTATGTTATATTTTAGAATTTTATATGATTTCAATTGCTTGAAAATGCCAATTTACTCAGACCTGGTTATATCTACCCATACCAACATGTTTGGATTTTTCCTTGGGATGTTATTTGGATATTTATTTTTCCAGTACAAAGACCAGGATTTAAGACAGCATAAGGTAACTTCTAATATATTTATATTTAGATTTTTTAATGCGGATGATTAGTATTCATTATTTTGAAAGTAGTTTATTGTTTACAGATTTTGGTAGTTCTGTGGTGGATCCTAACTTTTGGTCTATGCCTATCCACAATTTTTGTTGCTGGTATTTTTTATGATCCTAACTTCAAATATACAGCTCTGGACAGTGCTGTCTATTGGGCCTGTGGTAAAAACCTCTTTGCCCTGGGTATGTGTATAGCTGTTTTGGGATTGACACACCGTATTGGCTGTAAGTAAAGTGTGATTACACAAGTATACACGGTTTTGGACCTGAGCAACTAAAAGCAATTTCTAAGATTATTTTTGGAGCTGAATCCAAATCAGCAGTCCATTTTTTAAGATTGGTTCTAGTTTTCGAATTATTCAATAAATTCATTATTTTACTATTTTTGACCGTTAACGGTAATCTATTGAATTAAACAATATAAATCAGAAATGAACAGAGGTTGAACTGCGTCTTTTATACTGCTTTGTATCTGTTTCACGGATTAGGGCCCAACAGTAATCGCTCATCATGCCTTCGTCCCAAAATCCTTGGTATCGCCTTTCGATTTTCGCTAAATCTTGGTGTAGCCGCTCTCCTTGCTCGTCGCTCGTGTCGCCCAAGTTTTGTGGAAAAAAATCAAGATGTGAATGCAGAAAATGTATCTTGAAAGACATTTGAGCTCCAATCTTGTGGTAATTTTGCAACAAATTGTCGATTACTTGCTTGTAATCCGGTGATTTATGATTACCGAGAAAGTTGTGAACAACATTTTGAACATTTTGAACCTGCTACCTCATCAAGCGTTAAACATTTTGTAAACGTTGCATCAGCCATTAGTTTTCGAATATCAGGTCTGACAAATATTCCTTTTTTGATTTTTGCGTATAATAGTTTTGGAAACAACTTGGTTAAGTACTGGAAAGCCGGTCCTTCGCGATTGAGCGCTTTGACAAAGTTCTTAATAAGGCCAAGTTTAATGTGAAGAGGTGGCGGTAAAACGTCCTGTGGGTTTACAAGTGGTATCAGCGTCGTCAACTGACCGTGCGTCAACTACCCGGGCCGTTATAAGAGCGCAGTGCTACTGCCACGCGCGAACTCGAAAACTAGAGCCAATCTTGACAAACGGATTGAAGATCTGAGTTCAGGTCATCAAATAACGTTAAGAATCGTTCTCATCTGCTCGGGTCCAAAAGTTGCCCCGAATTTGTAAACTTGTGTTATTATACAGGGTGGCGCACCTCATTCGCCTCGGTTGCTTATACGAAAACGGAAAGATATAGAAATAAAAAATTTTATAGGTATATGTGGGAAGGCAATGCGCATAATTTAAAATTACTTTCAAATATACAGGGTGTGTCAGAACCAAGATCCATAGCAAAATTATATTTTTTCTTATGGAACACACCCCGTATTTTATTTCATTTTTGGATTCTTGGACATAAAATAAGGCATTTATTGTAAGGGTTCACCATCATATGTTTAAAAACTTTGGTTTTTGAGATATTTAAAGATAATATTTAGATATGCATGCTATAATAAAAAAGTTTGTCAACATCTTGTACATTACTTTTCAGAATTAATACTTGTGCTGACTTGCCAGGTAGAGAAATGAACTTTACTAAAAAAATTATTGCTTCCTTAAATGTATACAGGGGTATCAAAAATTGCTGGTCTATTTTAAATATTTATTTTACATAAAAACTTTGTTATTTCAAATGCAACACTATGTATTTTTTTTTGAATAAGTCAAACTCAAATAGGCAACAAACTTTGTTGTCTCATTACTTAATGAGATTTTTTTTAAAGCTATCATTCATCATATACATTAAGTTCTTAATATTGTTATATTTGTTTACAAAAAAAAATACTTTTTGCGAACCCATAGCACGGCATATAAATCACACGGCAGGCCGACTCGCTTTGGCGCGAACGCTACGCGCATATCCTTGCGCACGCCGCCATTATGGGTGCCAGCCAGGTGCCAGCAACAGAAATTAACCAGTGTCGTAGTCAGTTGTAGTTAAAAAACAGTTATGGCAATAGCGTGCGGGTTAATTTATTTCGTTCTTTTTTTGACTTACCATAACAACATTAGACACCCAAGCTGGTTTAAACTCTCTGCTCCTCTTCTTCTGGTCCTTAAAACCTACAATATTATCACGACCACTATTATAAAATAAATTGCACTTGATCATCAATACATCGAACACAATATCGATTAAGTTCATCCGGTTCATCGAAACTTTCAACTTTTCTTTTTAAAGTCTTAAATACACTAAGATTTTCTATCCAGATTTGATATCGATGTCTATCCTACTATCGATCATATATTCATTTTCTTAGTGTCTCTGGGTCTCGTGGAAGGTCTGAACGTGGAAGGCAAAATAGATTGGTCAAGAGCATCTTGAATATTTTTGGCCCGGAAAAGTATATCGTCAAACATTTATATTTAAATTCATCAGTTACTTTTCTTCCTTTAGCTGATTTGTTAATTTGTGCAATTTGAATATTAACAAAATTTGCTATGTCCATTGAAGGGCATAATTTGTACGTAGCCTGTTTATATTGTTCAATATATATTTTATTGGATACTTATTTCTTTAATTCTTGTTTGTAACTCCTGGCACGTTTTTAATTTTAAATTGTCTCTTCTCTACAGTTAAATGTTTAACTGATTTTTTCATTTTTACTTTTCGAGGAGTATGCGCGGTTAACGATTCATTTGTTTAGACAAAAGTATTGTGTAAATAAAATTCAATTGCAGTACTTTTTTAATACGGCTCTGTCTATCAATAGTTTATTTTCTGGGAAATGTTTTCATACGTTTTAATCCGGCCCTGACTCGGCACCCATAATGGTGTTGTCAAGGTCAAATTTTATAGAAATTTTAAACAATGGGATCTAGGCAGAGTTAGCCTGCCGTGTGATTTATATGCCGTGCCTATAGTATAGCACCATTAAGGACTTAATATATTTGAAAATAATTTAGAAATGAAGCTAATAATTCTTAGATGACTTAGAGGATTTTTCCAGAATATAGCTCTATATTCTGGAAGAGTTCTATTCAAATGATCTCTAAGTCAACAAAGAAAAAAAATCGTTTTGGTCTATTTCAGGGTTTGTGCTGTGGCTAATGGACAACGACATAGTCCAAATTCTAGGAAGGCTAACGTTTAGCTGCTATTTAATCCACGTTCTCTTTATCCAAATGAAACTCGGTTTTGTCCGGTATCCCATATCAGCCAATGATACCATGTTGGTGAGTAAGTGTACATAGTGGTTTAAATTCAAAAGAGATCATTTCTTCATAAACAATAAGATATGCAGCTAATATTAATACACCCAGGATATGTAATCGCAAAACATTTTTCGATGCACGTCATCAATCTTATCGACTTTGACACTAAAGTCTATAAACCTGACTAAATGAAATTTTGACAAAAGTGTTAAAAATTTGTTGTATAATTTAAGATACCAAGCAGCTCTTCATTTTACTTTATAGAGCAAATGACTGTAATAGATATTTTATATAGATTAAATCTGTAAAATTTAGTTTAAACCGAATTTTATTATCGCTATGTTGGTTACACTGCGTCGTGTTCAGCAATGTTGTTCTATATTATTTGACAATTATCCTAGTGTCATTATAGTGTATAATACTTGGTTGTTGTTGAATCTTTGCGAGTAATTCTCGTTTTTTGCCTATTTTCATAGTTTTTTTTTTAATTTCACTTTTAAACACAGACTCTTAAGAACTAACTTTTCGAGTCTTTGTATTGCATTTCTTGAAATTGTGTTCTGAAAATATACCGAAACAGTCGAAGCAAAGAGCTTGTAGCTTCCCTGTTTTTTTTTTAAACTATTTTGAACGAGAACGTGACCATAATGGACCTTTATTACCCTTGACTGCAGTCAGAAAAGTAAGTTTGATTGATAAGCACATTATACCACTTTCAAAGTTAGTTTTTATTAAATTCTGTGATTATTAGTTTGTGCATTAATAGCACCCTCTTATTTGTTATTACCACTTATGGTGTTGTAAGATGTACATCAATAAATAAATAACTCATAATAATAACGCTTATAATAATCTTCATAATGGACTAGTTTTTTCCAATATGTAATAAGTAAAATAAGCCATAAAACACATACATCAATTAATCACTAAAATATTAGTTATTAAATTAAAAATAAAACGTAAAACCCTTTACAAAATGATACAATGAAAATATGTTGTTTGTCAATTTTAAATTAAGGTTTATTGCATAAATCCATCACAATCTGGCAGCGCTGTCGCCATCGCTTGTCACTCAAAGTTGATCACGTGCATCGGAAATTGTTTTGGGATAACCATATGTTGATATACATCTTGATGATACTAAATTTGATCATGAAACTACAAATACAATTCTAAATATACCTACTAAATACAACTTATCTCATAAAGATTTTTTTTTATAATTGTATATCATCTCATATACATTCTTCTATATCTTTTTTTATATAAAACGTATTTATTTATTCATATTTACTAGTTTATAGAGGTTATCGGAGATGTGGGCGTTTCATACGTAGCTGGACTGGTACTATGTCTTGTCATAGAAATGCCCATCTCGGCCATTCAGAAAATGTTCCTGTCCAACACACCAAAACCAAAAATATCAGCCAATAAATATATAAAAGCTGTGGATCTGAATAAGCAGGATGTCCGTCAAGAAGAAGCAGCTTCCACCAAAATATGAGAAAAATGAACTGAAAATTTAGATAACGGTGTTGTTAGATATAAAATATAATTGAAAAAAAAAACGGCGTTAGCGATGACTGAAATGACGATCGCTGTCATTTTATCTGTACAATTATATAGGGAATATCATAGATTGTCATTTATCAGCCAACTGGACGTCGTTTTTATTCGATCATACGGTATTATAACTGCAATAGTTTTTGTACTGACTTAGATATTTTAAGACTATACAGGGTTGTTCACCACATACGACACGGAGTATTGTAGCTAAACGATTAGATTTTTGCAAATTGTAAATTTTGGGTTCGTTGAAGGACTATTAGGGCTACAATTTAAAAATATTTTTACAAGATACAGAGTGTCCCAAATAAGTAAAAAATATCATAGTTATTTAAAAAAAATATCATTTAAAAAAATACTATATCATATATAGTATTTTTTTAAATGGAACATACAGGGTTATTATTCTATTTTTGGATTCTACGATTGAAATAAAGGTAAATTTGATTAAGGTTTATCACACTTAAACATTACCGTTTTTGAAATATTTTCAATTTTAAGAAATTGCAGTAAAAATTTTAAGGCTTCATTTCTCCAAGGGTATCAAAGTTTTTAATACTAAATATTTACTGAAGATTATTTATTGATCAGATATTGTGTTGCAATAATAAAAGTTTTACTACCTTATACAGAGTGTCCAAAAATTTATATTAAATAATTACTAGCTTTAAACGGTAATAACGTGTTTAAGTTAAATAGAACACCCTGTATATTTTACGTGAATCATATGCACAATTTAATTGTCTATCAAATTTTATTATACCATTTTTTACCTATCTCTGCAACTTTTCGTAGAAAATGCATTTTCTTATAATTTAGACCTCATTTATCACTATACCCATGGAATATTGACATTTCAGATTTTTTTTAAGCAACATATTTTTTTGCAAGCTTATTGGTATACCAAAAAAACTATTTAAATCTTTATAAAAGAGTATACGAATTAAATATACCACCATTATTTCCGACCAAAAATTACTTAATTACATACTTTTAAATTGTTTTAGTTAATAAAGTATTCTAAATAAATGTGGATTTGGCTCAGAAATCAATATAATAATAAATTATGAAAATAAACGTCTCTGTTTTTACAAATCAGCATTCGTCAAAAAATGAAATAAAATTTATAAGGCGATACTTTTTACCACACTGTCTAATACACACACAAAATACAGTTTTTTAGTATTTGGAGCAATTATTATTAATCAACATAAACAGTCAATTAATGTAGTCTGAATACTGGGATCATATTAATTGGTCCTTTTTAACAAAAATATTTAAACAGTTTTTTAAATTTTTTTTATGAAATAAGCGAGCTATATCGACAATATTAGTATCTGTACTCTTGGAAAATTTGTTACATCTTTAAAAATAATCTAAAATGTCAATATTCCATGGGTATAGCGATAAATGAGGTCTAAATTATAAGAAAATGCATTTTCTACGAAAACTTGAAGAGATAGGTAAAAATGGTATAAAACAATTTGATAGACAATTACATTGTGCATCTGATTCACGCAAAATATATAGGGTGTTCCATTTAAATTAAACACGCTATTGCCGTTTAAAGCTAGTGATTATTTAATATACATTTTTGGACACTCTGTATAAGGTAGTAAATTTTTTATTATTGCAACACAATATCTGGTCAATAAATAATCTTCAGTAAATATTTAGTATTAAAAACTTTGATACCCTTGGAGAAATGAAGCCTTAAAATTTTTACTGCAATTTCATAAAATTGAAAATATTTCAAAAACGGTAAGGTTTAAGTATGATGAACCTTAATCAAATTTACCTTTATTTTAATCGTAGAATCTAAAAATAGAATAATATACAGGGAGTTCCATTTAAAAAAATACAACTATAATATTTTTTACTTAGTTGGGACACTCTGTATCTTGTAAAAATATTTTTAAATTGTAGCTCTAATAATCCTTCAACGAACCCAAAACTTACAATTTGTAAAAATCTAATCGTTTAGCTACAATACTCCGTGTCGTATGTGGTGAACAACCCTGTATATGTATTATGTAGATAATTAAATAAATGTTTTAAATAGACATTTCGTTTTTTAGCATGTTGTCGTTAGATTCGTAATTTATGTTTTTTTTGTCTATATTTAAAAATGTCAACTTATAACTTACAGAATGTGGATAACGTAGGTGGCAATAGTGCATTCTCTCGAAGTATTATAAACCAATTTCCCGAAAAGTGGCACTCAAAAGTTTTTCAATATTTTCCGGAAAATGTCAAGAACAATATAAAATTTTCAACATTTTTTTTTGGCAAAAACCTCAAGGGCGTGTATATGGGGTCCAATAGTACTACCAGTTAAAATACTTGCACTTATTTCTGGGACACCCTGTATAATTAACTTACCTTTCTCTACATTTACTTATTTTTTTTTAATTTTCTTTTATTTTTTTACTCTTTTGTATATTGTTAAGCCTATACAACACGCTATAGTGATTAAGAGACATAAATTTATAATAAAATTCAACCTGACGAATTTCACAGTTTCATCAGTTGCGTGTGGACTAACCTTTAATTAACAAGCGATCAAAATTCCATCTGAAGCGCCCCAGGGTACAATACCATTTTTAACTTAAATACTCGCTGTATTTTTGAAACAGGTACAATTGCTTAACACTTACCCAAAGCTATTAAGCACAAGCTATTAAAAAATATCGTTATACAATATTCGTATTATCATTATAATAATTGGTCCATACTATACAGCATCTCACCTACCTGGAATAGAGATGTTGATATTCAAATAAATATCGATTTCTTGAGTAACAAATACAGAAAATAATGTAAATATTATGTGGGGCTGTTTTTTTGTGAAAAACAGTAATTTTTTTTCGATATTGGAATCAATCTAAAAAATATTAAAAAAAATTGTTTGTAAACACAACTACGTTGAATTCAGACGGAAACCAGCTTGCCTGTGACTTTTTACTAATAACACAAATTTGCCTAACCGACAAAAATGGTTAAGTTTCCAAAAGGTATATCTCTTCCCGTCGTCAGAAGAACAAATAGAGCAATAATTAATCTATATTACACAAAAGGTTGGAGGTTTGGTGTTACCCATTCTTCCACTCCACCTTAAGAAAATGAATGAAAAACATGTTTTCTAGACTTAACCTAAATATTACATTAAAAAATAAAATTAAAACTTAGATTCTAAAACTAAGGTATTAATTAAAATATACATTTCAATTTTTAAATCGTACATTACTTTTAAAATAGAAAACAAATTTCTTGCAGTATATGTATATAATAAAATTATATAAGGATTCTTGACTCACTTGATTCTTCTCATTTAACTGCTGATATAGAAATTTAATTCTGCGCTGTGTTTGTCACAATGTGAATTAACCTGCTCTCACTACCGGTTTCTGCGCTGTGGTTGTCATTTTGTGGATCTGCCCAAGCTTACCTGATGATATGGAGTAGGGCTCCGAAACCGGTAGTGAGAGCAGGTTGATCCACATTATTATGACAAACACAGCGTAGAATTAAATTTCTATATCAGCAGTTAAGTGGCAAAGAATCCTTATATAATTTTATTATATACCCTACTGCAAGAAATTTGTGTTCTATTTTATAATTTGGCTTGCCTGACAAAAAGCCTTTTACCATCCTTTTACTATCGATAGTTGCGCCTCGGTGGTACGAAAGTACCGTATGATCGAGAAAAAACGGCGTCAGCGATGGCTATGGAATGAAGATCGCTGTCATTTTATATGTAAATTTATATGGAAAATGTCATCGACGTTCATTTCCCAGCCAACTGGACGCCGTTTTTTTTCGATCATACGGTACTACCATTGCATGCAGGCCGCTATCTCCCGTTCGGGACTTAATATCTAACTGATACTTTCCGACAAGTCAGAATTAACTACCTCTGCGTTGTGGTTGTCATTTTGTGGATCTGCCCAAGCTCACCTGATGATGGAGTAAGGCTCTGAAACCGGTGGTGAGAACAGGTTGATCCACATTGTGACAAACACAGCGCAGAATTAAATTTCTATATCAGCAGTTAAGTGAGAAGAATTAAGTGAGTCAAGAATCGTTATATAATTTTATTATATACATATACTGCAAGAAATTTGTTTTCTATTTTATAATTTGGCTTGCCTGAAAAAAAGCCTTTTACCATCCTTTTACTATCGATAGTTGCGCCCCGGTGGTACGAAAGTACTACCATTGCACGCAGGCCGCTATCTCCCGTTTTGGACTTAATATCTAACCGATACTTTCCGACAAGTCGGAATTAACTACCTCTGCGTTGTGGTTGTCATTTTGTGGATCTGCCCAAGCTCACCTGATGATGGAGTAGGGCTCCGACAAACTGACAACTAATTAACACAGCGTAGAATTAAATTTCTATATCAGCAGTTAAGTGGCAAGAATCCTTATATAAATATATTATTACTTTTAAACTGTACCAACTCTATGACTATACCAATGGCAAACTCAAGTCATCTATAAATTTATTTAATAGGATAGGAGCCACATAGGAAAAACAATCTTTATATTTTGATGTAGTGTGCTGAGGGACTGTAAAAGAATTAATTCTAATATTGACACTATGCGAATTTGAGATCTATCTACAATCTACATATTTCCCCAATGTTTATATTTCATTTATTATAAATTTACAGCAGCTTTTCTTATTTTTTCTAGTACGCATTATTTAAAATATTTATTATACATTGTAACCAAAAAAATTTCTCCTAAATCTATCGATGTTTTTAATAAGCCATCGATTTTATAATTTATCGATATATTTCATGCATCACTATCTTTAACAATTAAATAATCTACCTATATTTGAAATATATCATTTTAAATCGTCTAAGCATTTCAGGTAAAAAAAAATAGAAAATATTCTTCGGACAAACAAAAACATGCATATCTCAATACAAATTACAAATACATGCCATTTTAGTTCATTATTGTTTATTTCTATATGTAAAATACCCCAATACATATTTTAAACCGAATAATTATGTCGAAATCTTCAAGATCACGGACCGGCTGCGTAAGAGATGTTTCTTAAAACTGTGTTACATTTTTTAAATGAAGATTATGTAAAAAACTTCAATGCTAAAAGAGCAGATTTTGTTTTATGGTCAGTGTGTAGATTCTTAATTATTTTAGTTCTGGTTAATTTGTGACGATGAGTGTACTTAGTGGCGGTGTTTTAGTTTTAATTGTAGTTTTATATTTTGGACGAGCTTTATGTGATGTACCAGGTAAGTAAAACATTTGTTTTATTATTATTATTATTGCCATGTACAGGGTTATTCACCACATACGATAAGGAGTATTGTAGCTAAACGTTTAGATTTTTACAAATTGTAAGTTTTGGGTTCAGTGAAGGGCTACAATTTAAAAATATTTTTACAAGATACAGTGTGTCCCAAATAAATAAGGAAGTCATAGTTGTATTTTTAAAATGGAACACCCTGTACATTATTTTATTTTTAGATTCTACGATTGAAATAATGGTAAATTTGATTAAGGTTTATCACACTTAAACCTTGCGGTTTTTGAAATATATTATAGTAAAAATTTTAAGGCTTCGTTTCTCCAAGAGTATGAAAGTTTTTAATGCTATTTAGCCTACCTGATCTTGGATATAATTGGATAGACAATTCAATTGTGTATCTGATTCACGTAAAATATACAGGGAGTTCAATTTAAATTAAACAAGTTATTGCCCTTTAAAGCTAGTAATTATTTAAAATAAATTTTTAGACACTCTGTATAAAGTAACTTAATTTTTATTATTGTGTTACAAAATTTAGTAAATAGAAAAACTTCAGTACAATATTTGGTTTAAAAAACTTAAATGCGCCTAGAGAATGAATAAGCATTAAAATGTTTACTGTATTTTGACAAAAACGTAAATATTTCCAAAAGTAGTAGATTAAAATGCGGCGAACCTTAATCAAACTTACTTTAATCGTAAAAACTTAAAATTTAATAATACACAGGCAGTGGCGGATACAGAGGGGGGGCCCATGGGGCCAACGCCCCCCCCCCTAAAATCTCTAAATTGTGTTAAATATTAGGCTTTTAGGTTAAAAATGGCGCTCTAAAAAGCATATTCTACATTACCTTTTATTTGGCCCCCCCCTAAAATAAATTTCTGTATCCGCCCCTGTATACAGGGTGTTGGCTTTACTTGGCTTCACGGACTAAGTATCCTTTTGTCGCTACAGAGTGGTCTTGTAGACACATCTATTAAATAACATAATTTAGCAGAAAATAAGATGTATGTTTGTATCTCCCTATACTTACTTTTATGAGTTTACATGAGTTACTTAAAAATAAATACACATAATAGGCACAATTATAAATTTACAATCAAACCTTATTTAAAAAATTACGTGGTACACATAAAAAAGTAATATTTTTACATATTTTTGTACTCGCACCAATTTAAACCTATTTTTCTTGAGCACTGTAGGACAAATTATTTTTTTTGAAACTGTACAGAGATACTAGGTGTGTCTTTTTATTTTGGAAGAGCACCTGGAGCAAATACTTCTCATTTGTAGTTACTCCTTTTCAGCTGTTGTTTCGCATACAATCGTCTTTCAATATTCGTCCAAAAAGTCTTAGTTTTCTTGAAATTTTTTGGTAGGACAACCAGAAGACCCAACCTGGATCATAGGATTTGTAATAGCTTTGGCTAGATGTTTAAGAAAATCCATAAATCCCATTTTGAAGACCTTTCTATAGTTTTAGTTAGGTTAGATATACGAGTTTTGTAGTCAAATGATTAAATTATTTGAAAATTTAAGTGGTCAAAAAGATAATTCCAATACTAATTCTCGTATTTCTTGGAAAGTTTTGTTTCTGCCATATTATATGCCCCACACTCAGTATATTATAATATTATAATACCGTATGTTAAAAAACGGCGTCCAGTTGGCTTTGAAATGTTGATCAATAACACTCCCTCACATAAAATGATAGTGATTTTTTTACAAGCCATCTCTAACGCCGTTTTTTTTCATTCGTTTGGTATGTGATATACCAACATCAATATACTTATTCTAGATGACCAATATGCCCTTATGCCAGAATTATTCCACTTGGACAATTTTGACCATTGCATGTTGAACCAAAATGAGGCTCTTTATTGTACTTTTACTTATCAACTGAGACCTTTGGACAAAAATAGTTTAATATGGAATATAATTCAGGTAAGACACAATATACAGGGTGACAATTTGAAAACGAACAGTATTTAATATTACCTCTACCGATGATAGTATGAAAATTTGGCGAAATACGTCAATTTACATATCAAGGGGGACAATTTTTGAGGCATTTGTTGTCGTGTTACTTTCAACCCCTTGACCCCCAGGGCACCAACCCCTAAAATTTTAAATGGCAAACCCTATTTCTTTTATCATTTTTGTGTTCCTTATAAAATTCTCAAAAAAATAATGTAATTTATATAGAATTCTAGAGAGCACGGTAGAGGCAATATTAAATACTGTTCGTTTTCACATTGTCACCCTGTATACATCAATCTTAATATCAAGTACTATAGGTTTTAAGCATTTTAAAGCTTGAGCCGACTTTCGAAAATTCTATTGAAGAAGAGATAGATGCTCTGTTTAACTCTGTTCCTAAACTAAATATTTTAATTTGTGTATACTATATTATGAAATATCATGAAATATGGATATGGAACAACTAGCCTGGACCCTCAAGCGATTAAAAATAGATGGAGAATATCTTAACCATCTAAGATTCGCTGGTGACATAGTCCTAATTGCCAATAGTCCTGAAGAACTACAAGCACAAATTAACGAACAAATACAGCAAGCAAAATGAATTTTGCAAAAACTAAAGTAATGTACAGGGTGGTTGAAATTGGTCTGTTTTAACAGAGAAACCCTATTTTCTGACTAGATAGAGCAAAACCGACATAGATGTCATGGGCTCGATTTCCGAGATACGTTTAATGGCGTAAACCGCCTGTTGATATTTTCACTGCCAACAGAGATACGGGGTCTTTTTGAATTGAAAATAGCCCATAACTTTTTTATTTCGCTGAATAATAAAATTCTGTAAAAACGTTTTTAATGCACTTTTTTTAGCACAATCCAGTGGCGTAGTCAGTTTTTTTTCTATGCCTCTTTTTATCAGAAATAATAAAAAATATAATTTTTTAAATGGAAATCATAGTTGGCTATGAACTTAAAAAAACGCTGGCGTTTAACCCTTTCCAACTATATAATGTTATAGGTATCTATTTTTAAGAATGAGAGAAATATTAGGTTTTTTATCTTTATATCGAAGCGGGCTTTGATTTTGTGTTGACCCATTTGTCTATTTTTTTTTATCACAATTTAATATTTTATATTATTATTTATCTGCATAATTAGAGACTTTTAAAAAGGTAAATTAACATTCTAATATTAGTAGTAATGGTAGGTAATTATTAGTATTAGTAATTACAACTGAAATCGGTACAATAAACAAAGAACAAACCTAAAAAAACGTATTTTTTGAGTGACAAATATAGTTCTAAAAAAATCAAAGATATTCAAACTGAGGACCTCCTTGTTGAATACATAATAAAAATCTTTTGAGCACAGGGTTACAACAGTAATTGATTAGGCGAACTGGAGTAATAAGTCCAAAAGTTTGCCTAGTAGCACAGAATATCTAGCTACGCAACAGAAAAATACTCGAAATGAAAGAGCTAAAATTGCACAAATAGAATACTAGATGGCGCGACAATATCATAATCAGAATATAATTAGAAATTTTGAACTTTCGGTTTTGGATCGACGGCTCGTCGACGGCCTTATAGCTCGGCTAAATATGCACAGTTGCCAGATTCAAAAAGACTTGAATTGGCATCCCATTCATTTATTGTGTATAATGCAGTATGTGTTTCTTTCTATTCTTCTTTTCTTGTCAGATACACTTATATTAATTATTCCTTTGGCTATTAAAATAGTTTTAAGTATATTATTACAAAACATATACATTTTTAATATACACTATACCTTATAATGTTAACTAAGAAAATACCTTTAATTTCTTTTAAAATTAATAATATACAGGGCGATTGATAGTGATATTTATTAATGCTGGAACGTTAGTAATGAAATATAAGTTTAATAATAATTTAAATAATTTATTAAAATGCAGTACAAAAAATGTTAACTGACTAAAAAATACTATAAAAAACACAGTTTGCCACGTTATTTATATAGACCTAGGTAGATTTTAAAAAGTGACACAGGTACAATTAATAATTTATTAGTTCGGCATAAAAGTTGCTGTCACGACATCGAACAATAAATTAAAATTCGTAAAATAAATTAAAATTATTAATTAAACAAATCTTTATAAAGAAACGCAAGTATACCAAATTTGGGCCCAATCGAACTCCAGGAAATTATATCATAATAGTGTACTATATTATGGTACCACTCGATATACTTTAGGGTACCATAATATTGCAATGTCACCGAAGATCCGTAGTATACCAAATTTAAGAACAATCGAACGCCATGAAATGGTATCGTAATATGGTACTATATTAAGGTACCACTTTATATACATCATAGTTCAATCATATTACAATGTAACCGAAGATACGTAGTATACCAAGTTTGAGCCCAATCGAACGCCAGGAAATGGTATCGTAATATGGTACTATATTAAGGTACCACTTTATATGCATCATAGTACCATCATATTACAATGTCACCGAAAATACGTAGTATCCCAAGTTTAAGCCCAATCGAATGCCATGTACGTAATATAGTACTATATTATGGTACCAGTTGATATGCTTCATGGTACCATAATAATGCAATGTCATCAAAAATACGCAAGTATATATCAAATATGAGCTCAATCGAACGCCAGGAAATGGTATTGAAATATGGTACTATATTAAGGTACCACTTTATATGCATCATAGTACCATCATATTACAATGTAACCGAAAATACGTAGTATAACAAGTTTAAGTCCAATCGAACGCCAGGAAATGGTATCGTAATATGGTACTATATTATGGTACCACTTATTATGCTCCATGGTACCATAATATTACGTGAATAACATAGTGACATATCACCGAAGATACGTAGTATCCCAAATTTAAGCCCAATCGAACGCCAATTACATAATATGGTACTATATTATGGTACCAGATGATATGCATCATAGTACCATCATATTACAATGTCACCGAAAATACGTAGTATACCAAGTTTAAGCCCTATTGCCGCCATGTATCTAATATTGCTATGTCATCAAATATGGTACTATAGAAGGTACCACTTTATATGCTCCATGGTACCATGATATTACAATGTCACTGAAGATATAGTATACTAAGTTTAAGACCAATCGAACGCCATGTATCGTAATATAGTACTCTATTATGGTATCACTTGATATGCTTCTGAAAAAAACGGCGTCCAGTTGGCTGGAAAAGGTCGATCGATGACATTTCCCATATAAATTTACATATAAAATGACAGTGATATTAATTTCATAGCTATCGCTAACGCCGTTTTTTCCCGATTATACAATATGAACTTGGTATGAACACAATCGAACGTCAGGAAGTGGTATCATAATAGTAGAACAATACTTATTATATTGTCGCCGAATTACAATGAAAATTCAGGATTCAATTATACAATCAAACGTCAGGAAGTGATAGTAATTTAGCTCATAAGATTTAATTCCAACTAACATGGCAAACTGAAAAAAACAGCTCTGATCTATTTTAATATGTTTAAATGATGTAGCAAATTTGAAGGTTGGCTTTATCAGGAAGTATTACGATATGAATTACACATTGGCAACACTGCACAAAATTCTTTTAAATTTTGTTTGTAGAAAACTGTTTTCTTTTAAATTTATTGCCCTCTATTATGTAGTAGCGAAACTAGCACATCAAAATATCTGATTTGGAGACAGACTTTTAAAGCCTGTCTCCTTTTGCTACCTACAATTTTATACATGTAACGAGGCTTCTGTTGCGTAGCTAGATATTCTGTGCTAGTAGCCTTCAACAATTATTCTTCTCTCGTCCCAATGGTTCTTCAGTTATATATAAGGTCTTTTAATTTCCCCCATAAAAAAGTCGAAAGGAGTTAAATCGCAGGACCTAGCAGACCAAGATATGGGCACCTTTTTCCAACCCAATTCTCCATTTAGTAGTTCAGTTGTAACCCTGGCGTTTTAATTGTAACTGGTAATACTAATATAGAATGTTGATTTACCTTTTCAAAAGTTTTTAATTATGCAGATAAATAATAATATAGAAAATTAAATTGCGAGAAAAAATAATTAGGCAATAGGTCAACACAAAACCAAGGCCCGTTTCGATACAAAGATAAAAAACTAATATTTCTCTCATTTTTAGAAATAAATACACATAACTTTATAACGTTGGAAAGGGTTAAACGCCAACATTTTTTTTAAATTCATAGTCAACTATGATTTCTATTTAAAAAATTATATTTTTTATTATTTCTGTCAAAAAGAGCAAGTATAGAAACAAAAAGACTACGCCACTGAATTGTGCTTAAAAAAGTGCCCCAAGAACGTTTTTACAGAATTTTATTATTTCGCGAAATACAAAAGTTATGAGCAATTTTCCAAATGGTAAAAAAATCAAAAAGACCCCGTATCTCAGTTGGCAGTGAAAATATCAACAGACGGTTTTATGCCATTAAACGCTTCTCAGAAATCGAGCCCGGTTTCGGGCTCTATCGTCGGTTTTGCTCTATCTAGTTAGGAAATAGCTTTTCTCTGTTAAAACAGACTAATTTCGACCACCCTGTACAACGAACTAGTAATAGAAAAAAATAACATTCTAATAAATAACACAACACTGGATATAGTAGAATATATATATTTGGAACAACTAGTACACAGCTCGAGATCTCTACTACCAGAAATCAACATAAGAATTAAGTTAGCAAAGAGTACTTATGGAAGAAACTCAATCATATTCAAATCTATTTGATTTTCTTTCTATCTCGAAATTATTTCTATCTACCGAATGTTTTCTTCTTTATTCAATGGTCAAAGTCTACCAGTCATGACCTATGCATGCGAAACCTGGACATTTAAAACGGACATTATAAGCAAACTGCATGTCACACAACGCTCAATGGAACGAAATATGCTGGGAATAATAATAATAATAAATCCCTCAAGTGGCAATGTGCAGCACACCTGGCAAGAAGGACGGACAACAGATGGACCACAAAAATTACAGGATTGCACCCCCGAGGAATTAAGAGACCTCGTGGAAGACCAAACATGAGATGGGACCATAATGTTAGGAAATTGACAGGAATACCTTAACAATTTACCAATAGATAACAATGGATCCAACTACAAAGAGGGTATCTAAATGTGTGAGAGGAACTAGACTCCCATATAGCACGTCCAAATGAAATTACGTTTTTACAAGGGAGACACATGAGAAACAACATATGTTAAAGTGAACCTAAGTGTTCATCTAGTTCTAACATATACATATGAGATACACGCAGGTTTATATTGATAAAATTGTGTGATACAGTGTTTACTAGTTGTATACCGTATGCACTCAAGATTCTAAAGAGTTTTTTCTAACGTAACAAATAATTATTAAAATGATGAAATCTGACGTCGGTATATGAGACATACAATGTATAAGTCATATGTATGTGTGATACTTCGTATCATAGTTGTGCCTATAGTACACACCTTGTAAAAACGTGACGTATACACATAATATAAATATCTATATAGACACTTTGTAATAGTGTACTGTTGTGTCTACATTCTAGCATGAAATAAAGGTGTGCGCATGCGCGGATAGCCTCAGCGTAGACACACCGACCAAGTGTATCTTATGTGTCCTCTCTCCTTTCTCCTTTCTAGGAGTGGTATGTGTTAGCAGCCATTATTGTTTTATCATTCGGAAGCTCTATATAAATGTTCTGTTTGTGTGTACTTTAAAAGAGATTTTAAGGTAAGTACAAGTATTTAATTACCTTGTTACACCTTCCTAAGAGTATTATTAATATTATAGCAGCGACTCTTCCCTTACTCGATACCCAGTTTACCAAATTTTGACTCCAATGAATGAAAACTCCAAATATTCTCGTATAATGATAAAGAGGTTAGCTGAGTTAACTCTGCAATATATTTTTTTTTAATTTGGAAATAATAAAAATCTAAATGGACCAGAGAAATAAAGATTTAAACACTTCAAAGAACTTCTTACACTGATATTCGGTAAGTTATTGATGGATCAATATACAGATATGTTTAATATTCAACTAATCAGTTTCATATAAAATTTAAGGTTGAGATTGTTAATCTGGAAATAAAATACAACAAAGTCCAAAAGAGTGCTCGATGAATGAATATGCTAATAAACCAACTGCTTGGAGGGAAAAGAGGAGAAAAAATGACTAAACGAGGTCCACCAAATCGTGGCGATATACCAGTGTTTACCATTTTAGTATGTTGTTATTCTAGGTCTAGGTACTTATATTTTTAATACATTTTGATGCAAATTCTGTTGTTTTAAAGTGTTTTCTTACTTCTGGTTTCTGCAGTGTAAATAATTATTATTATTGTGTTATTTGCGCTATTGCGTTCCATGATATAAAGAAATATAAGAATTTTATTTTTTAACCACTTAATCCATTTTATGAAAGAAAAATGGTACATTTAATACAAAACAAAAATGGAACAATTTTAAGGCTACTTCTCTTGAACTTACGATCGAGATACTTTTGGAAAATGCAAAGTTTTGCATTCCTAATTTTCGTTCTAAAAAGATATAATTGGTATCATTGAATAAATATTTCTTAAAAAGAACGAAAAGTTAGGCATCAAAACTTGTATTATTTCCTAAATTCGTTCATAAGAAGTAGTTTTATCTACCACAAGATGTACAGGGTCCGGCAATAGTACGTCGGGCATCTGTAGCTCCGAGAATAAAAAACTTGAGAATTTTGTTTAAGTGCAAACCTAAAGTATGTATCAGAATGTATTTCAGGAAAATATTTAAACTTCTATAGGGTGGCTCAAAAAAGTGTGAGTGGACCTGGATGATTTTTTTAATTGGTATGGTAATAACACCCTGTATATTATTGCATTTTTGGATTCCCTTCAGATCACTTTACATAACCCTAAGATATGAATAAATATATTTCGATAGTTTTAGAGATATTAAAAAATAAATCAAAAATATATATTTTTTACCTCTTCTTAAAAAATTATTAAAAATTAAAAATACAGGAATTGTTCTGAAATCAAAACTATATTAGGTATTTACTTTAGATGGTCTGTTCTTACTTTGCTATAAATATGGTAATCGTAAATCATACAGGATGTTCAATATTCTACGGCAAACTTTCTAAAATATAAATATTTTTTCTTTGTTTTTTTAAATAGCACACACTGTATATTATTTTTTTATTAGATGGAGAGTTAAAAACTGAACATTTTTTGTATTTAGCATATTTCAAAATTTTTAACGGTTTCGCAGATACACGCAGTATTAATTCATATTGCGTTTTCAATGGTAAAATACGAGAAAAAATCATTAGGTGGCTTTGATAAAAATTTACTGTGGAAAATGCCAATTTCCATCTATTGAAAAAATAATATACAGGGTGTTCCATTTAAAAAAACAAAGAAAAATTATTTTATATTTTAGAAAGTTTGGCGTAGAATTTTGAACATCCTGTATGATTTACGATTTTCATATTTATAGCAAAGTAAGTACAGACCATCTAAAGTAAATATCTAATATAGTTTTGATTTCAGAACAGTTCTTGTATTTTTAATAATGTTTTTTTAAGAAGGGCTGAAAATATATATTTTTTATTTATTTTTTAATATCTCTGAAACTATCGTAATATATTTATTCATATCTTAGGGTTATGTAAAATGATCTGAAAGGAATCCAAAATGCAATAATATACAGGGTATTCCATTTAAAAAAAAATCATCCAGGTCCACTCACACTTTTTTGAGCCACCCTATAGAAGTTAAAATATTCTCCTGAAATACATCCTGGTACATACTTTAGGTTTGCACTTATACCAAATTCTTAAGTTTTTTATTCTTGGAGCTACAGATGCCCGACGCACTATTGCCGGACCCTGTATATACGAAGCAAAATACATACGTATACACGCGGTAGTCACAACTGCAATGTGTAAACATAATTTAAAGGTAATACACAAGCACTGTGTATCCTACGGCACACTGTGTATCTCTTACTTTGTGTATACGTAAATGATATACTGTGGTTACATTGTGAGGCGGACGTTTAACCTTTGTGCATACGTGTTAAACTATAATGTGTAAACGTAGCATACTTACATCGGGGGAATTGTGTCACCCTGTGTCTACATCTAATAATGTAAACACTTCGTAAATGTGATTTGATGTGCTGTATGGGCTATAATTTGAAATGGTTGAATAAGCTGAAAATGACGATGATGATGTTGATGACCAATAAATGTACTTTATAAGTAAAAATAAATAATATTGTATTTGTGACAAATAAGATAATGACTCAAATTTTATCTAACTATAGAGAATTAAAGAAATTTTAATTATCAAAAATACTAGATGACAAATTTTTTTCATTTTTTTTTGTAGAATGTAAGTTCCAGTCCTCAAAATTACAATCACACTCAACTACGTCATGGATTGTGTGTCCCAACAAGCTGTCCAGATGAATACAATAATTCAGATTCCACCCTAGAAGCAATCCAGTTTTGCTATGACCAAAAAATGAGTTTACTAGGATTAGCTGGAAACGTCACAACACTGGATTGTCAAGGTGCAACATCCAGATATCCTGTAGACTTATTTGATTGGGTGGTAGCGTAAGTATGTTGTTATTTCAAAGCAACAAAATATATATTTCGAATTCATTTTTAGGGGAGTACTTGGTGCATATGTTTTGTTCGTATTGTTTGCTTCGCTTTATGAAGAAAAAGTTATAAGGAAGTCGATATATATAAGCAAATCATTAGGTAATGTATCTATTGTAATCGCAAAACATTTTCCGATGCACGTCATCAATAATATCGACATTGACACTAAAGTCTATAAACCTGACTAACTGAAATTTTGGCAAAAATGTTTAAATTTGTTGTATAATTTAAGACACCGAGCAGCTCTTCATTTTACTATATAGAGCAAATTATTGTAACAGAGAGAATTATTGTTAGAGAACGTTTAGTATTGTAACAGATATTTTATTTAGATTAAAGCTGTAAAAATTAGTTTAAACTGAATTTTAATATCGCTATGTTTATTATGTCGTTTAGTATTTTTACTCTCAACTCTCAAGTTTTAGTTTTTCAAATGAATTGCTTTATATTTGTTTAGTTCAGGGAATTTGCTATAAAATTCCGGTTCCAAAAATACCTTAATACCATAGAGTACACTGGGGACGTCTATCTAGACGTCCAGGAACTTTCGTATGAGAACTTCTAATGGAGACGATCGACTTATTGTAAGTCTATCGCTAAGAAACCGCCGGTTGCCAGCTTTTTAAATTTATAATGAATCGCACCTAAGGAATGTACATATTAACTAACGGACTATAAGAAGAACACTATATAAGAATCGTTTTTAAAACGTCCTTCGGTTTCCTTCATTGGTTTTGTTCATTCCAGTCTCCGTCACGCAGATCCCTTGAGCTCATCGCCTTCTTGACACCCTCCATCCAGTTTGTCCTTGCTCTTCCCCGTTTCCTTCTCTTTTGTGGAAGCCAGTTTAATACTTTTTGCGTGTTATCCTTCTCACATGTCCATACCACTTCAGTTGAGCAATCCCTATTTCCTCTACTATAGTTTTCTCTCTATCCATTTTGTCCCTGATTGTCTCGTTCCGTACTCTATCTAGCCTTGATCAGTGGTGAAGCTATGGTGGTTACTTGTCCCCCCCCCCCCAAAAAAAGTTCTAGCGTCACCACTGGCCTTGATGTTCGTGCTGATATCCTTATCGAGTCCATTTATACCGCCAGTAATTGTCTTTGTTATTCTCCATTAACCTCCATGTTTCCGCCCCAAATAACAGATTGCTCTTGATTATTGCATCATAAATCTTTTAAAAAAGTTCTCTGTGTTTACCTATTTCGTTACTCCACAGTATATTATTCAGACATTTTATTGCATTTCTGGCCTTGACTATTCAAGAAGAAGATTAAATGAAGCAAATCTTATGTTAAGAAGGCCTGCTTCGGGACCAGAACTTACTAGATCTATTGATTAGGAACAAAAGCAAAGGCATGGTCTTAATGTAAAAATTACGAAAAAATGTTAGTGGCTTCTTCAAAAGCGAATATCTCCAATAAAAATAAAGCTAATGAGATGATCCAAAAAACAAACTATCCAGAAAGGATGTATCTAAATGATACATTGATTTTTAAATTTCTTGCTGTTTTAACATATTCCACAGGGTGTTTCAAACTTTCACAAAAATATCAACATTTTGTTTTCCCTCGTATAATTAACAGATGGGGAGTTTCATTTTTAATTTAGAAAGAGATACTAAAAAGTCAAATAATTTGGCTACATACTGCTTAAAAATCATCAAAATCGGCCCACTAGAAAAAAATGGTTTAAAAGTTTAATATACTTTAAAATACAAAGTTTTAAGGTGTCCATTTTTCCTGCCGGTGAATGTATTCAAAAAACTATACATTTTAGACATATACTTTTCTAATGAAATTCGCTTTTATTTTTTTACCAGAATCCGAAAATCAATTAATATACAGGGTGTTCCATTACAAAAATCACAACTTTCATGTGAAACTTTTTTGGGGACACCCTGTAGAACTCTATATAATTTTAGAAAATGCTTTAAATTGACTTACATAAGCTCACAAAATTTTACTTCAATACAAACTTTTGTTCTCCTTGCAAAAACCGCGTCGTGTATGACGCGCCACCCTGTATAATTCGATTTCAATCAAAATTTCAATGATTAGAATATAAGCAGAATAGGTATAGCTTATACATTAGATTCATTCATTTCAACAAATTTACTTAGAAAACAAATTAAAAAAATCAAAAAATTAAGAAGGAAATAAATAAGAATTTACTAAAATTACTGAAATAAAAAATTAAAAGTAACAGAAAAAAATGGGTAAACATTTTAGTATTTTATCTATAACACACAATACAGAAGCTTTCACAGTAATTGAATTCCGAGGTAAAAGTCTCTAGGCACTCCACTATCAGTCATTATTTTGTATAATAAATATCGTGTTGTTGTTGAATCTTTGTGAGTAATTCTCGTTTTTTTACCTATTTTCATAGTTTTTTTTTAAAATTGAACTTTTAAGCACAAACAGTTCTTTAAAGAACAAAATTTTCGAGTTTTTGTATTGCATTTCTTGAAATCGTGTGTTGAAAATATGCCGAAGCATCTAAACAGTCGAAGCAAAGAGCTTGTAGCTTCACTGATAGACTATTTTGAACGACAACGTGACAATAAAGGCCCTTTATTACCCTTGACTGGAGCCAGAGAAGTAAGTTTGAATGATAAGCACATTACACCACTTTCAAAGTTATTTCTACGTTAGTTTTTATTAAATTCTGCGATTATTAGTTTGTGCATTAATAGCACTCTCTTACTTGTTATTACCACTTATGGCGTTGTAAAATGTACATCAATAAATAAATAAATAAATAATTCATAATAACGCTAAGAATAATCTTCATAATGGACTAGTTTTTGCCAATATGTAATACACATAAAAATAAAACGTAAAAATCTTTAAAAAATTATATAATAAATAGGTATATTGTTTGTCACCCTTAAATTAAGATTCATCTCATAAATCCATCACAATCTGGCAGCGCTGTCGCCATCGCTTGTCACTCAAAGTTGATCACGTGCATCGGAAATTGTTTTGTGATTACCATATCTCATATCTCTCTTGGATTGAGTTGATTTCATAGTTACTAACTGATCTAATATTAAAAACAATACTATTCTACACTTTTCTAAAATCTCCACTTTGTAAAGCCTGCTTAATAAGTTTCTAAAAGTAGAGAATCAAAAAATAACAAACAATATACCAACACCAAGAAGAATAAGACAGAGAGATAACGTAAGCCCATTCTTGTTCAATGTTGTCATTGACGAAATTATAAATGACATTATTGAAAAAGATATACAGACTGAACAACAAATTAATCAATATGGTGATGATGTTCTGTCCCTCTTTAGAAAATTTAATGTCATAAAAATAGTCTGTGTATTTCAAACTTGGTGTTTCGCTAACCATCAATAGATGAATTAAACTGATCAGTCTCTCATTCAAATCAGTTTTAACATCATCTGCTGATGATGTTAACGTAGTCAACGAAACGCGTCCCTAGAGTTTAAGGTTTTTCAATGTTTAATTATAAAATACTGTTTTATTTTAATGTATTCTTCAGCTGGCAGAATTATTGAAGCATTCTCTGTGCCAAAAAACTGGAATAGACTTGTTGCTGCATCGCCCAGTTCTGATCATAAAAAATTAAGGGTTATCCAAGGATTGCGGTTTTTTACTATGTTCGGAGTTATCCTGTCTCATACATTGATGGGTATATTCTATGGTCCTGTTTCTAATACGCAATACACAGAAAATGTAAGTATTTTAACAAGAAACATTAAGTGCGTGGTATGTTGAATAGATATTTCGAAATACAGGGTGGTCCGAACTGTATTCCGGAATCATCGGCAGCATATTCTGCAAATAAAAATAAGTAAAAAAGTTCTTATAAATGTATATCCCACAATGCTTAGTTTCGGAGATACTGTGTTGAAGTTTCATTTTTATTTTTATTTTTTCCAAATAATTTCTGAAGTAACGTCAATATTTGGATGAAAATTGGTGCTTGGGAGTTTTTTGACACGAGAAATTTGATTTTCATGTAAATATGACTCTTACTTGTAGAGGGCGCCACCTACATATTGTTTAACTTGTTTGAAGAATAATAACTTTTCGTCCGTACCTGTATAAAACTACTGGGTAAAAAAATATACATTTACCAGGTTTTTTACGAAAAAAAAAGGTCTCTTGGTAAAAATCGCCACGATTTATGATTTTCTAGATATTTGGAATCGAAATTATTAATACCTGTCATCATTGACATTAATTAAACATGTTGACTAAATAGTTATTAAACTGAAATCATAAATTTGAAATATTTTTGTGCCAAAAGTTCAACAGAAACTGTTTTATCATCATTTTTTGCAGAAAAATTTATGATTAATTTAAAAAAAAATAAAAATTTTCAAATTTATTATTTCAGTGAAATAACTATCTACTCAACGTGTTTATTTTTCGTCAATAATGACCTGTATTGACTATTTCCATTCTAAATATCGTAAGAACAGTTGCTCGTAGCGATTTTTACAAAGAGGTATTTTTTACAGTAAAAAGTCAGGTATGGACAAAAAGTTATTACGCTTCAAAACAGTTAAAACACATGTAGGTGGCGCCCTCTACTAGTAGGAGTCATATTGACATCAAAATCCCAAATTTCTCATGTCAAAAAACTTCCAGACACCAATTTTCATCGAAATATTGACGTTACTTCAGAAATTATTTAGAAAAAATCGAAATAAAAATAAAACTTCGACACCCTGTATCTCTGAAACTCAGCATTTTAGGACCTACAATTATACGAACTTTTTTTATTTATTTTTATCTGCAGAATATGCTGCCGAAATTTCCGGAATACAATTCGGACCACCCTGTATAATAGAGTTACAGAATTTTTGCCCAGTATCTAAAAATAAAATACAAAATACGGTGTTGCATTTAAAAAAAATATGTTATATCGGCCACACTTTTTTGAAGCACTCTATATAATATGTAATCATCATAAAATGTGTATCTTAACCTTCCCTATAACTTTTATATTTAACATTTTCTTGTAAACCTCGAAACAAATGAGATAATGGACTTTACTCTATCGTTGACTCACCCTGTACAAAATTGGATAATTTTCATGTTAAAGTTTTATTTTTCAGATGACAAAGGATATTCTGAACATGCTGGTTGCACAAGGATTTTACGTGGTCCAAACATTTTTCATGATATCAGGATTCCTATTTTCCTATCAGTTTTTCGAAAAAAGATCCATGGATAAAAAAGTCGACAACTCATTTTTTATGTGGTCACTCTTCTTCAGGTACATTAGGTAAGACAAAAATTACAATAACAATTTTCTTGTTACACTTATTAGACTATTCCATAATATATAAACTACTGATACAACTATTTTAGAATGACACCAACTTTATTGGTGGTATGGGCGATTCACAGCACTTGGCTTGTTCATCTTTATAACGGTCCATACTGGGACTCGATCGTAGGAGATGAGTACCGGAACTGCAGAAAAAATGGATGGAGCAATTTTCTTTACATCAATAACATGCTTTACCCTGATAAAATGGTAAACTTTCTACTTATAGATATCAGTGTCTCCAAAGTTGTTTTTTATCTAGTATAACAGCGAATTTTATTACTACATCATGTACAGGGACATCATTTTAAGTGTCTCACTCGATTTATAATTTTCCTGTTTGGTATTTAAAGATAGTAGAAAAATTTTCTAATGTAATTTTTCGCGAAGATGCCGATTCTCTACACCAAAATTTTTTAAAACGTCAATTTTGACAGATACGACGCCATCTTGATTTTTTTAAAATGGAAACCCCATCATATTTTAGCATGGTCCGATAGACATATTTTAGCTAATTTCAAAAATATATAGTTTAGTATAGTTTGCACTTAGCGTTTTCGATATACAGTGGATTTAAAAATGAATTGTTCCAGAATCATTTTAAGTGTCTCAGCCAATTTAAAATTTTCCTCTTTTCTATTTTAAGATAGTAAAAAGATATTTTAATGTAATTTTTCGCGAGGATGCCGATTTTCTACATTAAAATTTTTTAAAACGTCAGTTTTGACAGATACGACGCCATCTTTATATTTTTAAATGGAAACCCCATCAAATTTTAACACTGCCCGGCAGACAAATTTTGGCTAATTTCAAAAATATATAGTTTAGTACACTTTGCACTTACTGTTTTTGATATACAGTGGATTTAAAAATGAATTGTTCCAGAATCATTTTAAGTGTCTCACCCAATTTAAAATTTTCCTCTTTTCTATTTTAAGATAGTAAAAAGATATTTTAATCTAATTTTTCGCGAGGATGCCGATTTTCTACATTAAAATTTTTTAAAACGTCAGTTTTGACAGATACGACGCCATCTTGATTTTTTTTAAATGGAAACCCCATCAAATTTTAACACAGCCCGGTACGCAAATTTTAGCTAATTTTAAAAATATATATTTTAGTATACATTCCATTTACCATTTTCTATGTACAGGGGGTTGAAATCAAGAATTTCTCTAATTTTGATGTATTTGAATATGAATGCCATTCACTTACAACTGAGTGGCATTTGTATCCAAATACATGAAATTTACATAAATAGAGCTATCTTATGATAAATGACTAGCATTTTAAAACTAAATTTTCAAAAAAGTTTTTATATACAGGGTGGTCCGAACTGTATTCCGGAAACTTCGGCAGCATATTCTGCAGATAAAAATAAGTAAAAAAGTTCGTATAAATATATGTCCTACAATGCTTAGTTTCGGAGATACACGGTGTAGAAGTTTCATTTTTATTTCGATTTTTTCCAATTAATTTCTGAAGTAACGTCAATGGGGTTTCCATTTAAAAAAAATCAAGATGGCGTCGTATCTGTCAAAATTCACATTTTAAAAAATTTTAATGTAGAAAATCGGCATCCTCGCGAAAAATTACATTAAATAATCTTTTTACTATCTTAAAATAGAAAAGAGGAAAATTTTAAATTGGGTGAGACACTTAAAATGATTCTGGAACAATTCATTTTTAAATCCACTGTATATCGAAAACGGTAAGTGCAAAGTATACTAAACTATATATTTTTGAAATTAGCTATCAATTTCAGCTAAAATTTATCATCAATTAGCTAAAATTTGTCTACCGGGCAGTGTTAAAATTTGATGGGGTTTCCATTTAAAAAAAATCAAGATGGCGTCGTATCTGTCAAAATTGACGTTTTAAAAAATTTAATGTAGAAAATCGGCATCCTCGCAAAAAAATACATTAGAAAATCTTTCTATTATCTTTAAATACCAAACAGGAAAATTATAAATCGAGTGAGACACTTAAAATGATGTCCCTGTACGTAATATAAACTAGTGATGGGCATTACGATTCTTTTTAGTGAATCGAATCACACGATTCAATTTTTCGTATTGAATCGACTCCTACGATTCGATCATTTGAACGAACCACATGCACAATTCACATTTCATAAAAACAAGAAACGTAACTGGCACCATATACTGGCACTACCGGCGATAATTTGGCCGGACAATTACTGACTAAGAGACCAGAAAACGAAATATACAGTTCTTTCATTTGTTTTTCAACACTGTCAGACACTGGCGTAATTGGATTGATTATTTTACCAATAATAAATATTAAATTATCAATCCAATTCATATATACCAATTTAATATTTTTAGAGCAATATTTTAATTCCGATTTAATAATCATAATAAATAGTATAATAATAACGCATGATCGAAAAAAAATGGCGTCCACTTGTCTTGGAAATGAACATCAATGACATTCGCCATATAATTTTACATATAAAATGACTGCGACCTTTTTTTTTCATCGCTGACAGCAGAGGCCAACAATATTTATTTAGAGTTGTATAAAACACGATTTCGTCTTTTAGTCCGACATTTATTGGTTTATAGTGGGTAATATTATTTTAACAAAAATATTAACGTGAAAATTAAATGCATTACAGATACTCCCGTACTAAGCACAGTATATTTTTTTTCTTGTAAAAAACTTTCTTATAGTTTGTATTTTATGCCCATGATGTTTGTTTAGGGGTTTTGTTCAAGCACAGAATATCTAGCTACGCAACAGAAGCCTCGTTACATGTATAAAATTGTAGGTAGCAAAAGGAGACAGGCTTTAAAAGTCTGTCTCCAAATCAGATATTTTGATGTGCTAGTTTCGCTAGTACATAATAGAGGGCAATAAATTTAAAAGAAAACAGTTTTCTACAAACAAAATTTAAAAGAATTTTGTGCAGTGTTGCCAATGTGTAGTTCATATCGTAATACTTCCTGATAAAGCCTACCTTCAAATTTGCTACATCATTTAATCATATTAAAATAGATCAGAGCTGTTTTTTTCAGTTTGCCATGTTAGTTGGAATTAAATCTTATGAGCTAAATTACTATCACTTCCTGACGTTTGATTGTATAATTGAATCCTGAATTTTCATTGTAATTCGGCGACAATATAATAAGTATTATTCTACTATTATGATACCACTTCCTGACGTTCGATTGTGTTCATACCAAGTTCATATTGTATAATCGGGAAAAAACGGCGTTAGCGATAGCTATGAAATTAATATCACTGTCATTTTATATGCAAGCATATCAAGTGATACCATAATATAGTACTATATTACGATACATGGCGTTCGATTGGTCTTAAACTTAGTATACTATATCTTCAGTGACATTGTAATATCATGGTACCATGGAGCATATAAAGTGGTACCTTCTATAGTACCATATTTGATGACATAGCAATATTAGGTACATGGCGGCAATAGGGCTTAAACTTGGTATACTACGTATTTTCGGTGACATTGTAATATGATGGTACTATGATGCATATCATCTGGTACCATAATATAGTACCATATTATGTACATGGCGTTCGATTGGCCTTAAATTTGGGATACTACGTATCTTCGGTGATATGTCACTATGTTATTCACGTAATATTATGGTACCATGGAGCATAATAAGAGTACCATAATATAGTACCATATTACGATACCATTTCCTGGCGTTCGATTGGACTTAAACTTGTTATACTACGTATTTTCGGTTACATTGTAATATGATGGTACTATGATGCATATAAAGTGGTACCTTAATATAGTACCATATTTCAATACCATTTCCTGGCGTTCGATTGAGCTCATATTTGATATATACTTGCGTATTTTTTATGACATTGCATTATTATGGTACCATGAAGCATATCAACTGGTACCATAATATAGTACTATATTACGTACATGGCGTTAGATTGGGCTTAAACTTGGGATACTACGTATTTTCGGTGACATTGTAATATGATGGTACTATGATGCATATAAAGTGGTACCTTAATATAGTACCATATTACGATACCATTTCCTGGCGTTCGATTGGGCTCAAACTTGGTATACTACGTATCTTCGGTTACATTGTAATATGATTGAACTATGATGTATATAAAGTGGTACCTTAATATAGTACCATATTACGATACCATTTCATGGCGTTCGATTGTTCTTAAATTTGGTATACTACGGATCTTCGGTGACATTGCAATATTATGGTACCTTAAAGTATATCGAGTGGTACCATAATATAGTACACTATTATGATATAATTTCCTGGAGTTCGATTGGGCCCAAATTTGGTATACTTGCGTTTCTTTATAAAGATTTGTTTAATTAATAATTTTAATTTATTTTACGAATTTTAATTTATTGTTCGATGTCGTGACAGCAACTTTTATGCCGAACTAATAAATTATTAATTGTACCTGTGTCAATTTTTAAAATCTACCTAGGTCTATATAAATAACGTGGCAAACGGAAGAAATTTGTTTTTTATAGTATTTTTTAGTCAGTTAACATTTTTTGTACTGCATTTTAATAAATTATTTCCATTATTATTAAACTTATATTTCATTACTAACGTTCCAGCATTAATAAATATCACTATCAATCGTCCTGTATATTATTAATTTTAAAAGTAATTAAAGGTATTTTCTTAGTTAACATTATAAGGTATAGTGTATATTAAAAATGTATGTTTTGTAATAATATAATTAAAACTATTTTAATAGCCAAAGGAATAATTAATATAAGTGTATCTGACAAGAAAAGAAGAATAGAAAGAAACACATACTGCTTTATACACAATAAAAAGAATGGGATGCCAATTCAAGTCTTTTTGAATCTGGCAACTGTGCATATTTAGCCGAGCCGTGGCCGTGGACGAGCCGTCGATCCAAAACCGAAAGTTCAAAATTTCTAATTATATTCTGATTATGATATTGTCGCGCCATCTAGTATTCTATTTGTGCAATTTTAGCTCTTTCATTTCGAGTATTTTTCTGTTGCGTAGCTAGATATTCTGTGGTTCAAGTCTAAATATTGGTGCCTGACTCTATGCCTATAACACCGCCGCGCCGTAGAAACGAACGATCGCATTGTGATCCGATTCAATTCTCACGATTCTTTTTTACGGCTCATCGTTTAAATGTTATGGATCCGTGCTGGCCACGATTCAGTTGAACGAACCGTATTGTAACCAATGAGTTCATTCTCAAGACTCTTTGATCGAACGATCGCATAGTGATCCGATTCAATTCAAACGATTCTTTTTTACGGCTCATCGTTTAAATGTTGTGGATCCGTGCTGGCTAGGATTCAGTTGAACGAACCGTATTGTAACCAATGAATCCATTCTCAAGACTCTTTGATCAAACGATCGCATAGTGATCCGATTCAATTCACACGATTCTTTTTTACGGCTCATCGTTTAAATGTTGTGGATCCGTGCTGGCTAGGATTCAATTGAACGAACCGTATTGTAACCAATGAATCAATTGTCACGACTCTTTGATCAAACGATCGCATTGCGATCCGATTCAATTCTCAAGATTCTTTTTTATGGTTCATCGTTTAAATGTTATGGATCCGTGCTGGCTACGATTCAGTTGAAAGAAGCGTATTCTAAGCAGTGAATCGAATCTTGCACGATTCTTTTTTAATACTCGTTCAAATGAACGACTCGTTCAATCTTTGCCCACCTCTAATATAAACTACACTGTTTTTTGTCATTTTTATTATTTTAGTGCCTTCAACAAACATGGTACCTAGCAGTGGATATGCAAGTTTTCATACTTGGTTTAATAGCTCTATTTATTATCAACAAATACCCTAAAAAGATGTATCATATATTTGGAATTATTCTCACAGTATCATTGATTATACCAGGAATTGTGGCGTATGTTGAAAATCATGATATATTGTTTAGACAGTATCCAGAGTAAGTAGGAAATATTTTGGTTTATGTATACAGGGTGGTCCGAACTGTATTCCGGAAACTTCGGCAGCATATTCTGCAGATCAAAAATAACATAAACAACGATCTGAACCCAAATTACAATATTATCGTCAACTCAGGAATTTTACAAAACATGCTATAGTTAGAGAAAAAATTAGTTATTTTAAGGGTTTATCGGAAAAGACTGGTAAAGAATTCTGGAAAGATGCTAAACGACTTAAGTTAACATTTAAATCAAGTCCGGAAGTTCCTGAAAACTTAGCGGATGTAGATAAGCTTAATATTTTTTTTTCGAACTGTCAGAATTGCATTAATAGTACATCAAATAAAAAAATAGATTTTTATAGACAAAATAAGCATGAAAAAATAGGGAATAATGTTCTAAATTTCAAACTAATAGATGAGGTATCGTTACATCAAATATTAAATTCTATTCGGTCTAATGCTGTCGGTGAAGATGATTTATCAATTAAAGCACTAAAGCTGTGCATGCCTTACTGTGGTAAAGCGGTAATAAATATAATTAATACTTCTATTTTAGACAATGTCTATCCCGAAATATGGAAAAAAGCTATTATAACACCTCTCTGTAAAATTTCCAAACCTTTAAATAACAAAGATCTAAGACCCATGAGTATTTTGCCAGCAATTTCTAAAATTATAGAAAAAGATCTACATAATCAAATTGTTTCATTTGTAGATTCAAATAAACTAATACCTGAATGCCAATCTGGTTTTCGTAAGAACTACAGCACTACCACTTGTTTACTAAAGCTGGTTAATGATATTAGAACAAATCAAGAAAATAAAAATATGACGTGTCTTAGCTTACTAGACTTTAGTAAAGCATTTGATACTCTAGACCATTCATTGCTCCTAGCAAAATTACAGTATTTTGGATTTTCAGACGGCTCTTTAGAATTGATAAAAAACTTTTAAAAGATTGAGTTGTCATGAAACGGGGTAGTTTAAAACAAAAATCTAGTTATATTCCTATGATTTCTGGGGTTCCTCAAGGATCTATTCTGGGACCACTTTTATTTTCGTTATATGTAGCTGATATGGATAAGGAATTACAGTTTTCTAAATTGCAGCAATATGCGGATGATTCTCAAATTTATTGCAGAATAGATACTAATAATTTGGCACAATTTCAGTTAAATTTTAACGACGATCTTAATAAAATTAATAAATATGCTCTAGATCATAATTTGAAATTAAATGCCGGTAAATCTTGTGTTATAGTATTTGGTAGTGATATAAACAAAATTACAAATACGGCTGGTAACATGAATATCCATATAGATAATGTTGCGATACCCATTGTTACAGAGACTAAAAATCTTGGAGTTTATTTTGATTCGAAGCTTTCATTTCAGGCACATATAACTACTAAATTAAAGGCTGCTTATATACGGTTGAAGAATTTTTCGTCTCTTAAGAAATATATACCATCAAAGACTAAGTATCAATTATGTGACACACTTATTTTATCTTTATTTGATTATGGCGATGTTGTTTATGGTACATCCATAAACGCTAGATTCTCTAGAAAAATCCAAATACTTCAAAATTCGTGTCTACGGTTTTCTTTTAACATTCCTTTTAGAGATCATATAACGCCACATCTTAAAAATTTATCTATTTTACCATGACTAACAGACGACAATTTCATTTAATGACATTCATTTATCGAATTTTAACTACAGAGCAGCCTCCCTATTTGTTCTCATTGTTTCACTACGTTGACCATGATCATTCGACTAGACAAGTGCATTATTTTAAAATTCCTCAACACCGAACAGCTAACTTCCAAAAATCTTTCAGTTTCATAGCGCCACATTTGTGGAGTAATATTTCTAATAACTTTAAATTTCAATCCTTTACAGATTATAAGAAACAAATTAAAAATCATTTACTAAATTCGTAAATATTATAATTTCTTCGACTGATTTGTGAGATCTTCTTCTTCTGATATGCCCGTCATTGGTTGCTGTTCCGGTTTTTACACTGTTTCATTATGCCTCTCTGCTCATCTCCGCTCGTCCCTGATAAAATTGTATTTTCACTTTTTTTATATAATTTTAATTTTTTTAATTCTGTTTATTTTTGTAATTTAATTTATTTCTATTTTGTATTTGGGGTCGCACCACTCTGGCACTTTGTGCCATTGTATCGGTTTTTTAATCGCGATGCGATCGCTTTAGACACACATTTATTAATACTAATATTATTCTGTAAAACTTAATGGGGTCTAATAAAGAAATTTGAATTTGAATTTGAATTTAGATAAATATAACTAAAAAAGTTTGTATAAATGTATGTCCTAAAATGCTTAGTTTCGGAGATACAGGGTGTAGAAGTTTCATTTTTATTTTGATTTTTTTCAAATAATTTCTGAAGTAACATCAATATTTGGATAAAAATTAGTGTTCGGGAGTTTTTTGACATGAGAAATTTGATTTTGATGTCAGTATGACGCCTACTTGTAAAGGGCTCCACCTACATATTTTTTAACTGGTTTGAAGAGTAATAACTTTTCGTCCGTACCTGTATAAAACTACTGAGTAAAAAATATACATTTACGACGTTTTTTACGTAAAAAAGGTCTCTTGGTAAAAATGGCTACGAGTAATAATTCTCGAGATACTTGGAGCTGAAATTATGTATTGACTATTTCTATTCGGAATATCTTGAGAACGGTTGCTCGTAGCGATTTTTACCAAGAGACACTTTTTTACGTAATAAATTACGGAAATGTATATTTTTTCACTCAGTACTTTTATACAGGTATGTACGAAAAGTAATTACTCTTCAAAACAGTTAAAACACATATAGGTGGCGCCCTCTACAATTTGGAGACATACTGACGTCAAAATCAAATTTCTCATGTCAAAAAGTTCCCGAACACCAATTTTCACCCAAATATTGACGTTACTTCAGAAATTATTTGAAACAAATCTAAATAAAAATGAAACTTAGAATATACATTTATACGAACTTTTTTACTTTTTTTATCTGCAGAATATGCTGCCAAAGTTTCCGGAATACAGTTCGGACCACCCTGTATATTAATTTAAGATCAGCAATGTTTGCTAAAATATTTCTAATATTGTGATTAAGGTAGATATAAGTTTGTTTTAAAGCCACAGCCTATTTAGTACCAGCTGTTTATAATCGCTTGATTTTAATTATTAGCGTGTCACCTACTGAACTTATTTTTGTTCAGCAGTCAGAGAATCAGTCTCGATATTTTATTTAAACCAAACTTCAATGGAGCTCACAATATTATATAAGATAATAAAATATCCATGTAGGTATGCAGAATTCCATGCAAGTTAGCTTAAAGGTGGCTACACACACTACTGCAAGCTTGACAAGCATGCATGAACAATCTTTTTGTACAAGCAAACTGTAGCGTCTGTAGGGAAAATTTGCGCAAGCATTTTAATTGTGCAAGCCGCTTGATGATTGATTGAATTTGGATCATGCAAGCTTGGACAAGCCATGCTTGCGCGAGCGAAACGGTACGTGTGTGCCACATGCATTCGGCTTGTACAAACAATTAGTTCAGTCCGTGATCGTATATGACGTCGCGTCGCCATCATGTCTAGCGATCTGAAAAGGAGCAATCGAGGTTTACTGGAAGATTTTATTCGCGCATACGAAAATTAGCCGTGTCTTCGGTGAAGAAAGATGCAGCATACAAAATTTTACTTAATAAGTATAGATTAATTGACAGCCAAGCCGATAAAGATGCCGTTATTAAAAAGATAAATGCTTTCAGGATTCCTTAGCAAGTTTCTTCTTTTTCGCGGACTTCCTTCTTCTATTTCTTCGGACTTCCTTCTCCTTTTTCGCGGCATAAACTGAAGCTTGTTCTAGCATGCATGTACCGTGTGGCGGCGAAGCTAAATTATACATGGCTTGTACAAAAAGATTGCATGCTTATGCTTATCAAGCTTGCAGTAGTGTGTGTAGCCACCTTAAGTCGACAGGCTGAGTATCAATAGGCTGTGATAGAGATTTGATCAATCATCTGATCACATTAGTATCTGATGGGTTTATATTCTTATTTAATTATTCTTGATGGTGTAACATAATCTACTGCTTTTATTTTTAGAACTCTGTATGGTTTGAACGGACTCACTCAAAAGATCTACCATGACTTGTTTATTTCGACATACAGCAATTTGTTTGGATTTTTCATTGGAATGGTTTTTGGTCACATTTTTGTTCAGCACAAGGAAAAAGATCTTCGAAACAATAAAGTAAGTGTAAAATAGAAAGTGTATACAGGGTGTCCCAGGCTGAGCGTGCATTAGAAGTTTTTAGAGAACTGCAATATCTATATCGGAGATTTTTTGCACATCATTGCTTCACGACGAGATCTATCGATTAAAAATATTTTCAATATGGCAGCACTTCGGGAAACACAGGAAGTTGACAGCAACTTTCTTATTTTAAATGGGTAGCCCTATTTTTTATTAAATTAAATGAATTTTGATATTAAGCACTCTACATCTAAAATTAACTGTTTCTGAGAAAAAAACTAATTAAAATTTTTGGAGGAAAAAAACTGTTTAAGGAATTGTTGAATTCATGTAATTGAGACATGTTTTTTAGGTTTTGTCATTTTTATGGTGGATATTCTCGTTTGGTCTATGTCTCTCAGTTATTATGATAGCTGCAGTATTCTACGACATGAATTATAAGTATACAGCTCTTGAAAGTGCTTTGTATTGGGCACTTGGTAAAAACATTTTTGCACTTGGCATGAGCGTCATGCTTCTAGGATTTATATACAGAATAGGTGGTAAGTTGTTGTATATTTTTTTCGATAGATTTAAAGAATATTATTTTGCTTCATTTGTCCGTTAGGTTGTTCCTCATGCTTTAAAAAAATAAACACATTCTTTCAGATATTTTAAGAACCGTTATTTCGATTTGAATGAGATTTTGAGTGTTTATTTTATATACAGTGTGACCTACTCAAGACCGGGCACCCTCCATAAAATCTGTGTTTATAGTCCGATTTTGATGATTTTTTTTTCAAATATAAAGTTTCAAAAAATGTACTTTAGGGCTCAATGTCATGTTATTTCACAAAAAACAAGGCCTACTTAATAAAGTTTTTGTGGTGAAAAATTTGCAAAATCGTATTAGCGATTTTTTTTCAAAAAATTTGAGTACACCCCTACATTCGGCATCCCCCAAAACAGTTCTGTACCAAATTTCGTTTAAAAATATTAATTATTAATAATTCTGCAGTTAAATTAAATAATTCCCTATTTTGCCAATTTAACGATGAGTTATCACGTAACCCTTGAAAAAAACAATCCACAACAATGGGTTTTATTAGCTGTCAATTCTTGCAGCGTAGAATTGAATATTAATTTAATAGCACGCAGAAAAGTGTTGTATCAAGAAATATTATTTGCATTATGGAACAATTAAATATTAGGGATAAAATTGAAATTATTCGTTTAGTGGGTGATAACTATCTTCAAGCAGGAGAAGCTGCCAGAGAATTTAACAACAGACATCCCGACAGACCTGCAGTAAGTAGAAGCACGGTTCAACGAATAAATAGAGTTTTTAATGAAACTGGTTGTGTGTCAAAATACTTACTAAAAAACAGAAGGCCGGAACATCGAATAAATAGGCGGAATGAGGAAATATTAGAATATTTTCGTAACAATCCTCGTGCAAGCATTAGAGGCGCCAGTGTTGATTTGGATATACCAAGGGAAAATATTAGGAGATGTTTGCGAACTAATAAAGTTAAACCCTTTAAACCAAAGATTTTACACACTTTGGAAAACGGAGATGATGTTAGACGATTAGAATTCTGCTTATGGGCTCAAGCAGAGTATTTAAATAATAGAAATTTCTTAAAAGAAATTTTATTTAGTGATGAGGCAACATTTAGTACAAACGGAGTAGTATCCTCTCAAAATTCGCGATTCTGGGCAGTCGAAAACCCTGAATGGGTGATCAATACAAGAAGACAGTATTCTCAGAAATTAAATGTGTGGTGTGGCATACTTGATGATAGAATCATTGGTCCATATTTTTTTGAGAGAAATTTGAATAGTCCAACGTTTTTGAATTTTCTGATTAATGACTTTTGGGATGCAATACATAATTTACCATGCCAAACCCGTTTGAATTTAAAATTTCAATTGGACGGATCACCTGTGCATAACGCGGCAGTTGTCAGGGAATGGTTAAATGAAAATTTTGAAAATAAGTGGATAGGTCGAAATAGCCCGCTAATTGACTGGCCACCGAGATCCCCGGACCTAACACCCCTTGATTTCTTTCTTTGGGGTTTCTTAAAGCAACAAGTTTACAAGTCTAGACCTCAATCTGTAGATGAATTACGTATTAGAATTACAGAGGCATCTGCAAATATTACACCACAGCAGCTTAGGAATGTAACTGTTAATCTAAGAAAAAGATACGACAAATGTATTGAACTGAATGGAGGGCTGGTAGAAGCAACTAGAATTATTTGAATATGTTTAACTTATTATTCGGTTATTGTGTTGCTTGTAGTATTTTTATAATCGTTTGTAATAAAACTCGTTGTCGTGGATTGTTTTTTTCAAGGGTTACTTGATAACTCATCGTTAAATTGGCCAAAATAGGGAATTATTTAATTTAAGTGCAGAATTATTAATAATTAATATTTTTAAACGAAATTTGGTACAGAACTGTTTTGGGGGATGCCGAATGTAGGGGTGTACTCAAATTTTTTGAAAAAAATCGCTAATATGATTTTGAAATTTTTCACCACAAAAACTTTATTAAGTAGGCCTTGTTTTTTGTGAAATAACATGACATTGAGCCCTAAAGTACATTTTTTGAAACTTTATATTTGAAAAAAAAATCATCAAAATCGGACTATAAACACAGATTTTATGGAGGGTGCCCGGTCTTGAGTGGGTCACACTGTATATGCGACTTCGTTCGCGTCAAATTAATTATTTGTAATTGTGATGATAAAGCAAAGAAAGAATTTCCATTAACATACAACCTGGATAAAATTTTCTCACATTTATGTCAGCATGAGAAAAAAAATAACTTGGTAATATTTGAGGGGTAGTTTAATCTTGTTGGAATTTGACTTTCGAAAAATCCGTTTGCCAAAAATAAGCTTTTTACGTCAAGCAGTTTAAGCAGAATCATGGTTAATATATTACCCAACCCTGTATGATTTTTTAAAAAATTTCAATAAGGTACCTGAACCAATTAAGGCCACGTTAAGGTTTAAAGGGGCATTGCAAGAAAAATATTAATCCAACCCTTGTAGAAAATATTGGGGAACAATTAGTGCTTCATATATGTTGATCCTACATCAAAAAAAGTATAATTTTTTGTTTGTTTTGTGGATTTTTTTTGTTTTTTTAAAAACACTGCAATTGGCCTTATTGGGTAACCCAGGCACTTTTAAAGGCCACGTGCAGAAATTGATAAATAGGAGCTATTACAATAAAAAAAACAATTTTTTGTTGATAACATTTTTATTTAACCAAGAAACTTACTAAATTTCGCAATCGTAACAAACAAACTTGGTTTTATTATCCCTGCATAACCCGACACATTCCTCATGGACGTATCGGCAACACAACACACAAAGTCGCATGTCTAACACCCTATCTTCCTTACAAATAAAGCAGTACCAACTCTCCGTTGATGGCTTTTTACTTTTTAAAGCTTTATTTTTATTCTTAACTTTGGAAGTTGAAGGAGTTAAATTTTCTCTGTTACTCGTCGAAGGTACCGCAAAACTAGTGGAAGGTTCGGCAAAACTAGAGGAAGGTTTGTTAAATAAATCTCTGACAACAACTTGAGCAGCTGAATTAATTGCTTTGCGTCGTTTAGTGACTGGAATTTTTAATTCAGGTGTTGGAAACAATTCCTTCATACTCTCCCTCGATTCATTCAAAATTGAGTCTTGATTTTCATTCCTAGTTTCAGGTTCAATTGCATCAGTAGTTTTATTACCGTTACAATCCAAAGATATTTTCTTCTTCAGAACCAAATTAATGAGTGGTTCATTATCAGAATCACTATCGGATCCTTCTTCTGATTCTGAAGAGCTTAACGTTACTTCGTTACGAGGATTTATTTGTGGATCTTCCATTCCATCTTCATTATTAGCTGCAGGAGATGCACGATAGGACAATCTACTAGGAGCAAATGCAATTTCTGGTATGGAATTAGGGTTGTATGGAAATATTCCAGTGGCTTCAAAAGCCGACTGTAAATTTTTCACAGACATAGCTTTTGGGTAAATTTCGCTGAGTATCTTACCAAACCGAGTTCTTGTTATTTTTCTATCAGGAAAAGTTGTCCAATACAGTAATACTTCTTCGTCCCAATAATGTTCAAAGCTGCGAAAAACGCATTTATCAAGTGGTTGTAACTCGTGTGTGGTGTTGCTAGGCAGACACAAAAGAGTTATTCCCAATGCATCTGCGGTTTCAAAAACAGAAATATCCAGGTGAGAGGCTGCTCCATCCATTATCAGCAAAACGTCTCCTTCGGGCTTAAATTTAGCGAAGTGCTGTAGCCACTTACAAAAAACACTTGTGGTCATGCTCCCCTTAGGTGTCATTTCAATAACAGTCCCAGGAGCCATATTTTCTTTCCATTCGTCCTTGCACCTTTTTCCTTTAAATAAGACCATTGGGGGTATGGCTTGACCAACTGCGCTGCCACAAGCGACCACAGTCACGTTTTCGGCATGCTCCGTTGCAATTATGTGAACCCTCCTTTCACCTTTTCTGGCAAGGACCTTTTGCTGATGGTGTAGGGTCAATCTGCAACCCTTTTCATCCATGTTAAATATCAAGTGCGGCTTGTCAATAAAGTTTTTTTCAGTCATTATCTGTTTTAGTTTAGTAAAATAGTCATTTACAATGGTTTTGTTCATTTTTTGGGCCCTAGCGGGATTAAGAAGCTGAGCTTTACGCTCGGTGATTTCTGGGTGCCTGGCAAAAAATAATTTTATCCATCTTCTGCCAGCCATTTCCTTTTCTCGATTAAAACAGTGTCTAATATTTCTAGTGTTTGCAAATGTATACACCGACTTTCGAATGATTTTGTTTGTCAAAGGTACTCCGATATTGCCTAACCTTATAATACGTTGACACAACTCATTTTCTTGTTCTACGGTTAGTATTGAGGATCTCCCCAATTTCTTAACGAAACTTCCAGTTGTGACATGGTTTCGAAGGGTTCGTCTCGGAATATCATAGCGCTTAGCCGCTGTCAGGACAGGCATTCCCTGATTTATACTCGCAAGAGCTCTCCTCAACTGCTGCTCGGACCATTTTGCTCTTTGTGTGGGTGGCATGTTCTGAGAATAGAGAAGAAAATAGGTAAGAACCTAATAAGGCCACATAGTTCCTAACAAGGCCACTCAGGTGGCTTTATTAGGAACGCATAACCTTAAAACAACAAACCCTCGTAACTCCTTTAAAGTTGAAAATAACAAAAAACCCAAATTACTACCATTAAGCTAACTTACCTTGGTAACTCCTTATGTAAAAAGAAAAGTTATAAAAAACAATTTCAATAAAAAATCACAAACAACATATACAAGAATCCCGTTAACGAAAACGGCTACAAACCACGATGTGCTGTAACTCCATCTGTTGGCGATTTTTTGAAATCACCCATAGACTAAAGTTATAGAGCGCATGGGTATATATTATTGTTAGTTACAATTTTTACGTTAGGTTTGTTTTCTGTCGCTAGGGGGCGTATGGCCTTATAGTAGCACTGGCCTTAATTGGGTAAAGTACCTTATATGTAAAAAAAATAAAATAAATTATGCGTGTCCAAGCGTTTTGCCGAAAGACTAACCGTTCTTAAATAACAAATATTGTAATATTTGAGGAGCGTTTTCATCCTTTTGGAATTTGAGATTCGAGAAACCGCTCCTTATCGAACCTCTACACCACACAGTCAATCCGTTTGCCGAAAATCAGCTTTAAACGTCAAGCATTTTAAGCAGAATCGTGATTATTCAATGGTCATATTTTATGAAACACCCTGCATAATTTTTTAAGAAATCTTAAAATATGTAAAACAACAAAATAAAATATACGTGTTTAAGAGTTTTTCCGAAAAACTCACCGGTTTTTAAATAAAAAATATTTTAATATTTGAGGGGTGGTTTCACCCCCATAGAATTCGAATTTCGAGAAATCTTTTCTTATCGAACCTCTACACCCTAAAGTCAATCCGTTTTCCAAAAATCAGCGTTTTACGTCAAGCGCTTTAAGCAAGATCGTGATTAATCAATGATCAGATTTTTCGAAACACCCTGTATACATTTTTAAAAACTCTTAAAATATGTAAAAAACAAAATAAAATATACGTGTTAAGCGTTTTTTCGGAAACTTGACCGTTTTTTAAATAAAAAATATTGTAATATTCGAGGGGTGGTTTCACCCTCTTGAAACTGGAATTTCGAAAAATCCCTCCTTATCGAACCTCTACACCCCACAGTCAATCCGTTTGCCGAAAATCAGCTTTAAACGTCAAGCAGTTTAAGCAGAATCGTGATTACTCAATGGTCATATTTTATGAAACACCCTGTTTAAATTTATAAAAAAATCTTAAAATATGTAAAACAACAAAATAAAATATACGTGTTTAAGAGTTTTTTCGAAAAACTCACCGGTTTTTAAATAAAAAATATTTTAATATTTGAGGGATAGTTTCACCCCAGAATTCGAGTTTCGAAAAATCCCTTCTTATCGAACCTCTACACCCTAAAGTTTTTTCGGAAAGTTGACCGTTTTTTAAATAAAAAATATTGTAATATTTGAGGGGTGGTTTCACCCCCTTGGAACTGGAATTTCAAAAAATCCGTTCTTATCGAACTTCTCTACCCTAGAATCAACCTGTATGCCAAAACTGAGCTTCATACGTTGAGTGGTTTGAGCAGGATCGTGATTAATCAGTGAGTCAGTCACTTAAGGATTTTATATATTAGTATAGATTTACAAATTAATCATTGCCTATCACTTTCAATCAAATATTCTAATATCCTAATACTAAAACAAAGGCAAGGAAACTCCTGAACCAATCTTTTGGATTAAGATTTTTTAAATTATAGGCATTTCTTAACTATTTTAGGTATCACAGTGTGGTTAATGGATAGAGAAATCGTTCAAGTCTTAGGAAAACTCACGTTCAGCTGTTATATGATACATGTGGTATTCATTAAAATGGAGATTGGCTACAAGAGGTATCCTGTATCTATCAATGACACTAAAATTGTAAGTAGTTTCTTTATATTATAAGATGCCTAAAAATATTTAACTGAGAATGAATTGAAAGTATCACATTATCTACTCCTCTTCCATTTCCTTCAGTCATTTTCTTCCAAATATTTTACCTTTCTTTTTGTGATTATAGTTTAGTTTTCATTACTGTCTTGATATATAGAGTTAATTTCTTGAAAGTAAAAACATGGCCAAAATTATTGCATATATCGTTTAAAAATATACGGAAAGGACTTTAAAGAATCTTTTCTTTATACATAGCTATGATAATCTGTAATAAACAATTTTTTGTTAAAATGGATAGGGTAAACAATGTTTATCGTTCAGACCCAATATTATAACAAATTCTTGCACATTTCGATTTGTGGTCTCTTGGGTTTCAGAAGAAATTTGACAATCGTTTTGGACTGAAAATGCCTAGAAACATTATTTCACAGTTTAATAGGGTCAGAATAGTAATACTGTCTCAACAGGGCTACCGGCAAGTTGCAAAGCGATGTTTCGCGAATATTAAAAAAAGTCAGGAAGACAATCGAGGTTACGGACCGGCCTGAAAGAGGTAGAAAGAGAGTTACTACTGCTGTGCAAGACCGTCAAATATCCATAATTGCATGACGCAATCCCCTGCTTTCTAGTACTGCTATTAAAAATGAGTTAGCTCGCCTTGAAGGAATAAATGTTTCAAGAAAGACCATAGTAAGAAGACTCTATGACAGAGGATTACATTTAAGGAGGCCTCTACGTGTTCCGAAGCTTAATTTACAGTACAAAATTACGCGACTACAATGGGCTGAGGAGATGAGAGGCTAATTGGAATTTAGTCATGTCTAGTGATGAAACAAGAATAGGCCTAGTGTCATGTCAGCATCTGGAAGACGAGCACGCTTGAATGCAGGTCAGCCCCGTGTCCCGTTTCAAGGGGGAAGCATTATGGTATGGGCAGGTATAATGCACGGAGCTCGAACTCCTCTTGTTTTTATTGATGGCACAATGACAGGTGCCTCATATCTTAGAGACGTTTTAAAACCTATTGTGCGTCCATTTCGAGGGGCAGTGGGGGATGAATTTGTTTACATGGACGATAATGGTCCTCCCCATTTCACTTTAGCGGTTCGCGAATTTTGTGAGAAAGAGGGTATAAGAAAACTATGGTGGCCACCGATGTCTCCAGATATGAATGTGATCGAGCATGCTTGGGACATGCTAAAACGCCATGTTGCCAAAAGGAATGATCCCCCTCGTACCTTAAATGAATTGAATTGAAAATTGCTGCGCAAACATGGGAAGCCATCCTCGACATCTTCTGGACAACTTAATTGAGAGCCCACGTTGTCTCACAGCTTGCGTTGAGGCTCGAGGAGGCAATACAGAGTATTAGTTGTGAGAATTATTTCTTCTTAAAATTATTTTCAATATTTTCTGTTTAAAATGAAATTTGTTTTTGTTGATTTTCACTCATTATGAAATAAAATTATAATGACAGCTGTAACAGGGGGAAATTTTGAGGGTCGGTTTGATGAAGTAAAAAGCGATAGTTTAAGTTCCTCGTGTATTTCTCTCTCTCTTTTGTAACTCTTTGCTATAATGGCTAGAAAATTATATAAATGATTTGCTGATCTTAAATATTATGGATAAATCTTACCTAGCACCAAGTTAATTCATACAAAATATAATAACTAATAAGATGTATGGTGAAATTTTAAACCACCAGGCTGCCGCCGTTATTTGCAAAAGTTAAGAATAAATGTAGAAATAAATTTACTTAAATCGAAGATATTTTTTATCCGCATACCAGATTTATTTAATAAAATGAGTATAAGCGGCGACATCTACAAGACGGATGTTTGAACGCATTGAATGTTAATAAGGTTTACTACATTTACACTAAAATATTCCCATGTAGTTCCGCAATTTAACAACAAATAATCAGTAACCTAATATATTCTGTTTCACAGCCTAGTTGCACTTAGATTTTTAATTTTATATTAGTTAGTCGTGCTGTAAGCCAATATGTCCAAAAATATAAAAAGAATCATATTAGGTCCAAAATAAAATAAAAATATCGTCATATTATGCAATAATTTTGGCCATGTGTGTAATTTTACAACTTCTCCACTCGTTTATAATATACAAATGTCATTTTTAGTTTATAGCTGTCATTGGAGATGTCGGAATTTCCTACTTAGCTGGACTTCTGCTGTGTCTACTGGTGGAAATGCCCATGTCAGCTATACAGAAAATACTGATGTCAAAACCTCCAAAAATGCCACCTAGAAAGCCTATAAATACTATTGCAGGAAGTAATATAGTAAGACATTATATGGAACAAGATACAACATTTACAAAAGTATAAGTTAAATAGAGAACAGACATATTTTAGGTAAAATTAAGTTTTTATTTTGTGTAAGGTATATCTAAGAAAATATTTGTATTTTTATAATAAATGTTATGTTTTATAAAATTGAGATTTTTTTTATTGGCATACTTTGCAGATGAGCTTACCTTTGTGTCACGTTTTTTTAGTTGCAAATATTTATTAGCAAAATTATATTGATAAAACCTTTAAAGTTGATTTTTTAAAAGGTGTCTAAATTTTATTCGAAGTAAAACAAGTATGTTAAATAACAAAGATCAAGCTACTGTAGCCGATGCTCCCAAATCCGTCCATAATAATATAATAATAATAAAACACATAAATAAACAAACTACCAAATATATATTTTAATAATACGTCAGTATAACAGATATTTGACTTATAATCTATCAAAAACAAATGGATATGTTTCCATTGGCCTCAATGGTATCAGCTTAGGATCAAACTTGAAAATTTGCTCACTATCTTTCTTCTTCCTTACAGTTAGATTGGAAAAAATGTCAACCAGGGTTAATTTAGTGTATAAAATGACCAATTTTGTAACTAGAAGTAAAAAAATGCGTTATACAGGGTGTCAAAAAATAATGTATCTAATTTTCATCCAAATATTGACGTTACTTCAAAAATTATTTGGAAAAAATTGAATTAAAAATGAAACTTCTATCTCCAAAACTAAGCATTTTAGGGCACACATTTATACAAATTTTTTTATTTATTTTTATCTGCAGAATATGTCGAAGTTTCCGGAATACAGTTTGGACCCCCCTGTATACTGTATAACCATAGTTAAAACTTGATTATCAAAAGCATTTCGCATATTATGGTTTGTCATATCACAACGTGCTTTCAATATAATTATAATTTCTTATTAAGTTATAAACAAACTCTATAGTTTAATAAATTTATCATAAACTTTACAGTAAAATGAAATGAGAAATACATATAATAAATAAATAAATAAATAAATCCCTTTATTGTCAAAAATTTTTTCAATTTGTAGACAAAGGTAAACTAACAAACAAAGTAAAAAAACAAGGTACACAAACAAACAAACAAAAGATAATACAAAACATTATAAAAATAATATTGTCAGTCTTATTGTTAAAATAAACATTTATAAATGTTTATAATGTCAAAGAACAAAAAATAATAAAATAATCTTCAAAAATATTTAGCTAGTTTATAGTAAAATATCAATGACCTCCAAATAAATTCATTTCGATGTCATTAGTAAATATAGCAATAGCAAACATTAGACCAGTGTTTACAAGATCAAACTTGATTTTCAAAATATAATTCATTTACGGCGTAGAAAGCCTTGTCTAGTAAATAAGAGTTCAATGCTTTGCGAAATGAAAAAAATGATGTTATGGATTTGATTTCAAATGGCAGGTGATTTTTTTTCGAGTTATTATAATATTGAACTTTTAACTAACTCTGAGCGTGGGGTAGGTAGATAAAGATCTTGTTCCGCGTTCCTGAGTGGATAAGTGTGAGATGGCCTTTCTTGAGAAGCTGATACATGTTTACGTATTAGGCAAACGGATTCAAATATAAATAAGGAAGGAAGAGTCAATATTTTTAATTTTTTAAAAAAGTCCCGGCAATGAGTTCTGCTGTTTAGTCCCAGTGAATATCGAACAGCTCTCTTCTGGAGCCTGAAAATGCAGTCAAATTGAGTTGCACAACACGTACCCCAGAATGGAAGGGCATACCTGAGGTGCGACTCAAAAAGTGCATAATAAACAGTTCTAGCCACTGACAAGTTAAGCTCCTTAGAAACAGTACCTTAATGCAAAACAGGCAGAGCTCAATTTTTTGACAAAGCTTCGATATGTATGTCCCATTTCAGAGAATTGTCCACAACAAGCCCCAAGAACTTTACAGATTTGACGACGTCAATGGTGGTGTTGTTAAGTACAAAAGGCTGCAACGAGTTTTTATACGACAAAGCTTTAGTTTTAGAAATGTTGAGAGTCAGGAGGTTCGAATCGCACCAAGATTTAATGGTGATTAAGTCATTTGATATAATCCTATGAAGTGCCGTGATGTCCTTGTTGCTCCAAGTGAAGCTAGTGTCGTCCGCAAAAAGACATATTTTGCCACTGATGTTTATGTTAGCAATGTCGTTAATAAAAAGAAGAAACAAAACAGGGCCTAGTACTGAGCCTTGTGGTACTCCACATTCTATTGGCTTTCTAGAAGACAACGTGGTATCCACCCTCACAAGTTGACTTCTGTTGCTCAGATACGACTTAAACTATCCGAGAGATGATCCCCTGAACCCATAGTGCTGCAGTTTATTAATTAAGATCTTATGATTAACAATCGAACGCCTTAGAAAAATCACAGAAAATTGTTGCTGTAGAATGATGGTTGTTTAGGCTGGAGTAAACTTTATTAAGGAGGGAAAACATAGCGTCATTTGTGGACTTGTTGCTTAGAAATCCAAATTGATATTCAGTAAGTATTTCGTACTTAAACAGAAAAGATACCAGCCTTCTTTTAACCAACCTTTCTATGATCTTAGATAGCGTTGGAAGGAGTGCAATTGGGCGATAGTTAGAAGCTTCATCTTTGTCTCCTCCTTTGTGCAGAGGAATGATTATTGCCGTCTTAAGACATTTTGGAAAAACACCATTTTGGAACGACATGTTTATTAAAGTTGTTAGGTGATTCAGAGTGCTTTCTGGCAGATTCGAAAACATTTTTAAAGTTAGCCCGTCGGTCCCAGAAGAGGATTTATTTTTGATGGTATTAATTGTACTCCGAAGCTCTTCAAGAACTACGGGCGAAAAAAAGAAACTGTGTAAGTTTACATTATCATTAGAGAGATAAGAAAGTGGATCATGAGGAGGACATATGGTATTAGTTAAGTTTTTCGCTACATTTACAAAGTAATCGTTAAGGTTCTCAGGCGAGGTAGAGATATTGCTAGACGAAGAAAAGCTTTGTTTCTCAACTCATTCACAATAGACCATGTTTCCTTAGCAACATTACCAGAATTGACTATTTCCTGTTATAATAAAGGTCCTTAGCGGCTCTTATAGTCTTATGATAAATTTTTCTGTATAGTTTTACGTAATTGTGGAAGAAGAGACTGTCTGAGAATTTTTTTAAGTGAGATAATGAACGCATGTTTTTAGAAGATATGCGTAGACCTTTAGTGGTCCAAGGTTTATTATGCTTATTTTTTATAGGCCTAAGAGGAAAGGGTTTGAACGCTAGACTGGTTAATGTTTTTACGAAAATAGAAAATTCGGTGTCGACATCATAAGAGCTAGTATCCCAGTTGGTTGTTTTACATAAGTGGCTGAACTTTTGAGCATTCTTTTCTGAAAAAATACGGCATAATTTACGAGGGGCATTTTGGACTTCATCGAAAATTCAGTTAAAACTGCTTCATGATCAGAGAGACCCGAGCTAAAGACGTTGCAGGCGATGGAGTTAGGATCAAAAGATGACACAACAATAAAAAAATAAATAAAAATAAAACTGAAATCCAACAATTTAGTTTAAAGAACATAAAAAGAATTAAAATAAAATTGAAAAAGGTTCGCTTTAAAAATATCAAACCTAGGTTTGAAAATATAATGTGTCTATCTAGTTTTAATTTGGTTACAGTATGTACTCATAATTATTTAAACAAACAAAATGCATCTAATTCATACTATTTTTAGTGAGACCAAAATGAGTCACTTGACAAAAAGCCATTCAGACAAAATATTTGTTAATAAAATACAGACAAAAAAAAATATTTAAAGTTTAGCACATTCGAGCACCAAAACGATAATTAACAAAAACAATATTTTTCCACTTTTAACACTAATCGACTATTTCATTTTTTAACTTTGCTTAAATACATCAACGTTTATGTTATGTCCAAGTGTTAATTAACTTATCTAAAACAGATACATATAAAGAAGAACACATTCAAAACTGCCTGCTTTTACTTAATCGTTGTTTGTCTATATTAATTAAAAGATAATTATTGGAAAAACTTCACTTAAATGGTGAAAAACGGTTTTCAGCAAAACGGAAAATAATTTCAACATTGAATTTTTCTTAATTTCTCATATTTTTACGGTTTTCTAGCACATATTTTGTTAGGTATTCAATAAACGATCAGGTTTTTGCTATTTTCTGTTACTTTTTTAAACAATTCTATGCATAATAGAAGAAAATTTGCTAAAATAAATTTGCAAACAATCTGAAAATGTTCTGCGAAATGAAATCTGCTGGGTTATGTATTTCTCACATTTAAAGCAACGTTGTCAATGTTAAAACTAAAAACTAAATTTAGCGCGTTTTTCGCTCCTACCCATAACTGCTATTATGAGTTTACCAACGAGATCTGACTATTTATAACCATAAAGTTGCAGGAAAGAGTTCTGATTGCATTGGTTTCAACTTCTTTGAGGAGGGGGTTAATCGAGGGGCAAACCTCTGGTGGTATTTATTGTACAAGCACTTAGTAATACTGGTATTTTTTCGGTACTAATTTGGTATTTTTGGTACTAATTTGGTATTATTTGGTAATAAACTGGTATTATTTTGGCAACAAAATGGTTTTATTTAATATTAAACTGGTATTAAACAGGTATTTTGTAGGACATCTGGCAACGCTGGATTAGACGCACGCACAGTGCTTCGAACATATGGCTCTAGAGGACAAAAATCCAAAACTTCTTTTTTATTGTAAGCAATTTATTCAAACAAGGTTTATTTGACACAAATGATGAGTACTCTCATTGTACTAAATGATGATGTTCTTAGTCCCACGTTTATGAAAAAAAAATCTTATAAATAATAATAATGTTGGAGCTGTGTTCCATCTAAGCAAATAATAAGTTATAGTATGAAAACGGTGTAAGTATTAAATAAATTCCTGTGATAAAAAAAATTGAAATAACATTAGAACATGATTCCTACAATATAAGCCTGATATAAGATAAAAATGTTTTTCTTTAATGAAAAAGAAACATTAATGTTATATTTAATTAAAAAAAAACTTAAGATACTATAAATTTACTTTAGGACAACAAAATGCATAGATCGTAACTACTCTGATTCAGGAGAATCACTGCTGACAGAATCTTCCAAATTTATAGTATCCAAATCACAGGTAGATGAACTATCCTCACATATAAGATATTTCTGTACATCATTTTCTAATATGTTACTTTTTCGCGTTGTTACTGTTCATTTTGTCGGTATGAGGGGTTCGGATGTTAATAGTTACCTCTTTAATAGACCATATTCATATATTATTTTTTCCTTTTCTTGGGCATGCGATTTTATAATAAATTGAAAGATGGATACTTTTTTTATGCGACGTTTCGCTCCAACATAGTGGACTTTTTCAGGCACAAGTGGTGTCTCATTTGACTGGAAGGTTTATCAATATCTAATAAGAACATATTTTTTGAAATACAAATAATTTTGAGTTCTTGTCCTTATGATCAAGCCAAGTATTAGCCAGATCGGCATTGCTTATCAATTTTACTCCATCTGAAAAGTATTATAAAATAAAGTTCGTCGCAAGCAGACGCAGGTGAACTATACAAAAATTAAAAGTGTATGAATATGGCAACAAAAATATTCAATAAATACGATATGTTTGGATATGTTTTTTTTTAAATGCCTTTTTGAAGTTTGAAAACGTAAAATTTTTATACCCATTTAAGAATCATTTTAAAAAATAAATAAAAACTAAACAATCACGAACTTGTTTAGAAATAAATTTAAAGTACATACCTTGTTTAACAATATCCATAGTGGCTTTCAATTAAGTACGTACCCGTTTAACTCCATAATATACAGAACTACTATGAATGTTATTCTTTTCATTGATGAGATAATGATAGCAAAATTTATTTTTAGTGAAAATATTTGCTAACAAAAACGCTGTTTATGAAAAATAATATACAGGATGGTTGAACATTGCTATAAGTATAAAATTATATATTCAGATATTAGTAAATTTTAACTTATTTTTTGATTTTTGTCCATGGGACGAAGCACTGTGGCACGTGGCGACGACGGCAGGGAAGCTGATTGCATCATTTCTAGCTCATTTGCATCTAAAGCTAATACTGAAAAATATCTATATTTCTAGTCCTAAGTACATCTAAAGCTAATACTGAAAAATATCTGGAATCTAAAGGTGCTTTGATAAAATCGTTTAGTTCTGGAAGTCTTTCAGATACCACTCTACATGTTTTGGAAATTGATTATACCCAAGAAAATAATATAGTTTATAAAATACTAAAGCAATGGTTAAAGTCAAAAATTGGTGATGAACTCTGGAGCACTCTAAAACTGCAATAGTCTGTTTAATAACATTATTTTTAGCACATTAATTTTACTTCCAAATTCTACTGCAAACTTCGAGGCAAACTCGATTTCGGGATCGACTTTAATATGCAAAATAACCTGCTTTTGTAAAAAGCAAGTAACTTTACAAATAAAATATCATCCCTCTATAAAAACCACAAAAACAAGAGTTACAGAGGCACGTTGGGTAAGCTCAAATTTTCAAACACACTTAATAAAGCATTTTGATATAACAAATAAATTATTTATACCAAAAATTAGTAATAATCGCAGTATTAAATCCGAGGTTAAATCAGAGGTAAGCAATAATTCCTCAAATACCTCTGAGGAGCACAACCAAAAATAAACTTCATTTCTAAAAAAGCCTTCTACCGAGCCTTCTACGGAAAATACCGAGGAAATTACAGAGGCATGCAAACCCTCATGTAGCAAAATTGTACCCCCTAATCTAATATGTATAGCTCCCTATAATTAAAGAAATCCTAATGTAAAAATACTAGACTGCGTAATTATCCCCCCAAATTAACGAGCCTCGGAACTACCCTTATCAGCCGCCACTTTAGCCATACCATCCACAAGCAATAATAATGATCTCCCTGATGTTACCCCTTTACTACCATTATCAGCTGCCGCTTCAACCTTACCGTCAACAAGCAATAATTCAATTTGGAAGTCTACAAAATACAGCCGCTCGCAAAGGAATAAAAAAAAATTGAAAAATTTCAGTATAATCAACCTCTTATAACCAGATTTATTTCGATATTAGAGAAAATAAATTCTACTCTTAAGGAAAATGGAGAAATATCGAAAGCTCTAAAGGAAACGATGATGATTTGTCTAAATGAACCTGAGAATAAACCTGATGAGAATAAGCCAGAATCAATGCCAGCCAACAAAATTTTAAACATGTTGCTTAAGAAAGACTTTGGTACTAATTTGACATTTTTTTGGAAATAATTTGGTATTTTTGGTACTTTTTTTCCCAAAATTGGTATTTATTGTACACCATTTTAAGGCAGCGGTTTGCCCCTCGGGGTTAATCTTTTTTTGATATAATATAACAAATAAAAAAAACCCCTCCGCAAAGAAGTTGGAACCAACGCAATCAAAACTCTTTCATGCAACTTTGCCAGTGGTTACATGTTTAACTATTGCCAGATCTCATAATAGGTAATTTATTTAAAATGCCTAATCGCCCGAAAAAATACAAGATATGGCAACGTTGCAAATTTTCAAATTTATATATTAGATCTAGAATATATTTGTCTCTCTCATTGCATAGGACAGAGAAAGAAGAATATATAAAATGTCAAACTTCCACCAGGTCTCAATTTTCTTGGTTATTTTGTCAAGAAAAGTGTTTTTCAGTAAAATTTTGGACATTTTTCTATCCTCAATCAAGTGTGGCTTTTAGATAAACTATAATATAATGAAAATATAGTGGAATTATTACTTTTTAAGGGCTGAAATAAAGAAAAATTCAATGTTGAAATTATTTTCCGTTTTTCTGAAAAACGGTAAGAGACCGCCAGGAAAAAAGTTCAGATTCGTAATCTACGACTTCAAAATAGGGTGTAGACCAATTTTGGTAAAAATCGGACGATATCAAATTTTTCCAATAATTACTAATTAGAAAAACTAGAATATAAAATATAATACTTACGATTATCTTGCCTCCTTGTGCCAAATGGAATGTACAAAACTTTATTCAAATCACTCTGGTCTGCAAATCTGTCTGGATCAAAATTTTCCGGATCCGTATAGTTTTCCGAGGATCTATGCAGTCCCAGAATAGACACAGCCACTAAAGTATCCTTAGGTACTACCAAATTGTTTTTCTTAAAGTCTTTTTGGCAGGCTTTCAGTATGTATGGCACTGGCGGGTACTTTCTCAACGTTTCTAAAAATATATTCATGAAATATTTCACTTCATTTAATTTAAATTTGGGTTTAAAGTGCTTGTTTGTATAAGAGAAGTATTGAAGAATTAATAATAATAATTCATAAAGTTTGAATTATTGTACAAAATCAGAAAATATCAAATGGATTAATTCAAGTTTTCTAACGACTTTTGTTTTCGACTTTCGTTATATTCCAAATTTCAACTTTAAAAATGTTGAATTCATGATTTTTCCAATGTTAGTCAAAGACACGTTTTTGTTAATTTTACACATATTTTATTTTTTATCTCGAAAAATATAAGAGATAGGTATAAGTTCGTATAACAGAAAAATTATGAGATATAAAAGTGGTTTTCAAAAATGTTATAATATACTGGGTGTTCCATTTAAAATAACAAAGATGCTACCACTTTTCAAATGACCCGGCAACACTGTAACGCTGATAATATTTCAGATAGACGAAGTAGCTACCTTTATGTAAAAATCCAAATTTTCAAAACAATCCTATCACCGGTTCCCCTATTACCATCGCCGGAAAGTTAGTTACCGGTAGCGGCTAGACAGCTAACTTGTAACCCATAAGGAGGAACATAATTTATATTAATTATTTACTTATTATAATTTTTCCTTCCATTATATCCTTAATTCTACATAAAATTCAAAATTTGAAGTTTGTGGCACTTCTAGAAGTACCTTAGACTTTTGAGGATCAGTGAGTGAGTCAGCGACATAATTAAAAAAAAATTGACAAGGGATAATTAATCTATGAGGTAAAATTATAGTTACTTTTTATACAAGACGATAATGCAATTTTATCGTCGTGTATAAACAATATTTTTTTCCATAGTTATGTTTAAAAGAATATTCAGAAATTATTATTTCAAGGAATTTATTACGAGTAGAAAAAATATTGTGCTGTGTTGGCGTTGGTTTCTATGTAATTTGACAAATAAATAAAGCTGTCTCTTTAGTTGTTAGTTTTGAGTCAATATTTTTTAATTCTCTTCCGTGTCGATTGCTGATTGAATTGGAGCCAGAAATGGCTCCTAACGAAATAAGTAAATTACCAATATACTCTGTTTTTTTTCTCAGGTAAGATTTCGACAGACGATGACAGAAGAAAAGCAGATGACGTCCCATACCAATCTATTTATTTTACTAAAAAAAGTTTCTAATAATTTTTAAGTTATCTATGGATGGGTTTAAATATAAATCCGTCATGCGTCGTGTCTTGTTGTTTGTAACCAGTTTTATTAGTTTATTTAAAAAATGACAGATCGTATTTCAATTTTATTGGTTTGACGGAACGATGAACGACAAACGGACGCCGATGCGTATGAACTCGCCTTTAGATTTTTGTCATTTTTGACGTTTGTCAAAGTCTTGCCAAATTATAGGTTATGATTTTGTGTCAACTTTTGTTAAATACCCTGCGTTTTGGAAGATGATGCATTTTGATTCGTATTATTACGCGTGTTTTGTGTCTTTTGAAGTCAAGTGGAGGAAAAATCGAGTGAAAATTAACTGTAGACCCAGAGCACAGTTTATGGTTAATACTCGCCAGGGCAGAAAGTCTTATACACCAATGAAGTTGCCATTGATAAAGTTTGTATACCATTTCGTCGTAGATAAGTGCATCTCGTATATGGTAGAAGGATCAAACTAAACACATACTAAAATCTGGAGTAGCTGTAAAATATCGACATCACACGATAGGTAAATAATGGATTTTAGTACTGCAGAAAAATAATATCAAAAGGTACTGGTTTAAAAAAATTAAAATTAAAGTTAGTTAATCAACCTTTAAGGTATAAAATTTGGTAGGTGTTATTAATAAAATAGTTTGTTTTATTTACCTATGTTGTTTTATTTATTCCTGTGGAATATTACAAATTGGTGTGTATTTGTACATAAGTTATATTGATAAATATAATCATAAATGCGGGTAGTTTCATAAAGCTTGAAAGTAAATAATAGTTCTTTTTTATATTTTTTTGGTATGTAGTGTCTTGTTCTTGTTTGGGTATACCCTTGTTTGTTTTGTATTAACACATACCGTTTTTATTAAATAAAATAACTCGATTACATTTTTTCAGTTTTATACAGTTTTTTTCACAATATTTTGAAGTAATCGCTTGTCATCTTGTCAATCAAATTTTAAATATTTCCTGCTATGCGTTCCAGTTGTACCAACTTATTTCTTTGTAAAATAAAATAAACTACTTTGAAATTAAAATGACAGACACATCTATCACTGTCAAGGATCTTCTTGTTGGACAGACTATACATATTCAGGCTGAGGCGACAAACGCCATATCCAAACTACTTCCATTTAAATCCCGAATAACTTATGAAAAGAAATACAAAAATTTTCAAAAACGGAAGCAATTAAAAAACGTGCGAGGAGAAATAAAGTTTTTAGCCTATCTTCGCTGACTTGAAAAGTCATCATTTAATTTACCCTGGCGGTTAAAGTACTATTTTATCAACTATTTAGATAGCTATGTATAAGGCAATTTAAACAGTTGCTATGGAAAAAATGAATATTTTGGCAATCTAGCCAGCTATAATAAAATTAATATTCTTGCTTTATCAACTTTAAATCCACACTTTTCCACCTCAAAGTTACAGGGTAGTCAAAAGAGGCGTTAATAGCTTCGAGAAAAGCATGTTACGGCTGTGCTCGACTTTGCGCAGATTTAGATAATATTACTAATATATTACAGTCGTTTCTTTTATCACTGAAACTTACCAAAAACCACCGAATTTAAATACTCAAGTTCCTTCAAGTTGTCTAAATTCAAGACAACGCCTTGCTTATTGTATCTCCTTATTTCACCAATCAATTCATCCTGGATATCCGTATTCCTACTCATCTCATATAAACTACATAATATTACTGAATAAGAGTAAATAACTGAGTCAGCAAACAAGTTAAATAATTCTCTGGAAACCTCTTTAGTATCACACTGAGATTCGTTGAACAAATTTATAAAAAACTGAAAAAAATCGTCTTTAACGATATCATTCTTTTTTCTATCATTCATAATATCCAGAAATACACCTTCAAAATCACTATACAGTGCGCTGTTTTTGTTCTTAAATATTGGATGACATAGAGAAAGGTTATATCGAAAATTCGCTTCAGTTTTTAGCTTTAACAGCAAGTTCAGTTCTTCGATTATCTCAAAGGAGTTCACTCCAAAACTCAGAGAAACCAATTCAAGTAAGTAGTTTCTTAAAACTGAATGTATATCGTCCTTTTTCAGGCTTTCTAGTATGGTACCTTTCAGCGAAACATGGTAGTTCTCCAAAAACACTTTTACACAAGAAGAATCAAACATATCACTCTTCAACTTGTATTGTTCTGGATAAACTTCGCTAAAATTCTCGGTGCTATCCAGGATGTGACGGACATACTCGTTTTTTACTATTATCACTACGGGTTTGATAAAAAAGAACATGCCACCCACGTCATAACCTTTCTTTTTAAACCTGCTATAATACTTTCCTAACACCTCGTACAAGGTTGTCTCTTTATTTATCACGTCTGAGATATTGCCATAGGGAAATCTAGGCGTTTTCACTCGAGCAAGTTTAGCCTTTTCAAAGAACGTATATTTTTTAACAATCCATATTAAACTAAACACTCCGGCAAAGGCTAAGCATGTTATACAATATAATAAAGTTTTTTCGTTGAGATATTTAAGAAACGGAAGCTTTTCTTCGTAACAAACACTCTCGAGATCCATTATTTTCGATTTTTTTTCACTCAAATCACATTTTTAACACAGAAATCCCACTTTTACTGATAGCAATCGTAAACAGCGTGCAAACATAACACCCATACAAACAATAAACAATCACGTGGGCTTATGTCAAAATCAGCCGCGCAATCCTTTGTTTCTTTTCCTTTCTAGGCGAATGAGTGTGATGAAGATAACGTTAACTCGACAACTCTGTAAAGCTGGCGCTGCTGAATCGATTGTTTGTTGGCCTTGTTTAATTTGTTGGCTAGAGTAAGATGGCGAATGTCACAGTGAGAGAGTTATTTAATGAAAGCGTGAAACAGTCAGTCTATTCATTATTCATGTCTCTTTTCGCTTTTCGATGTAACACAGGAGTGACGGAATATTTCTTTGGATTTTGGATCGATTTTATTAATCTCTGAGAGTCTAGGAATTCTTAAATCATCGAACAACTAGACACGGCATGGCATAGCAATTAATTTGACAAAGATTAATAAATAATGTTTATTCAATTACAATTTATACTATGTGTATTAGAAAGGGTATCATAATATTATCCTTTCAAAAAAATATATTTTTTTTAAATGGATTACCCTGTAGGTATATTATTCATTTTTAGTTTCAACGATTTAAATAAAGGTAAATTTGATTAATGTTTGCCGCATTTTAATCTTGCCGTTTTTGAAATATTTATAATTTTGTGAAAATGAAGTAGGTAACAATTTTAATGCCTCTATGGAAATTTTTCTATTACCAAATTTTGTGTTGCAATAGTAGAAATAATACTACCTTATACAGAGTGTCTAGAAAATTATTTTAAATAATTACTAGCTTTAAACGGAAATAACTTGTTTAATTTAAATAGAACAACCTGTATATTTTACGAGAATCAGATGGACAATTTAATTGTCCATCTGTAATTAAACGTCTATCAAATTGTAGGTATAACACCAATTTTTACCTATCTCTTCAAATAAATGAGGTCTAAATTATAAGAAAATACATTTTCTACGAAAACTTGAAGAGGTAGGTAAAAATAGTATAATACAATTTGACACACAATTAAATTGTGCATCTGATTTTCGTAAAATATACAGGGTGTTCTATTTAAATTAAACAAGTTATTGCCGTTTAAAGCTAGTAATTATTTAAAATAATTATTTAGATACTCTGTATAAGGTAGTATTATTTTTACTATTGCAATACAAAATCTAGTAAATAGAAAAACTTCAGTACAAAATTTGCTTTTAAAAACTTAAATACGCCTAGAGAAATGAAGCATTAAAATTATTGTTACAGCATTTTCAAAAAATCGTATATATTTCAAAAACGGTAATATTAAAGTGCGGTAAACTTTAATCACATTAACCTTTATTTTAATCGTAGAAATTAAAAACGTAGTTATATACAAGGTGTTCAATTTTAAAAAATACAACTTTGATATTTTTCGCGAGTGTGGCGAGGAAGAATGTTAGAACAAATAAGTTAAGGTGGAAGTTAGAACAAATAAAACTTTTAAGAATATTGTATCACCTCAATATTCAAGCTGATACACATATCTCAAGATTACTATTTACTTCTTTAGTATAAGGGTGGGCCACTGAAAACTTACAATAGCTATAATTCTTAAAACAAAAAAGATATCAAAAAATAAAAAATACCGTTTCTATAATATCGAGGGGGAATACATATGACGTATTTTTTGAACCACCGCGACCTACCCCTAAGGCGGCACCACTACTCACTTGAAAATCTTAAATGGCAACACCCCACTTGGGGCGCCTTTTTGGAAAGCCAATGAAAAATGCTAAACGATGATCATAAAGTTTTTAGGGTGAAATTGAAAAACTACCCCTTACACGAAAAATTAGGTGGACATTAATGAAAAAAGTGATTTTTTCAGCATAAGTTACAAATTGGGACCCAGCTTAATGAGGTACTTTTGAAACCACCCCGGCCCACCCCTAGATGCCACCCACTCACTTCTAATCTCAAGATAGCGATACCCCACTTGTGACACTTCTTTGGAAAGCTAATTGAAATAGTTAAACGATGGTCATACAGATTTCAACTTCTGTCTTCTTTCAACAATTACTGGTAAGTAGTGATAAGAAATGTAGGTTTGACAATTTGAAAGAAATTTAAAATGATAATTTATTTAATTTTAATTGCTCAAAATGACAGCCGTTTTGTTCCATACAAAAATACAAACGATTTTCAAATTCTTCTCTCACTTTTTGGAAAGTCTCTCTCGGAATATTTCGACATGCTTCAGTTATCCTGTGCCGCAATTCTTGCAACGAACCTGGTTTTGTCTTGTAGACTATGGATTTAGTGTAACCCCACAAGAAAAAGTCTAAATGAGTGAGATCACTACTACTTTCTTGCGAGTGCCTAATTTACCTTAATTTTTCACAGAAAATTTCTTCCATAGGGAAAATACCGCACAGCATTTTTTACAACGATAACAAAACAATATTACATAACCACAAAAAACAAAGCTAATTTACGCCAGATGTCTGTCAACGTTGCCAATGTTTAGCCCAACTTAATGTTATTTTTATATTGCCTATTTATTATTCAACTTATCCATATTTTGGTATCTTTATATTTTAAAACATGTGGCAACTGCGCTAACTGAATCTTTCAAACTCACTGCTCTCGTCCAGGGAATGCTAGCATTCACTAGTAATTTTTTTTCGAGAAAAGCTGTTGAATTTTTACTGGCATATATAGTCTTAGCAAATCAGTGAATGTGAGCTTTTACTAGTAATTGTTAACAATCACTGATTTCCAACTTTTACTGTAACATATACAATGACTAAAAATTTAACTTCTAAATAATATCGATATTCGAAAGGATATCGATATTTTAAATTTATCGATCTTTGTTGCACACCTGTACGACTTACTTTCCTTTTTCATTAATGTTGAGCAATCGTCGACTTTCCTAATAAATTCGTTTATTATGCAACTAACAGCCTTGAATGGAGTGTGTGACATAATTAACTCTAACTGTTTACCGTATACACCTGATAAAAAGGAAATTATATGCAAACACTGACAATTTATTAATATCTTAGGTACCAGCAAAATTATGTTTTTATTGCTATGTTTTATAGGTATTACCAGATTATTAAAGGAGTATTATGGTTCTTATCGGGTGGTTTTGCGCCTTTATTGGTAATTAGTCCTATACGTTCGCTCGTAAAATCCTTTTTATTTACGATGGAAGTTATTAGAAAATATTATTTTTGATCCTGAATCGTTTAATTGTTTGTATAGGATGATTACGGGGATAACGTCCGAATCTACAGGGTGACTGTTAAATAAGTGAAAATATTTTCAGGGGTAGTATATTTCGACCCCAGAATCACGTCTATGATTTTTTTTTGGATTTTTTTTTGAAAATTTGGAATTTTTTGAAAAACATTTTTGGTTCCTATTCCCAAGGGTGGATGGGGAAGTGGAAACCGGCCGGGAAAAACAGGCAACCGGCCCCAATCCACAAAAACAAAATGACCATAACGAAGAAACATATTTTATTTATTAATATACAGGGTGTTTCACAATTAGTGCGACAAACTGAAAGGGGTTGTAGAGGGCATCAAAACAAGTCATTTGAGTATAGGAACCCATGTCCGGTATTTTTAAAATGAGCGGAAGGAACTTGAATGAACGAAGTGCAAGAGATGCCGGAAGTATTTGCCAGGGTTCGTACATCCATGAACAGGCGAGTCTTCAACAGAATGGACGGCACTGAGCAGTTTTTGTAAATGTTTTGAATAAAAAATGCAACTTGAAATTTACGTTCCACTGCACCTCCTGCCAAAACGGCACATTTCCGGACATGGATTCCTATATACTCAAATTACTTGTTTTCATGCCCTCTACAACCCCTTTTAGTTTGTCGTACTAATTGTGGGACACTGTATAAGTAAGGGTGTTTTTTGTGAAAAAGCTCTTTTGCCTCCGGTTTTAAAAAAAAATTAAATTTTCTTGATCAAAATTTTCGTAAATGCCGGTCGGACTTTTCGTTTATACTTTACGTTTCGTAATTGGGTCGGACATCTGAATTTTTACTACAAAATGGTTCAGTTTTACAGGGTTCTACTGCTTTATTTCCATTATCGATAACGGTAATTTGATCTTGAATATGCTACGATTTTGAGTCACGATTTTGAGAAACTTTAAGACTTCCTCTGTGAAATACATTACTTTTAGTTTTTCACATTGTAGAAAGAAATTCTCCCTTTTCTGCTACAGCAGCAGCCTCCTCTGTACACCTGTTTTTAACTGATTGAACCGCGGTCACCATTAAAATTGCAGCATTTTTTAGGTTATTATATATAGTTCTTATCACGAAACTTTTCCTCAATACTTTTCTATATTTGGCATCTTGTATGATAATGCCATTACTCAAACAAAAAAAATCAGTGGATATAAATGTGTTCTGATGTAATGCTATGTTAGAGTCCATAATAAAGAATATTTGGATTTTCGAGACATATTCATATTTTATTATCTAATCTAGTTTAAACCTTATTTAACTCCTTTCTGCTGTCTCAGTAATTTTTAGTAAATTCATTTTAGCAACATTTTAAACAACAATTTAGACTTGGCTTTTAGCCCGTCCCCAATTCAAGCCAAGCATAGATATGTTTTCTCCGTCAAGCGCAGAGTTCGCGTCAAATTCGTCTACCTTCTTACAAAGGGGAGCTCGAAAAATATTGCACCAGAGCCCCCAGTTGTCAATATACGCCACCGTATTCTTAGTATACATTTAGATCTAGACTATTTAAATTTACCTAATGCTATTCATTCTTTTTTTTGCTGTCAGTCAGTCATATTTATTAGTTATTAATAAAAGAATAGTGGGTAAAACTATACAGGATGAGTCTTAAGTAAGTGTAAATATTTTCAGGGGTGGCATATTTCGACCCCAAGAACACTTCTATGAGGTTTTTTTTTGCAAAAAAAGATGTTAAAAATCGAGTATTTTTTTTTAATGTTTCTGTATATTTTAGAAAACTTTTTAGAACTTCTTGTTCACCGCCAATTTTTCCACGGTATAGTTTTTTAATCTCTGATATTACGGCACTAATACCGAAA